GGTGTATCTGTAGTGCTCATCTTTGTGAAACAAAGGCTTTTGATTTCAATGACTTTCAGTGGAGAAACTTAATTAAAGCCCTGAGCGCTGGCTTTGCGCCTTTTGTTATATTTCGCGTTGTGTCCTAGATTGCTGAATAAATAGTGTCTTTTTTTTTGGTTTACTGGGCTTTTTTGATCTGCAGCCTACTCGAATCAGGCAACTGTAATATTAATGATGTTTGCGCCCCTATTTCCCTACCTCCTCTTCGCACAACCCCCTCCCCCCCACCACCCACCCCCTCTTTATCTGTCTTGAATACCCGCTGAAGATGTACCTCTTCGACCGCATCTATTATCACCTTTCCCTCCCCTTACTTAAGTGCTCCAAGACGCCATCCGGCATGAAGGGCGCTATATTAAATGCAAGTTGTCGCTATTATCAATTTAGAGATCATCCGTGCGCCTTGCTATTTAAGGCAGCTGGCAAATTTAATGGTGGGGGCTGTGGAAACATGTTATATTTCACACGGAAATTTGCCTGGAATGTTCATTTCACTAGATTTTTTTTTCTTTTTTTAAAAAAAACCCATGAAATTCAACAAGCGTTAAGTGAGTCAAGGTGCTGAGAGTTATTTGCGGTCTTACATTTAAGGATGAAAACGATAAACTTGTGCTATTTTTCCTCCTGACGCAGCATCGGAGAGCGAATGTAAGCCATCAAGGTTCCCAAATAGGAAGAGCTGTCATTCTCTGAGTCACCCGGTTAAAAGTTATTCAAATGCAATAACAGGCATTATTATTATAATATTAATTATTATAATACAATAATCCTTGCATACAGGACTCCTTGTGGAGTCCTGTAGCTCAGTGGTTAGAGCACTCGCTTTGCAAGTGAGAGACCTGAGTTCAATTCCAGACAGAGGGCAAAACCTCGGGCAAGTTTCCTTACTCCACACAGAGCCTAATAATAATCCCTTCATAAACCAAAAACAATAATTAATTGGTCATTTTCAATCTACGACTGTTTGTGGGACATTGCTGTGCGCAATTGGCTGCCGCGTTCGCCCACAAATATACAGTCAATTCACTTTGCAGTATGTTCTGTGAAGCGCTTTGGGACGTCCTCCCGACGTGAAAAGCACTATATCAAATGCAAGGATTATTATTATTATTATTATACATTTGGCACAGCCACCTTATCATGTCGTCGAGATGCCTCGAAACACCTTGGAGGAATTATTGTTCATCGTTAATGAAATCAAATGGCATCTGTAACATCGACAAAAATATCAATTTTTCAAAATAAAATTATTCGATTTTTGACTGGGAAATGGTAATTTGACGGCTAGATCGCTTTGTTTTGTCTCTCGCTGAGGCATTTTAGTCAGTTCGGTCCTGAATATATTGTCAGAATCGAACATTCTCAAGCCCGATCTTCTCACCCCCAGGAGTTAATTAAAGTTGCTTTCAATCTGACATAGGATAATGGTAATTCTGCCCTTAATTATGCCGTTGATGAAATCAGAAACACCGTTTTCTCCAGGCGCGAGACGTCATTAACCTAAATCTGTACAGTATTTTCTGCATACGATAAACATTGCGCACAGAAGACATTCCTCGGTTCAATAAATGTCAACCGAATGAGGTTAGTGAAGCAATAAACAATGTTTAAATAGCGCTCGGGGCAGATGATCCAGTCGCTCGTGTGACAGAGCCACTGCCTTGCAACCTGCAGGGTCCTGCACTTGATTGACACCCAAAGTCATTGGTCAACACTTGACAGTCCTTGGCTGAGCCACCTGGTCCTCGTAACCATCTTTGCTTCGAGCGGTGAAAACTTCTCAAACTTCTCATGAGGAATCGCGGCAGCCTTTTCGCACACGGTAATAACAAATCATCCTCGCGCGTGATACAGCGCCTTATCACCTCCTCGCGAAGTCTCAAAGCGCTTCGCAGGATATATTGGAAAGCGGTTCGACTGTGTATCTGTGGGCGAAACGCGGCAGCCAATTTGCGCCACAGCGGTGTCCCACGAACAGTCATGGATCGTGTGACCGCACGTTTTGGGGTTTAAGGTCCCACAAACGGCCATGTGAAGAACGGCCGTTTTAGCCGGGAGATTGTCGGTCGGAACACGGCTGCTTTTGAACTGTGTCACGGCATTGTTACCATTTACCCGGACGGGCAGGACTGGACCACGGTTTAACGGTCTTGTCCCTGGTGTGGCATCTCTGACGACATAATGCTCCTTCAGAAATACCAGCCTAGGATATGTGCTTCAAGTCCCAGTGCGTGGATGGAACCGATGGCTTTCTGATCGAGCGGTGAGCCCATCCCTCTCCTCCGCTCTGCTCCTACATCAGGAGCGTAGCAGACGCTCACGCCGCCTTGTCCTCCCAGCCACACAGCAATGCACGGAGGCAGGAGGCACCCGGGAGAGGCTCCACGCGCCACGAACAGTCTCCAAGCGAAACGAACGACAGACATTCAAGAGCCACGCTCCACGGTGGGTGAAAGGAGATAGAATTACTCCCAGCGGTTTGGTTAGAGGGAACACCGCAGCAGGCAATCGGCCCACTGAACAGCGCGTAAAAGCGGTTTGAGATTAAATCCGCGATTTTTTTTTCAAATCGGGAGCAGGGAACGCGATTGGATCGCTCTGATGACGTGACGTCTGATTCTTGCGGGAGGTGGACTGCGAGGCACTTGTGACACATCTCCAGCAGAGGGTGCTCGGTAATCCAGCTTTGTGGCCGGTCGTGTGTTCTTTTTTAACGATGACTGCACTTTCCGAGAAAGTCGGTCTCCCTTGTTCAGGTGGACGTTAAAGGTCCGATTGCGCTGTTCGAAAAGAGAAGGGAGTTTCTCTCTCTCTCTCTCTCTCTCTCTCTCTCTCTCTCTCTCTCTCTCCCGGTGTCCTGGCCAACAAATCCCACCAACCGGTTGCTCGCTTCATGACTGTTTTGTGGGGCGCCGCTGTGCGTAAAGACACAAGGACTTTTTGGGTTTGATTTTCGCTTGAATCGTAACCAGACTGAGGGAAGGGATGAGCGAGAGCTTAATTCCCGCTGAACCGCTTTTCATTAAATCTGTTTGGTAAATGCAGCCTATTATTGCACGCTAATCCCTGATCTCTAACATAACCACTAGCAGGATTGGGAGTCTTAACCAACGGATCTGCCAATACAATAAGATAGGGCACTGATTCTCGGAACTGGGTAACAATCCCTGCAAACAAAATAAAAATAATGATGCGGTCACTTCAATCCACGGCTGTTTGTGGGGGACGTTGCTGTGTGCAATTGGCTGCCACGTTTCACCTGCAAAATTGACAGCCGATTCACTTTACAGTATGTTCTGTGAAGCGCTTTGAGATGCCTCAACGGCGTGATAAGGTGCTGTATCAAATGCAAGGATTATCATTATTATTATGTTAATGACTCCACTATGTTGATCTATGTTACGTATACAACAACAACGATAACTAATACAGCACTCCCGCAGGCAGGGTCGCGTCTCAGAGAGCTTTGTATACTTTGTCTCCTCGCTATGTCCCCTCAGACAGAACCATTTCGATGTAAACTGAGATATCCTGTGTGAATGCATCTGACAGACGAATAAATAAACTTCCAAAGAATAGTTCTTCCTTATTTTGCATTGTGCAAAGGAAGCTGAGCTCTCCGAGGATTTAAAATATTTGGAGAAGATAAAACATCCATCTGGTTTCAGCGGAAAAAGACGAAAAAACTGGTCCTAATATTATTTGATTTAATTGTTCCCGTCACAAACAGTCAGTTGCCTGTCTGGAACAACCTCTCTATACTTAGACTCTGTCAGCAATGAGATTGTCAGCAAACAGATGACTCCAATTAATCTCATTAGATTGCTGTGTAAAGCAGCCTTGTTTACTGTATAACAAGCTCGACAATGAAAGATGATTAAATAACCATTTACCTTTTCTCTTGCTGTGGCTGACCCTTGGGAAATTCTATTCCGTGGGTTCCATGTTAACAGGCAATAGGAACTTGACACCGAGTTGTGCCACCGGTAATTCCAACGACCGCTCTAGAATTGGGCGCAAAAAATTGAGAATGGTATAAGGATCCATGCATTTGTTTTAGCCCCTTTCACATCGGATATTTCAAAGCGCTTCGCAGGATACACTGTAAGGTGTAGTGATTGTGTATGTTGTGGGAGAGGCTACTGTGCGCAATTGGCTGCCGAGTTTCACCCACAAATAAACAGTCCATTCACTTTACAGTATATTCTGTGAAACGCTTTGAGACGTCTAGAAGACGTGATAAGGTGCTATATCAAAGGCAAGGATTATCATTATTATTATCATTATTATTATTATTATTATTATTACATTCAAAATACATTTGATTAGGATAAACACACACAGCTAAACATTAATTTATTTACGGGATATCCAGACATAATTGTTTAGTCAATACTGAATGAGAGGCTGTTTGTGTTTACTGTTGCTTTGGAAATCGAATGCCAGAGGCCAGAACTGTTTTTTTATCCAAGATTCTTTTGAACTATTTTGGGTTGTGAGCAAAAGTGTATGAGGTGACTGAGAGCGAGAGAGAGAGAGACAGAGAGAGAGAGAGAATATAGTGAAACGTAGATTGACTTTAAAATATGAAATATTAATATTAAACATCTTAAAAATATTAAAACAAAGGGAGCAATTGGCTGCCGCTTTCCTCCCACAAAATATAAAGTCGATTCACTTTACAGTATGTTCCGTGAAGCGCTTTGAGACGTCTCGAAGACGCGATAAGGTGCGTTCTCAAAATGCAAGGATTATTGTTATTATTACATCATGAGACGGACAAGAAAAACATAGACAGGAGAGAATGAATGGGGGCAGAGAGAAAGAGAATACTTGTAGAGATTCTCTTCAACACCAGGGGGCAGGTAAGAAGTATAAATTTCTCAAGTATAAATAACGTTTTCTGTGGTCGGGGGAGTGACTTTTCAAGGAAAAACTCCAAAGATAGATCTCATTTGGAGAGGGAGGTTATACAGCTGTTGGGAAGAGACAAGGGAAGAGGTTGGAAAGAGAGCTCACCTCTCTCTCTCTCTCTCTCTGGAGTTGGGTAGCCATGGCTTGGGCATTGAGCGTTCTTCTCACTATGATGTGTGGCCAATTCTGGGAGGCAATGGCCGGGATGGACTCGTGTTATGACGATTCCGGCCAGGCAAAGAGGTGTTTACCCGAGTTCTGTAACGCAGCCTTCAACAAGACCATCCACGCCACCAACACTTGCGGGTCTGCCCCCGAGCAGTACTGCCTACAGACCGGGGTGACGGGGGTCACCGAGTCCTGCCACACGTGCGATGATCGGAACCCCGCGCTGAGCCACAACACCGGCTCCCTGACCGACTTCCACAGCGAGCAGGAGCCCACCTGGTGGCAGAGCCAGTCTATGGTGTTTCCCGTCCAGTATCCCAACTCCGTCAACCTGACCTTCCACCTGGGTAAGTGATTGCACAACGTCACTAGGGCTCACACCCAGCTCCAGCTCTTATTCCTTCCCACGTGTTCTCAGCTCGTTATCATATATATGATATATGTATATAATATGGAATAGGTTACAGACTTATATATATAGATAATACTTATATTCTACAGTATATGTTATATATATATTATATATTATTATAATATGTGTTACTTTTATTTACCTTTATTATATATGCACGGTGAAATAAAAGTCTTATTTCTCGGCTACCCTATTATCTAAAAAAAAGCATCATTATTATCAAAATAAGAGGATTCCTATTATTTGTTATTAATTGTCTGTAATGGCTTCAAGAGGAGTCGTAATAGGACAACAGCTGATCAATAAGTCAATCATAAGTCAATAGCTGATCAAACCGAGGGATTCGATTGTGAAACAAGCAACTGTGAGAGTGTCGTTTTTACTCAAACCCTTTTGAAATTCATAGAAACAGGAATAGGCCATTCAGCCCCTCCAGCCTGTTCCGCCATGCTATAAGATCATGGCCGATCTGTACCTCAAGTCCAATTCTGCAGAGTATGAAGTGTGGAGCTGGACACATCTCAGCCGGAAACTTTCAATGAATAGTTTTGTTTTGAGCGCTCAACCCACACCGCTGACCGTCAGATTGTCTTCAATTAAGAGTTGATGTCCGGACAGCCGTCGGGCACTGTAGTTAGTGGGTGTATGTTGTAGACAGGACTGGAGGTTCTCGACCAAATTAAGAGCCTTTTTAAAGCCCCTTTGGATGATGATATCCGCCACAAGGAAACATTCGGTTTTTAAACCAACACAGGGGACTTTTTATTGTTGTCTTCTTGTGAAAGAGACGCAGTTTTTTTGTTGTTTAAAAGAATGAAACGGCCCCTTTAAGGGAGTCGAATGCTAGAGTCAACCAGGCTCTTCAACCAAATGCAACCCACGTCTCCCACCAAACCCACTGACTACGCGTTGACCGGTTGAGGTAAGGAATCCCCCACCACCAGCCCCAATCCAGTTTGCAGGCACCTCGGTCAAATAAAGCTCCTTATACTCTGTGCAAAACTGATGGCAGGCACGTTGCCAATGTCTGATAACCCACGATGTAATGTGGAGAGAACAGGAAAGGAACCAGACAGAGTCACAGCTTAGCTGGTGGTGGGACGTGAGGAAGTAATTTGGCGTGGCAATGAGCAGTTAGGTAATGGATTTACTGGGAACAAGTTCCCTTTTGTCTCCCTTTTGCTCTAGATTCTGAGCGCAAAGATTGAGGCTTGGGACAAGGGTACAATATTCTGACCTTCCTCTTCGACCGAGGCCTGTGGTCAACGCCTCCTCTCTCCCTGGGTCTGCGTCAAGCTCCTGCACTGTTCAGCGCTCTGAGCTGCTGCCAGGCGTGAAGGGCTCTATATAAATACAAGCCGTTGTTGACGACTGACCTGAGAAAAACTGTGGAAATCGGCATCTAAGAGGGAGGTTCATCATTGCACCTCATTCAACCTATGCCCTGAAACTCTGGCACACACCCTCTATCCCTCCCGCCTTGCCCCCTCCTTCCCCATCTTCAGGGTACGCTTAAAAGCCTTACTCTTCGGCTGTGCCTATGGCTGCCAGCCCCCTTGGCTCGTCGCTGTGCTTCGCCACTGGGACGCTACACTGCTTGAGGGCAGGGGGGGTAGTGGTGGGGGTGGGGGCTATATAAGTGCAAGTTGTTGCTGGTGTTGTATACATAAGGGTTTGGTTTGGGTTTGAAGCCAAAATCTAAAGGAAGACTATAGTGGTAAAGAGTTGTTTAGTCTTACAGAGCGGGCTGTGCAGGACATAGGAGGTGCTCAGTAACTGACTAATGTTTATTTCAGCGGTCTGGAAATTAGCGAGGATTCCAACCCATACTGGACTGACGTTCATTGCAAAAAAAGAATAATCTTTTTGTATCAGTGTGAAGAAATAACACCCAGTGCACCTCTGCACCGTTTTAAGGTTTCATTTGTCATTTAATTCCACTTTGCCCCAACAAATCCCATCACTTCACAGGGAGATTGCACTTTCACTGGAGCTACTTACAATAATTTTTATAGCATTTATATAACGCCCTTCACGTGGGATAGCGTCCTGGAGTGGCGGAGTCTGACAACGAGCCAGGGGGAGAGGGAGAGGGGAGCCAATTCGCTTCACTTCCCCCACATCCTTTCATATTGTTCCTCATCAAATGCGTATCCAATTCCAATGTAAATGTTGTGATGGCCTTGAGCGTCACAGGCAGTTAAAATTCTAAGTGATGCCAAGCTGAGAGCGAGACAATATTTTTAAGACTATCTCAAGACGAGGCGCTGGTTCCTTGTGGATGATTGATCACACTGTTCCTTTACTGTCCCAAAACATCCTTAATGCAAAACCAATTGGCTTGCACCTACCCTCATTTCCAATATAATATAAAAATAGCCCTTGCACTTGATACACCGCCTTGTCACGTCGTTGTGACGTCTCAAACCCTTCACAGAATACATTGTAAAGTGGATTGACTGTGTATTTTGTGGGCGAAAACGGACAACGAACAGACTCGTCTTAATCACGTCCTGCACGTAAAGTTTTAAAGTAAGGTTGCGGTATTTTTAGGAAGTCATGGGTGCTGCAGCCATAGTGGGCATCAATGTCGCTGAGAGGAGAAGCAGCTGCAATAACCATAATTCAAGGCTGCACAGAGGGATATATTAAGTTGAGGGAGATATCCCAAGAGATGCCTGTTCCATTCATAATAACCTTCAAGCAGTTGGAGGCTGCCAAGGGAAACCATTACTGAACTTTGCGACCTTGTCTGTCATGAACTTGAATCGCAAAGTACAATAAACACAGCTTTGCTTGTTGAGATGAAGCTCACCGTGGCACTGAACTTTTATGCGTCCGGTTCACTTGCAAGTCACAGTGGGTGGGATAGAGCAGTTAGGCAATTCACCATGCAAATGGCAATTCCTCATGTCCCCATCGCTTTATAAGAAGAAGAAAAAGAAAACATGTATATTTTCCTTGCATGTCTGTTTGTCTGTCTGTTGCATTGAAATGTCATAGAGTGCTGCACAGTAATTACAGCAACAACATCAATAAATTACATTTGCGTCACGCCTTTCATGAAATTGATTCGTTCAGTGATAAAGAACCAGTGGAGCCTGTCTAGAACTGGTTTGATGGGGGTTACGGAGTTTAGGACGGGCGAGTATGTGGGTGGCGGAGTTTGGGATCAGCTGGATTTTAGGGATAGTGGGACCGGGGAGGAGGGCATTCAAAAAAAACATTTAGTCCCCTCCTCCGGCTGTTGGTTGACTCAACTTTTTACTGTTTGTGATGTTTTGTTCATTAAATATCATATGCAACCAATTCAGGCGTTTCCTGTTTTATGAGGCAATCTCAAATGGACGGGAATTAGACTTACATCTGGCTGGTTTAGAACTAGCACAAATGTTTAGTTCTAAAGCTGGATAGGCTCCAGCAGGACTCCAGCACACCCTCCTGGATCCCCAAGCCTTGGCTCTTGCCAACAAGCACCTCATAATCTCGGGAATAAGATAAGAAGGATACGTCCTTCCAGGGAAGAGAGTGCGTATTGCATTCTAAAACACGGAGTTTCCATGTGTCGCTGGGAACGCTTGGAAGTCTCATCTTGGTTTGGATACTCTTGAACACGGCAATGGGTTTCTGCACGTATCAGACACTCGGCTGACCGAACAAAAAACGCTCCCAGCGTCCCGGCAAACTATCCCCAAGATGAATTGGTTACTCGTTTCATGGCGGTTTGTGGGGCTTTGCTGAGCTTAAAATTAGCAATGGGGGCGAGTGGGGGTGGGGGGTGGTGTGGGGCAGAGAAAGAGATGGTGAGAGAAAGAGTAACTGGGGTGCAATAATAGTGGAATACGGAGGCTGGAGTGGGTACAAGGCAGAAGGTAATGGGGATTGTGTGTAACAGCTGGCCAACAAGTGAAGGGTGAGTGAAACGGGGAAAAAATGTAGGGCAAGGAAGAGGGGCTCAGTGAGGATGACTGGGGTCATTAATAATAATAATAATCATTGCATTTGATGTAGCGTTTTATCACGTCTTCGAAATGTTTCAAAGCGCTTCACAGAATATACTGTAAAATGCAGTGACTGTCTATTTTGTGGCCGAGGCATGGCAGCCAATTGCACTAAGAGGCGTCCCACAAACAGTTGTAAAACAATATTTACAACGCCTTTCACATTGGGAGGATGTGTCAAAGTGATCCACGGTATATCCGGACTTAAAAGGGCAACAACGCACATTAAGAGCAGACAGTTTATGAGATAATCCTGAACCTCCTTTAGGGATGGTCTTTCTTTATTGCCGAAGGCAGCACAAACAGCAATGTTTTATAGGAGACAGGGGCCTTTGTTGCTTTAGGCTAAACTAGTAAATCTGCTCGGATCCCAGTAAAATCTGATGCATGTTAATGCGTTTTGCCCACAAACACTCGGTCAATTCACTTCACAGTATATCCTGTGAAGCGCTTTGAGACATCTCAACTACTTGATAAGCTGCTATATCAAATGCGAGGATGATTATTATTATTATCATGTGATTTCTACTTGAAGAATAAGTGCACACAAGCGAAAACATGTTGTTGGGCGTAGGAGAGATGGATATCCACATGGTCTAGTTTCGGGTCTCATTGAGGGTTAAGCCTAATTAAAAAGCCTCCTTGTTCCATGTAGTTGTTAGTGTGTGGAATATCCTGCATCTGAGAGAGCTGGCAGTAAGTTGCCTTTCATCTTCCTGCAGGAAATCTATTCTAAACTTCCTTCAGATTAGAAACATCTGTGGATGCATCCGTGTGCGCCTTGTCTGGGAATGGTCTGACATGAATCCTCTTCCTTGGCACAGACTAGCCGTCCCATCACCCTTATCTGTCTGCACATCAGTTCCGAGCAGCTTTGACAAGTTCCATCCTTCCTAAAAGATGGTCCAGTTAAATCAATGACTTGCTCCCACATGCAATTGTCTGCCTAAAATGTTCCTAACTACAAGTAGCTGTAATTTGAGACACCTACTTTGTAAGATTGCAGCTCCCGGCAGCTGCGCAACATCACATCGAAGTTTGGTTCGTAAAAAAAATCTCTTTGAAAAATCATTTTCTTCTCTTCCCGAGTCTGTGCATCACATACACCGTTCAGGGCTCTGTAACCAGTAGCTGATGTACAAAATGACCCCATTATCCCAAGCTCTGGTTTAATAATAATAATAATCATAATAATCCTTGCATTTGATACAGCGCCTTATCACATCGTTCAAACATCTCAAAGCGCTTCACAGGATAGATTGTAAAGTGAATTGACTGTGTATTTTATGGTCCAAATGCGGTTGCCAATTGAGCATTGAGCACAGCAGTGTCCCACAAAAGAGTTTTCTGCATTGCACTGACCAACAACTGAAGCTTGTGAAAGAATGATGATCATTGTATTTAGAAGTTACTTAATTGTGTTCAGTACAAATGTTTCACTGTACTTAGTCGTTCAGAGGATCGGTGTGTGTATGAGCGCTATCATTTTCATGGCAGATAATGATCTGTCATCATGTTTTGTGTGACATCTTCCGTAACATGGATGGAGTGACGAGGTGAAATATATCTCTGACAGCTTTATTTCAGCTCCTTCGTAGTCTCTGAAAATAAAAATGCATTATAAGAAGGAAAATGGGTGTAACAGGACTTTGCAAAGATTTGGTAGAAGGAGGTTATACATTCCCCAGGGCTGGGTCAGGCTGGCTGACCTCAGTCGTGCTACAGTTGGACTCAGTAACCTGTGACACATTGCAAAACTGAAGTAAACTACTCTAAGAGCATGACTCTGAGGATGTAAACCCATGTGGATTAGTTTTTGCCATTGCGAGTCCAGAGACACCAAGCCCAATTGTGGCGTCCTCAATCACTGAGATTGGCTCACGTTGCACAAACCAGGGGTCGAAGCTAGAGTTTTGTGGGTCTGAATGTTGCAGTACCACAGTGGGCAGGCAGTGTGTTAAACTATCCAGACTATTGTTTTGATCGTGTTTCGCATGTTATTGAAGCTGAGAATGCAGTACCTTTTAAAAGGAAATTATTTAAGTGTTTGAAAAGAAACAAAATAAAGGATACAGGGAAAGAGGAAATTGGGATTTGATGTACAACTCCAGTGGGAGAGCGAGTACGAGCATCGAGCTTGATAGACTCACTGTTAGGACTTGCAAGGGAATGAATAATGGTCATTTGGGTGAAAAACAATACTTTAGGATGGACCAAGAGAGTAGAACAGGGCGACTTGGGTTTAGAGTTGCAAATTCAGGATACCAGGAAGTTTTCCTTTAATCAGAGGGTAATTAATGACTGGAATAGCTTACCGGGAAGGTTGGTTGAGGCCAGGGCACTGGACTCATTTAAGTAACAGCTTGTTGCTGTGATGGGAAGACAATAGGGTTAAGTATTCTGGAAGGATGAGATCAAATGGGCTGATGGGCCTCCTTCATCCAAACCAATCAATGGATGCCTCCTGCCTTTGCACACTCAGAAGAAATGGAAAAAAGTCAAACACCCTCAGGGCAAGGAGGAAGGTGAGGAGCAGGTCGGAGGAATAAATTATCAACAAAATAACCTCAAATAAAAACAGAATACAAGGTCATTCGGGCAGGAGATGTTCACGTGGAAGATACAAAAATCCTTTAATCAGGCTTAAAAATGAGAAACGCCATTTTGGGATGGATTTGTTTAAGCTCTTTTAAATGATGTCTCCAAAATCGAAGCAGGGAATGAAATTCCTGGTAGGAAAGCGTATTTACTTTGCCCCCCTAACCTCCACCTCCCTGCACTTCATGGAGGTAAGCGAGAGATTTAACGGCCTCATTAAAAACGTCCAAGGACACAAGCTTATGTGATCATATTCTTGGTTGTCGATGGGGGAGCGAGGCATTAACTTATTTTATCAAAACAACACAAATCAATTTCAGATGGCCATTCAGGACAGTCTGTATCCATTCTGCTTCACCCCGGGCTCTGTTTTTGAAATAATACATTTCTGCGGATTAATAAAAATCCAATTATTTTCTCCTGGATTTTCCCATTCCCCGCGAGGGGTGCATAACATTGAGTTCCTCAATAATATATTCCATGTAGGGCAAATGGTGTCTCTTTCGAACCGCCACTGATTTCGGAAATTCTGCTCCATTGCAGTCTACTTTCAGAGCCACAATCCCACGAGTCAACAATAATAATCAATAATAATAATAACAATAACAGATACATAGCAACAGAAGAAGGCCATGAGTCCATCAAGCCTTTTTTCAGGCAATCTATAAGATCATGGCTGATCTGTACCTTAAGTCCGATTACTCACCCTTGCCCTGTATCCCTTAAGACCCTGACCTAACAAATAATTCTTGCATTTGATATTTCAGCTCAGAAGGATGTCTCGCAGCGCTTCCCGGGATTTACTGTAAAGTGGGCCTGTATTTTGAGGTGCCGCAGCAGGATTATAATGGCATTCCTTGATTAAGGCAACAGAAGAGTTTTACATTTACAAATCAAAGGGTTTTTTTGGTCAGCAGACGCCTCACACATGTGGAAACCCACCACCACGTTTAAAGAGTATCGAAACCAAATTGAGAATTCTGTGTATACCACCAACACAAGCAGATTTCTATGTTTGCAATGGAATATCCCCCGGAGGATATTCTGCTTACTTAATTCCAGAGAGTATGAGGCACAGGTTGGGAAGAGCCAAGGCTAGGGAACAGCTTGCTTTTCAAAAGATAGCTTTTGCTTGCAAGGTTAACAGGAGCTGAGTGGAAAGAATCCTTCTCCTCCAAGTCCTACTTTTGCTCACAAATTGTACAGTCAATTCACTTTATAGTACAGTCCGTGAAGCGCTTTGAGATGTCTCGAAGACGTGATAAGGTGCTGTATCAAATGCAGGGATAATTATATTATATTACTTGGAGGATAAGGACAATAATGGAGGGCGTTAATAAATACAATAATAATAATAATAATAATCCCAATGTAGAGGCTGAAACCACAACCTGCTGACCCAGATGCGAAAGTCTGACCAAACCAACCAGCTGGACAGAGTTTGTCGGTCGATGCGCAGGATTCCTCCCTTGATTTAGCTTTAATTTAAAGGGTTAATTTCCCGACAAGGAGAGTTGAGATCCGGAGACAGAGCTGAAGCCTCATTTTGGGGTATGTTTTTCCTTTGCTTGACACAGTCACGGTCAGGAGAAGGTTACGACCCTTTCCGAGTCGAATCAGAAACAGATTTTTTGATGTATCTTCTTGCGGCTGTGCTCACAAGGACCTTCGGTGAAGTGAACACTAAATGGTATTATTTTACACAGCTTGTGGGGACGATGGAAACGCGCCAGGTTGCTCTTGAGTTTCATCTTCAAGAGCAATTATTTCGTCGGCCATGGGAAGGAAGACAGGATGAGGGTTTAGCCGGCAAACTGCAGCCGAATGCAGACTTGCCTGCATTGTGTCTGTTATCCCCCATTAACTGAAAAATAAACACTCAAATTATATTGCAGTGCAATCAGGAAGGTTGAAATCAACGGGGCTGAAGGGACCTTTTTTCATTCAAACCTAGTTCCTGACGTTAGCTGTAATCTAAAAACAACTTTGTGCCAGTTTCTAATAACTTGCATATATATTGGGGTCCTCGTGCAGGGTAGCGTCCTGGGGCGCTTGACGGAGGGAGGTGGGAGGTGACCGGAAGGAAGGTCCAAAAGGAAGGTCTTCAGGCCCGACCTGAAGATTATAATCAGCACTAATAATCGTGCAGCAGATTTGGAGAAGTACACGGAGCTGAGGATTTGTAAGTGAATCTTTTTTACTGTGTGGAAATTGGCCCCTTAACCTTGCTCCTTCTCTTCTTGGCTTTGAAACGTTGTGATTCTGCCTTTGGCCCAAATTATTCCCTCGCCACCGCCCCCGCCCCCACCCCCGCCCCCGTCCCTCAGCTCACCGGGCTCGGGCCAGCTGCGTGTCCCTTCAGCCTTTCTGCCCCCATCCTTTGGAACTCCATCTCGTAATCACTTCACTTTGCACACCCCCCACCTTGCAAGTGATTGTTATTAATGCAGTAATAATGAGTAGAAATCAAACGTACGGCTGGAACCAGCTGCTATGCGGAGGTGGCATTCGTGGATGGGTTAAGTTCGTGTTGCAGGGTGACACCAAGTCTACTGGGTTCCAGCGTGATGTCCTTTCAGGTTATGCTGCCGAGATCTGCTTTACATTGAGCTACTCGGGAGGCATCATCTTGCATAGCTGAGCGTAAATAGGGCATCAGTCCCCCTAATTTTTCATTGGCAAGGCATGTGAAATGTCAGGACGCCGTTCCACGCAAGCAAGGAAACATGACATGCCAGGGGACTGGTTCACTTAGAGTAAACCTCCTGCAGTGAACAGCTGTTTGGAAATTCTCTCCTGGGGTCTATCTTGAAAGCAAGTGACTGGAGTCTGGCATTAGCTGACATTTGCTAACAGTTTGCCTCCATTAAGACCATACGAGAGGTTGGGTTGAAGAAGCCACGTCAGTCCATTTGATCTCGTTCGTCCAGATCAACTGGAGTTTGGACGGCAACGTTTTGTAGAGAGGGGAGAGGATTAAGAGATTATGATACGTTATTAATAATAATGTCAGCCTAGAACACGAGCTCGGTGTCCCAACATTACAGTCATTGGATGATCTTGAGACAACGAGGGTTTCTGGTTCAAGTGATATCAAGATTGCTCAGAGTAAAAATAGAGTCTGAAATGCGCGTCGAGCTAATAATATTCTGTGTTCTGGGATCTGAAACCAAAACAGGTAAAAGGGAGAATTTTTGACCGACATTTATTTGCATTTGGATTTGCAAACCCTACCGCCTTTGCTCCGGTTTACCCCAGGAAAATCATTCGAGATCACCTACATCAGACTGAAGTTTCGCACCAGCCGGCCGGAAAGCTTCTCCATTTACAAGAAGACCCGGGAGGACGGCCCCTGGATCGCTTATCAGTATTACAGCGCCTCGTGCAGCCGGACGCACAGGACGCTCACTTCCAGCTACATCAGGCCCGGAGAGGACGAACAGGTGGCATTCTGCACAGACGAGTTCAGCGACATCTCCCCACTGACAGGTGGCAACGTTGCCTTCTCTACCTTGGAAGGGAGACCCAGTGCCTACAGCTTCGACAGCAGCCCTGTGCTACAGGTAACCCCAGGCCCGAGACACAGCAATACGTCTGCTCCGAACCAGGAGAGTAATAATGATAATAATAATGATAATAATAATGATAATAACCCTTGCATTTGATGTAGCGCCTTGATCTCATTCAGGTTTTGAATGAGATCAAGGGCTCCCTGTTAAGCTGTCAAGCGCTCCGAAATGCCGTCCGGCACGAAAGGGCGCTGTATAAATGCAAGTTGTTGTTGCTTTGCGGTGAGGAGAGACGATTAAGACCTTCAGCTAAGTTTTTTTTTACATAACTGCAATCGCGTCGTTGAGACGTCTCAAAGCCCTGCACAGAAATATACTATCAAGTGAATCGATCGCATATTATGTGGGCGAAACATGGCAGCCAATTGGGGAGGGGTGGGTTGGGGAGGGTGGAGTGGAGAAGGAGGAAAATCTCCTGACATTTACTAATAACAAAACCAGTACCTTGTCTCGAGAAAAGAGCTGCCTCCATTTTTCCAGCACGATGTGTCTGTTTCCTACAATGCCTCCGCAGTTGCCTTTCCGACTGGAATTGCCCAGTTAGCAATAGCGCAGTTCAGAACTCCTTAGGGAGGGACGTCTGGAGAGAAATGAGTCGCGACTGGCTTAGCTAAAATGCACGCAGCTTAAAGCCCTTGATTTTGAGCAAGAGAGATGATGATCATCACCATATTTCTTTTCAAGGACGGGTTGAAACTCTGGATCCCACTTGTCAAAGTAATTTATGCGTCATGGCCCGATGATCTCTTTAAAGCTCACGGGGTTCACTGGACACCCACACATATCTTTGAGTCATAAACCGTACAGAAATTGTTCTCCGGAAGACTGGTGCCTGAGTTATTCAACGACAATCAGTGAGCTTGTTGGGCCAGAGCAAGCAGAACATCTCCAGATGTTTAGTTTCCTGCAGCGAAAGCCATGTTTGGTGGCTGAAAGCGTGGCCTCTGTTGGGGGTTAACTGAGCGGAGGTGACAGGTAGGGGGTTCGGGTGTAAGCAGTGTGCATAGACACACATACATACACACACACACACACACAGTCTGATTAATGACCACTCTATTACAGGAATGGGTGACAGCCACCGATTTGCTCATCTCCTTAAACCGACTGAACACTTTTGGAGACGACATCTTCCAGGATCCCAAAGTCCTCAAATCGTATTATTACGCCATCTCTGACTTCACCGTGGGAGGCAGGTAATAAGAACAGGATGTGCATTCACACGGAACATTTCACCAGGAGCAGTCTGTATCTTTTCAATCAGAACCCCCTGTTTTATTTGGTGACCTTGTTTGTTTCCGATTGAGGTGTGAAGGCGCCAGGAACGGAACACTGTACTTACAATGCAATGCAAAATTTCATTTCTAGAGCGCCTTTCAAGTTGGGAGGACGTCGCAAGGCGCTGGACAGTCAGGACTTTGAACCCGAGCTGGGGGCGGGGGTCGGGAGTTGGGATCAGGGAGGGTGGAGGGCAGGGGGTGGGGTAGGAGGATGGCTGAAGGCACGGTCGAAGTGGAGGGTCTTGAGATGTGCCTTGAATATTTCCGGTTGTGGGACCGATGGCAAAATGGGCTCATCTCAGAATCGGTTACTTTACGTCAAAGACCAGACTTGGCACAAAGCATCCTTTCCGCACTCAGTTTTAATCGGTTTCCTTCTTTAAAAAAAGAAACTGCAGGTTTCCAAATTAAGGCTGGATTTGAGACATTTTCACAGTTCTGCACAACAACAACTTGCACTTATATAGCGCCCTCCACACAGGGTAGCATCTCAGAGCGCTTAACAGTGGCGGAGGCTGACTGACTCCGAACCGTGGGGTGGTGGGGGTGGGTGGGGAAGGGAGATGTGTTGTCAGGAGTACGTCAAACCATAAGTAATTTATAGATACAGTAAATCTCACATACGTCGTATCAGTTGGGACCATACATTTAGTATACATTTTAATACATTCAAAACTCACTTTGCAGTATATCCTGTGAAGTGCTTTGAGACGTCTCGAAGACGTGATAAGGCTCTATATCAAATGCAAGAATTATTACTATTATTATTAATAAAGTATGAGTCATGTGAAACTTGCAGAAGTCGTATCAATATATGACTTGGGCAGAATTATGTCTAAGTCGCATTTGATATGACTGACACCTGACAAATGCCGTACAGCACCAGGAACTCAACCAAACCTGCTATGTAGTTTGCTGGTGGGGTAAAGGGAGGTGGGACGGGGGGTTGGGGGGGGAAAGCCGCTTAGAGCATGCTTGCTGATTTCTTCCTCCTCCCTCTGTTTGGTTCACTTCGTTTTCACTCAGCTCTTGACGTGAAGACACTGGGATGGATCATCAGGAAGCTGAGTGTGAACGCAGGGCGTGATTTGAACCAGTCTTCGGCTGAAGCTCTCTCAGCCAGACGCCTGGGTCGACCAGCGAGGAGGACACCAGGGAGGGGAAACGGTTAAACAGCAGTACTTTTCTGTGGTGTTTACCTCTGCTGTTATCCTCTTGTGTGATGAGAACTCTTTGCGGTTTGTGACTCAACAGCGTAAGGGCCCCGCTGTGAGCTGTCTGCTTTTGCAGGCATTCCTTTGTTAGCTCGTCAGGGAAAGGTCTTGCTTCGGACGGAGGCTGTTCAGCGGTGGTGAAGCTGGGGTGAACATGGTCAGCGTAAAACCAAAACTATTTGCAAAGCAGAACAGCCTAGGGAACAGCCTTATAATAATAATAATAATAATCCTCGCATTTGATATAGCGCTTTTCACATCTTCTCGACGTCCCAAAGCGCTTCACAGAACATACTGCAAAGTGAATTGACTGTATATTTGTGGGCGAACGCGGCAGCCAATGGCGCACAGCAGTGTCCCACAGACAGTCGTAGATTGAAAATGACCAATTTATTATTGTTTTTTGTTTTGGAGGGATTATTATAAGGTGTGTGGAGTAAGGAAACTTGCCCAAGGTTTCGCCCTCTGCCTGGAATTGAACTCAGGTCTCTCACTTGCAAAGCGAGTGCTCTAACCACTGAGCTACAGGACTCCACAACACTGAGCCTTGCAGCGCGTGGAAGTGGACAGTGTCTCTCATTCCACGTAGTGCTGTGTGTGAGTGAGTGAGTGATTGATTGATTGATTGATTGATTGAATGAGTGAGTGTGTGTCTTTCTCTCTCTAACACACACACACGGACAAAACTGATTCCAGACAGAACGCAGCACAATAAAACCCGCCGCCCTTCCAAAGACACCACCATAATAAATATTATCATTATTATAATGCCCGTGTGCTGCCAGCTTCCAACTCGCGTAGAGACAGGTCGCAGGGCTGGGCTGCCAAAGACTCTTTTTCTGTGCTGACGTTGCCCTGGCACCAGAGTGGGCTGTTTAATAATAATAATCCTTGCATTTGATATAGCGCTTTTCACGTCAGGAGGACGTCCCGAAGCGCTGTAAAGTGAATTGACTGTATATTTGTGGGCGAAACACGGCAGCCAATTGCGCACAGCAGCGTCCCACAAACAGTCATGGATTGAAATCACCAATTTATTATCATTTTTATTTTTCTTGAGGGATTATTATCAGGCGTGTGGAGTAAGGAAACTTGCCCAAGGGTTCACCCTGTCGGGAATCGAACCCAGTGCTCTAACCACTGCGCTACAGGCCTCCACACGTTACGGATTTATTATAGTTACGACCTTGCATTGTACTGTGCCCCCCACCCCCCACCCCCGTACCAGACTGCACTGCATTGCACTGGACTGTTCTGCGTTGTGTAACACTGGCCTGTACTCTTTCCATGTTCAAAGGCTGAGACCAATTGTCAGACAGCTGTTAAAAATCTGTTCCTTAGAAGAGAAGAGTCAGAATTATGGATCGAAATTATTTCTGTGAGCAGCAGCTGGAACCCATCTCTTCCCATTCACTCTCCTCTCCATGTGGCTCAGATCTTGTTGGAGAAGACCGAGCTCCTGACATTATCTGCTTCAATCCAGACGTTATCCTTTCTGTGAACTACACAGACATCAACTGGTGGGTGTAGAGTGGTGCTATAAAATCGACTCACGGAACTCGTACACTTTGGAGCACGATTGTGAGTTGCGTTTGCAGGGCCGGTTAGAGCAGTTTTATTAGTTGAGCGAGCAGAAGTTTAGATTGGCTGCCGCGTTTCTAACACAGTCAGAATTCACTTTAAAGTATATTATGTGAAGTGCTTTGAGACCTCTCAAAGACTTGATAAGTCGCTCTATCAAATGCAAAGCTTATTATTATTATTATTATTAGATGTTGACCTGCTCTGGATTCAAACCTAAGCTCAGTCTTCTCGTAATAAATCTTTGGGTTGCTATGGATGGAACTAACTTAGGGTCAGCCTATATTGCAGCAAACAGCGAGACCTACCGAGAAACCACAAGGATTGTAATCTTTAATTTTTCTTGCTGTGTCGGACGCACTTCAGCTACCACCTCGTCTAAATTGTTTCTCTGTTTCCTCTCTTTTCCTCTCTTTTTTTATCTCGCTCTTTCTCTTGTCTGCTCTTCCTTTTCCCTCTCACTTCCTCCCAACCCTCTCTTTCTCTCTCTCTCTCAACTCCTTCTCACTCTCTCCCTTGTTCCTCTCTATCTCTACCTTTTGCCGTGCGCAATTGGCTGCCGAGTTTCGCCCTATATCAAATGCAAGGATTTTTATTATCCTAATCTCTATAATTTGTCTCTCTCTTCTCTCTCTCTCTCTCTCTTTCTCTCTTTCTATATCTCTCTCTTTGTTCCCAAAACACGAAACTGGTTCTGTAAAGCACTCCAGGTCTTCAGCAAAGGCAAATTAGGATTATAACTCAATTAGAAATGAAGATAATATGAGTTTCCTTAAACGCTGCCTTGATCCTGTTAAAAGGTGCAAATGCAATGGCCATGCCAGCAAATGTGCAACCAACGACGTGGGAAGGCTGGTGTGCAATTGCCAGCACAACACAGCGGGCGTGGATTGTGAGAAGTGCCGGCCGTTTTTCCACGACCGACCCTGGGCAAGAGGGTCAGGTCAGAGCGGCAACGAATGTCTACGTAAGTGCGTCCGGTCACTGTCAGCCTCGTACATCAACCCGGCCTCGCGTCTTTGCCTCTATTCTGATTTCGCCCGCAGAATACGCCATCGAGTCACTTTACTGTGTATTCTGTGAAGCCCTTTGAGTGCGTCTCGAAGACATGATGAGGCGCTAGATTCAAATGCCAGGATTATTTTTATTATTATTATTGTTGCTGTTGCATATCCTAAAAGCGAGAAACCTCTAAATATCTATCCCTCAGCCTGCAACTGCAGTGGGAGATCAGAGGAATGTTCCTTTAACCGGGAACAATATCGCAGCACTGGGCACGGAGGGCAGTGTCTGAATTGCCGGGATAACACCACCGGGCCTCACTGCGAGACCTGCCAACGGCACTTTTACCGGAGTGAGCCGGTTGAGCCTTGTAAAGCCTGCAACTGCAACCTCGTGGGTGAGTGAACCGCATTTGTGCGAGCAAACGAGTGAGTACGTGTGTGAGGACACATTCATGTAGTACATTTCAAATTGATGTGCTCTCTTTCACGTCGGGAGTAACGTCTCAAAGCGCTGGGCTGGGTAAGGTTTGCACCCGAGCTGGGTGTAGGGGGTGGCTGCAGGGGTCCGAGAGCTTGTGGGGCGGCGGGGGTTGTGGGGCGGGGAGAATGGACGAAAGCACAGTCAAAGAGGAAGGTGTTGAGGTGGACCTTCCATGAGGTGAAGGAAAGGGAGAGCCAAAGGCACTTTGGGAAGGACTTCCAGAGAGTGGGGGCAGATACACTAAATGCCCGATGGCAATGGTGGGATTGTGGGGGGGTGGGGTGTTGGATGTGAAGCAGGCCATTGCCCACTGAGTGGAGGGAGCATCCGGGTTGGTAGGGTTTGAGCAAGTTGCAGAGGTTGGAATAGGGGTAAGACTATGAAGGGATTTAAAGGTTAAGGACGAGGATCTGGTGGGGGATGGAGAGCCAGTGGAACCGGGTTGACTATTCCCCCTCCACCTCACCGCCACCCCCGCCCCCACCCCCCCGCCCACCCCCGCAACACCCCAGCCCTCCACTCCCCCCATGTGGTTCAGATCTCTTCCCAAAGTATCCACTCTGCGCCCGGCTTCCCTGATCGGTTCCTTGTCACTGCAGGGTCACTGAGCTTGCAGTGCGATGCCAACGGCGACTGCATTTGCAAACCGAACGTCACCGGGAAGAAGTGCGACCGATGCCAACTGGGCTATCACTCGCTCAGCGAGGGAGGCTGCAGGTAACGGGAACAAATAACCATGTCACCTTTTGTGCAGATGTAAAGAGAGCAGTGTGTACCAACACGCAGAATCATTGAGTCTTATTATAATTATAATAATAATAATAATTATCCTTGCATTTGATATAGCACCTTATCACGTCTTCAAGACGTCTCAAAGCGCTTCGCAGAATATGCTGTGAAGTGTAATGACTGTGTGTTTAATGGGCGAAACGCGGCAGCCAATTGCGCACCGCGACTGTCCCAAACGCAAGGATTATTATCATTGTAAGGTGGCACGAGCAATGTATACGATACTCGTTAACGACGTACGTCTCTTTACAGAGCATGCGGTTGCCGGCCGGAAGGTAGTGTTGGACAATGTGACCCCAACACCGGGAGGTGTACCTGCAAGAAGAACGTGGAAGGGTTGCTGTGCCACAGGTGAGTGGCTTGGACGGACGCTAATCAGAAATCGTTGAAAGAATGTTCTGCAATCATCCTTGTAAACTGCCTGTTACGTCAAAACTGTGTCAAAGCACTCAACACAATTTTTTTTCCAGCAGTGTGTAGTGACTGTGTGTTTGCACACGCACAGCAGGGGTGGGCAATTATTTGGGCTGGCGAGTTTTGGTAAGCTTCACGGGCCACACGTTTAATATAGACGCAAACGCTTATTAATAGCTCAAAATCAAGTCTTACGCTTGTACATGCATAAAATAAAGTCCATATAACTGACATCCATTAAAATGAGGTTAAATAAAAACAACTCAATGAGCAGACATTTATTCGATGTTTATTCACTTATTGATGAGAACGTGAGAAGCTCACTCAGGCTCCACCTGAGCAGCCTTCACAGTGAGAGAGTACCCTGTATCACTGTACAAGGATTGTATTATATTATTATTATTATTAAAATCACCATCTTGCTTCCCCAGCTGCAAGTCGGGAACTTTCAATCTCCAACCTCACAACGTCCACGGCTGCATTGATTGTTTCTGCTACGGCCACTCAACTGCCTGCACCTCAGCCTCACAGTTTGCTGTGACCCAAGTAACCTCCACCTTCCAGCAAGGTAGGCTGTAGATTGTTAACAGAGTAAAACCACTCAACAAAGCCTACGTGGTACATTGGCCAGTAAAGTGTCTGACGCAGATGGAAACCCATCACTGTGCCTAAGCGTATTCACGGCAAACAACTGAGAGAGTTCCACGTCTGTTCATAGAAATTTCCCCGTGTCTGGAGTGGTATTTGCGCGCGGTCTCACCCCAGAGGAAACGCACAGTGCTCACCCGGAGAGTGTTGAGTGCTGGTTGGCAAAAGGCAAGGCTTTGGGACCAGAGACTGTGCATTGGGGGTTCCATCAGCTAAAACCACGTGGTTTGCCATGGCACAGCAACACCTCCCCGATGTTGGGGGTCACATTGACTGTCAAGCTTCCTGCTGAATGTTCAGCGAGGACCACCCGCTAGGGTTTTGGCTTGGAAGGGTTAACAGTGGCCAAGTGGGAAGAACCCCTGTGGCCAGAGACTCTGTCGCTTAACTGTTACTCTGCTGTGTCAATTAGAACATACAGTGCCCGCCAGATTTTACCGCCTGGTTGACCTTTGCCTGTAACTAAAAAGGAAAAAAACATACACGTTATATAACACCTCAGACGTTGAACATCTCAAAGTGATTCACAGTAATTATTGTCAAGGGCAATGCCTGTTGGCTGTAGCGTGTGACAAGGAGTCTTGTCTGTTTCTGTAGGAGATGATGACTGGCGAGGGCAGTACCTGGACGGAGGAGAATTGTCACTACACTGGCAGGAGGAGAGGATCAGTCTGCCCCCAGATAACGCTGACTGGGGATATTTCATCGCTCCGAGTAAGCACTGAATGAGACGCACAGACCTGAAGCCAATGAGGCAAACTTCACTGCGATATACGCTGTACCTCGTGTTTGCAGACAATTCACTTGACAGTATATTTCTGTGAAGCGCTTCGAGACGTCTCCTATGTCGCTCCTTTCACATAGGAAAACACGGGAAAACACGCGGTGGGTCTGTCGAATAAGGCATTAGCGCGAGGGTCCTGATGATGATTATTTGATGATGATGATGTTTGTGGTCTGATGATGATCATTGTAAATCTCTGATTTTTAGGCAAGTTTTTGGGAAACCAGCTCCTTAGCTACGGTCAGAACCTCTCGTTTGTTGCTGTCAATGTGGAAAGCAAGGCCTCACCATCCTTCAATCTGATTCTGGAAGGTTCCGGAATCCACATGTCCGCCTCAGTCTCTCCGCAGATCGCGAAGGACACCAACCCCACGGAGCTGGTCTTTGTCTTCAGGTGAGTCTCGGGGTGACAGCGTGAGGGTCTGAGGCTCACAGGAATCAATGGACAGGGAGCTTTCTTTAGCCAATTGGTTCGGTCGGTAGCACCCTCGATCTGGGTTAGATGGTTCTAGATTCAAGCTCCATGTTGGGACTTGAGCTTGTGGTGTGAGCTGACACCGCAGTGTCGTGCTGTGTTCAGACGATCTGTTAAAACCAGCGACCCATCTGCCCGTTCAGAGAGACGCTGAGGATTCCATAGCACAACTGTACAAGAGGATCGAGTGTAGCGGATTGAGCTGACCCTTTAGGTGTCAGCTTGGCTCACTTGGTAGCTCTCTCGCCTCTGAGTCAGAAGGTTGTGGCTTCAGGAGGCTAACGCTCCGTGCCATTGCTGAGGAAGCTCTGCGTTGTTGGAGGTGCCGTCACTTCGGATGAGACGTCAAACCGAGGACCCATCTGCCTGTTCAGGGTGGATGTTTAAGATCCCATGGCACCATTTGAAAAGAGAAGGGAGTTTCTCCCGGTGTCCTGGCCAACAATCCCTCAGATAAAAGTAATTCGCCCCAAGGATTATTATATATGTCATTGGGGTGGTCCTATGTATCTGGGTATTGATTGAGACTAGACAAGAAACCATCTTCTAGGTCAATGGCCAGCGATAATTTGGTCACTCAATCCACGACTGGGACGCTGCTGTGCGCAACTGGCTGCCGCGTGTCGCCCACAAAACATGCAGTCAATTCACTTTACAGTATATTCTGTGAAGCGTTTTGAGACGTCTCGAAGACGCTACATCAAATGCAAGGATTATTATTACTATGACTGTTAACCAAGGTTTCTGTGGGACTGAGGAATAAAGGGAAACACTGTTGAAGTAAGTGTGTGAATTCTTTCCTGTGACAGACTGAACGAAGCTGAGCAGGGGATACAGACGCCTGCACTGTCCAGCTTCCAGTTTCACCAGCTCCTCTCCAACCTGACGGCCATGAGGATAGGAGGGACTGGCAGTCCAGGCTGTAAGTGCGGAGGGAAAATCTGCCGCTTTACTTGGGATTGTACCGAGGAACGTGATTCACTCGAGGTGTTTAGACAGCTTGAGTCTCAAGTCGTGAAATATCAGACCCCTGAGATCGCTCACTCACTCTGATATCCGTTACGCAGCTCACACTGCGCTCTTACTCGTTGTTTCGAGCCCTGCTTAACCAACCGCCATCGCTTTGCCCCCACAAAAAAAATGTCCTACCCGCCCCCCCGCGCCCTCCTGCGCAGTCACCTACGGCATACCCCAAGGCTCCGTCCTTGGCTCCCTCGTTTTCTTCATCTAACATGCTCCCTCTTGGCGATGTCATCTGCGTAAACGGGGTATAAACTTCCACGTGTACGCGGGTGACACCCAAGATTACTTCTCGTCACACCAGCTGCGACCACGGGGTCCGTTTGTGTTCTGTCGGCTTGTCTGTCAGACATCAGGGCCTGGATGAGCGCAAGCTTCCTGCAGCTGAACTTCGACAAGACAGAAGCCATCGCTCCTTGGCTCCCATCAAAAAATCTCATCCCTTCCTCTTTGACCGTGCTCATGGTCACCTCCTAACACCCCCCCCACCCCCACCCCCCCAGGCTTGGCATCAGGCTCCGCCACTGTTAAGCGCCCCGAGACTCTATACTCCTATACGCTATACAAAAATGCAAGTTGTTGTTGTTGTCTTCGGGCTAAGACCGTGAGAAATTGGTTGTTCTTGTCACGGCTATTTGTGGAACATTTCTAGATCCAAATCGGCTGCTGTGTTAACCTACAAAACACACTGTCATTGCACTTTACAGTGGATTCCTGTGACGTACGTTGAGATGTCCTCCCGACATGAGAGGCGCTGGATCAGATGTAAAGATTATTATTTATTTTTGTTAAATCCCTTGCCTCGGAGTGTTATTCGGTGACCCCCTGCTGAAGAGAGCGCTGTAATGAGGGTTCGTGTTCAGAGTTGATCGGCGAGGAGGGAAAGCTTTGTGCAGCTGTATTGATGTGCTCTGACCTGCCTGCTCTCTGCTCTCTGCTCTCTCGCTCTCTCTCTCTCACACGCACACACACACACAGCGTATGTGAAGGAGGTTGTGTTGATGACAGCCCGGCCTGGCCTGTCACCTCTGGCGTCCTGGGTGGAGGAGTGCCTGTGTCCGCAAGGTTACATCGGACAGTTCTGCCAGTCCTGTGCACCGGGCTTCAAGCGAGATGTTCCCTACGGAGATGCGCTCACTTTCTGTGTTCCCTGCTCCTGCAACCAGCATGGAACCTGCAACCCCGACTCAGGTCAGTGTGTACTCCCAGCAAGTCCACACTTTTGGGCACTTATTATTATTATTATTATTATTATTATTATTATTATTATTATTATTGCTGCCTTTTACACAGAGCGATGCAAAAATGACAACCAGCCAAAAAGGTAAGTGGTGGAACTGGAACCGTAGCATGGATTAAACTCTCGGTCTTAACCTCTATTCTCCCCCACCCCCCACTCCCCAAACCCCACCCCACACCCGCGGTCCTCAATTCCGTCTCACCGTCCCAGACTTTAGAGTTGCAGAGACCATTTGATTGCAGCCTCCTGATTTCTACACGGCCTCTAACTTTATTATAGTCTGCCAAAGACTTCAAGATGTTGCCTGCACGGCACTCCACACATGGCAACGTTTACTCTGCCGCCACTGAAGCCACATTTTCCGCAGTTTGTGCTTGTGTCTAGCGGGGAAATGCAGCACGAAAGCTTGGCAGGTATTAGGGGGTCCCTATAACTTGGTCATTAGAACATAAGAAAAATGCCGGACGAGAAAAAGACCAAGATCCATCTAGTTCACCTTCCATCTTCCTGGCGGTCGCAAATTGGCACACATGTCCCGACCTCCCTATGTCTTAGATCCCGTAATGTTACTCCCTTCCCTCAGCTGGTTCCTGGCTTCCGCATGTCCCTTGTCCCTTGTGCTCCACCATCGGCAGCCGTGCTTTCAGCCACTAGACCCCGAAACTCTGGAGCTCCCGGCCTCAATCCCTCCCTGACCTGCCCCCCACTTTGACCATCTTCAGCTCGCCCGCTAGGGTCATCTCCCCGCTCTGCCCCCACGTCGCTGCCCCGCATGAAGAAGGGCGCGATGCAAACGCAAGTCGTTCTTGTAGAAATAGCGCATTTACAATATCAAAAACATTCCTGGGATCCAAACCGCCGATAAATTCCAACAGCAGCAACGAGCGTTGGATTACTTATCGTGCCTTTCACCGAGAACATCTCAAAGCAAAGCTTCACAAAGATAGAGCCGGGGGGGGGGGGGGGGAGGTGGGGGAGAGGGCTCCAGGAGGGAAATGGGGAGGGGTAGTGGGAGGGATACGTCATAACCGAGCATCGGAAACTGGACCAATAAAACAACAAAGTAAGTGTTGAGCAACTTCTCAGCGTCTCAACAAACCACTAACCCCAGATAAAAGCCGTTTTGCACAGCTCCCCCCTGAGGCAAGAAATGTATGGCCTTTTCCGTAGTGCAAAGCTTATAATAATAATAATAATAATAATCCTTGCATCTGATGCTGCGCCTTATCACGTCTTCAAGACGTCTCAAAGCGCTTCACAGAGAATACCGTGGAGTGAATTGACTGTATGTTTTGTGGGCTACAGGATGAAGATAGGGTGAAACAGGTCGATTGGTGGATTGCTTTCTGGGGATAATACTAATAATTTGGTCACTCAATCTGGTCGCGAGTGTTTGTGGACTGTGCTCAGTTCACTGCCCCATTTCGCCCACAAAATATACCGTCAATCCACGTTACAGCGTATCCTGTGAAGCGCTTTGAGACGTCCCAATGACCTGATCAGACGCTGTATCGAATGCCTCGCATTAACCCTCCAATCCTCTGTCTGTTTGACCGTTGGGTGTATTAAGATGAATCTCCGTGACTGCTCAGCCCCTGACCTTTGACTTGCAGGTGCGTGTCAGTGTCTACACAACACAGCCGGTCCATCCTGTGAGCGCTGCGCGGACGGGTTCTATGGCAATCCGTTCCGGGGCAGGTACGATGACTGTAGGCCGTGTCCCTGCCCTGGGCAGTCCAGCTGCGCGAAGGTGGAAGAGACCAAGGAAGTTGTCTGCACGTTTTGCCCCGAAGGGCAGACGGGTAAGGCAGCCATGTTTGTGGGGACGCTGCTGTGCGCAATTGGCTGCTGCGTTTCGCCCGCAGAATACACAGTCAATTCACGTCAAAGCGTAGCCCGTGAAGCGCTTTGAGAGACGTCACAAAGACGCGATAAGGCGCCGTATCAGATGCAAGGATTATGATGATGATTATCATTATTATTATTATTATTATTCTCATCCCATGTTCCACTGTACCAGCCACCGAGTCGTGTCTGCAGCTCAGCCGAGGTCTTATAGAGTGCCCGGAAACGGGCTCGAGGGGCTGACTGGCGTACTCCTGCTTCTACGGTTTCTAAGACTCTCTTCTAAGATTCCTGTTCTCGGTTGCAATCCCCACATCTGCGTCGCCACAGCTGGTGAGCAGACTTGCTGAACTCTGGCGAACGTCCCAAAAAGGTTTCAGAGAACTCGAGAGAAACCGCAGCAACACTCCGAAGGGAGCAGAGCCTCAGCGTAAATGTGCTTAGTCTGGTCTTCAGATACCACCTAAAGACCTTCCTTTTTGACCATGCTTTACGGTTGACCTTCCACCCGCCCCGACCACTCCCTCATCCCCCCCTGGCTCGGGGGTCAGACCCCGCCACCGTGTGGTGCTCCGGGGCACTACCCCACGTGAAGGGGCGCTACATAAATGCACGTTGTTGCTGTTGTCGGTCTTGGAACTCTTTGGCAAGCATCCTTCTGTGTTTCTGACCGGTCTCGCTGTGCGCCTTCTGACTTTGTCCAGGGAAACTGTGCGAAAAGTGCGATGACGGCTACTTCGGCGACCCTCTGGGGAGACACGGGGAGGTGAGACCCTGCGTCCTGTGTCAGTGCAGCGGGAACATCGACACCAACGCCGTAGGGAACTGCCATCACCTGACCGGAAAGTGCCTGAAATGCCTCTTCAACACGAGCGGACGCTCCTGTCACGAGTGCGCCGACGGCTTCTACGGAAACGCCTCAGCCACGGATCCGGTCAACAAATGCAGACGTGAGTAGAGACGTTCGTGTCGCAATCCGAATGCTCCAGAGAGGTTCCAGGGACGCTAAGCTCTCCGGGAAGCTGCCCCAAGCGACGAGCACTTCATCGGTGCAAGATTTTTGTTGTTATTGTTGGAAGTAAAAGCCAGTTACAGAACTGAGATCAATGAAAAACCGCAGACAGCGAGATAGTACCCTCAGTGAGAAATGTACATTGTAATTACAAGTCGTAATTAATCTCACTTAGTCTCCTGGTTTGAGATTGTGCAATTTGGATCTTTAAGTGGCCACAATTTAATTTTGGCACAGATTAATCGTGTCATTTACGTGTGGAAAGGATTGGCTGTTACGTTGCACAGTCAATGGAACCCGTTGTTCCACCTGTCGCGTTGGGCTTTACACGTGGCGCACAATACGATTGCTTGCGCGTGGTTTACGCATGGCGTGGAATAGACCCCGTCGTCTTTGACCCCACTGCATCTGTTTCTCTGTTACCTCAGTGTGCGGGTGCAATCCAGCCGGCTCGACCGATGGCCTTCAGACCTGCGACGTTCAGAGTGGACAATGTTCGTGTCTGCCCCACGTGACCGACCGGGACTGTGGGCATTGTGAACCTGGGTATTACAACCTGCAGCCTGGAGTGGGCTGTGACAGGTAATAACAACAACAACAACAACAACAACATATCACATTTGTATATGAGGGAGAAGTGGGGGAGGTGACCATCGATGCGGCTGAAGAGATGAGGTGAGATTTATGATGGAGAAAGTGGGGGGGTGAGGGGGAATGGGTCACCGGTACCAGCTATTAGCTCGAACACCACGCGGGGCTTGAGTGCTAATCAATCGCTGAATTCGGTGAGCAGTGTGCGTGCGTCCGTCCACCCCTGAAGAGAGAGCGCGTTCCATTCACACGGGACAGAGTAGCGGAGCCTGAGGCCGAGGCGGGGGGGAGGGATGGAGGGAGGGAGAAGGTGACCACGAGCACGGTCAAAGAGGAAGGACTTCAGTCGTGATCTAAACGAGGGGAAGTGGGGGAGCAAGGCAGAGGGATTGAGGGAGAGAATTGCTGAATTAAAAAGCGGCTCAAGGCTGTGACTGATGGGTATTCTGGACGGATGGGATCAAGTGGGTCAAAGGACCTTCTTCCTCCGAACCGGTCGCGTGGTTCTTGCGAGTGTAATTCTCACCGTTGCTTTGCTTCCAGGTGCGATTGCCATCCTGACGGGTCGCGAAACAGCTACTGTCACCTGGTGACTGGGCAGTGCACGTGTCGTCCCGGCATAGACGGCACATCGTGCGACAGATGCCAGCACGGATACTTTGACTTCTCCGCAAAGGGCTGTCGAGGTACGGGGTTAAGCTGCTCTACCCTGGGCAGAGGTGACGTACTTCACAAGACCCACAAGCTGTAGCTTGACACAATTAGCAGCTCCCCTGACGGTCTAGTGGTATGAATGTCCTGCCTGGTGTGGCACCGAGTCACACGGAGACCAGAAGGTCTCGGGTTTGATGCTACGGCAAATGGCATTCACGCAGCGCCCTTCAGCTGGGGACAGGATTGAGAAGCAGATAAGCGTGAGGGTGGGGTGGGGGCTGCTGGGAGGGTTGCGAGAGGGAGATGTGGTCGAGGAGTCCAGAGAGCATACACTAGAGGGCAGAGCTTGAATGGTTTTTGTGTGGTGCGTTGTGCAACAAGCGAAGTGGTAATTGGGGTCGAAACAGAAGTTTGCTTACGTTCGGTTTGGTTACAAGTGTGGTCGAAATTCGATGCTGTGATATTGACGGTTGGATAACGGGAGGTTACTAAATTTCGTTGTCTTTCTCTGACCCAGAAGATAACGCAGACTGACCTTGCGCTGGGTGTCTGTGTGTTTATCGGTCACTGCAGAACACGACGGGGGTGGGAGGAGGCCTCTGGGCTGATTTAAGACGAAGTGCGTTTCTTCGCATTCCATTTATTTTTTCCCTTCTCTTCGTGACGTTTATCTCCTCCGCAGTCTGTAACTGTTTCCCTCTGGGCTCGGTGCGGATGCAGTGCAGAGACAACGGGACCTGCGTGTGTAAGCAGGGCTTCGGTGGCTACAAGTGCGATCAGTGTCACACCAACTACTTCTACAACTCGACCACCTTCCACTGCCAACAGTGTCCAGTCTGTTACGGGCTGGTCCGAGATCAGGTCAGTTTTGGCTCTTGATGCCCCAATTGCACAGGTTGAGGGTGAGTTGTGCAATTGGCCAACAAGTGGGGGTTCTCCATTGATAGAGGGGGTGGTTTTAAACTGGGACCCACTTGGCTGCGCAGGTGAACTCAGCCACAATTTGAAACGCAGATGTTTTAGGACCAAATTGAGTTTCGACTTGCAAAGGGTGAATTCAGGTCACACACCCGGAAGCTTTTCCTTCACCCAGAGAGTAACTGACATGACCAGGAAGCAAACACGACTTCAGTGAGCGAGCGGTAAACATACAAACAGGTTCCCCGAGGCAGACGGTGGAAGCAGAAAATGTTGCTCGTTTCAAGAACGAATGAGATAGATTTCTGCTGGACAGTAATATCTCGGGGATACAGGATATAGTTCAGGACACGACATGGCGAGCGACTGCCAGGATGGTGGAACTAGATGGACCTTGGTCTTCTCTCGCTCAGCAAATTCTTACGTTCTTACGTTCTTACACTTGACAGCGGTTGGCTTGTGAAGCGCTTTTAAGATGTTTCGCTGTGATACATACTTTATCAAACGCGGGGATGGATATTGTAATCATTATGGCTGAGTTCAATACTCTCTCTCTTCTCTCTCTCTCTCTCTCTCTTTCTCGCTCTCTCTGCCCTGTGGCAGGTTGACAGACTGAAGGAGAAGCTGCACAACCTGGAGGAAGGTCTGGAGAAGTCCACGTGCAGATCTGACCATTGGCGTCAGTATTATTCCATCCATCTGGAGACGGCTGTCAGGGACATGGTGGTGGAGGTTCAGTCACTGCAGGGTCAGTCAGGGATGATACACACCTAACGTATCTTCTCTCAACACCTTCACTCAAGCCATGACAGTTTGCTGTTGATAGACACAGCTATACACAACACATTGGGGCTTGAGCTTGAGCTTGTGATCTAGAATGATGCTCCAGTGCAGTGCTGGGGGAGTATTGCCTTGTTGTAGGTGGTGTGCTTCAGATAGAACATGAAACACATCTCTCAGCACTTGAAGGACATTATCCATAAGTGGTTTGAGATGTTTTGACCTGATAATGCACTGCAACAATGCTTTCATTTGGTCTTTCTCTCTCTCTCTCTCTCTCTCTCTATCTGTCTCTGTATTTCTCTCTTTCTTTCTCACCACATTGGGCTTATTTCAGAGGTCGGAGCGAGCTTTGTCGATGTGTTGGTGTTGTTCTTCTTATCGCAGATACAAAGGAAATTTTCCTGAGTGATATCCGTGGAGTAGAGAGCTCACTGGAGGAGATCGGAGAGAAACTGAGCAACGTGAGCCAGAGCCTGAGCTGTGAGGAGAGCCAGTTCCAGTGCCGCCTTGTGTCCAACAGTCACCTCCTCATCCTCACTACACACGCCCAGCTCCAGGCAGCCAGAGAGACGTTGAACCAGACGGTAACACACGCCATGGAGGGGTACGGCGGGTGGCCTGGTCCATCAGAAACCAGGAAGTATTTATTTACAGAGAGGGGAAACAACAGCCCAAAGAATATTTACACTCAAATATTTTGGCTAAGAAATACAAGAGAGATTCCCGATCTGTTGCTGAGTTAGATGATCCCAGATGAGGTGCAGGAAGGAGTGCTACAGTACACTACCGGATAAGGTGCAACTATCACATGGAATAGGCACAAATACCACCCTGACCCTCTCTCTGCCCAGTTATTGTGGTCTGGAAGGTGATGGTGTTTGGACATTGGGTGAGGACAGGATTGATGCTCTTGTGGTTGAACATTCTCCTCGTGCTCAAGTGTACAGACCCACACACACACGCACCTCTCTCTCTCTCTCACACTGCGAGTGCGGGCTGACAATTACAAGATGCTCTAATGGCTCAGTTGCGCCCATTCTGCTTGATGGATTCAGCTCCGTTCAGCAGACAGCACCCGGTCTATGCTGTGCCGGTCTCTGCACTGTTTCCATCAGACGGTGCGGGAAATTCGTCAACCCAAGCCAACCTTCCCTCTAACCCAATGTTCCCACCAATGGAGAGTGTATTAATTAGCGGACTCCCCGGTATAACAGTAAAAACCGGACAAGAACCTTCTGCTCCCGTTGAACAGGTCTCGTGGAGGATTCCAATCGGGACTGAGAGTGACACCAACAACAGATCAGTGGCGTTCAGGAGGCGCGGACACTCGCCGCCAGGTAACACCAGTCACTTTAGCTGTCGTTCCCAGAGCTTTGCAGTCACACAGTCGGTAAAATTCCTTCATGTGTTTGACAGGGGGCTGAGAGGAGACCTCATCCAAGTGGGTTTGAAAGAGTAAACGCAGAAACCAATACGTGTAGGATGCACCTAAAGCATAGAGGACAACAACAACAACACCGACTTGCATTTATACAGCACCCCTCGGTCCCAAAGCACTTTTTTGTCCCAGAGGAAACTAGATTTAGAAGCCGTAAAGGGGCAATTTCAGAACTGATGGCAGGAAGGTTTTTCTTTACTCAGAGAGTAATTAACGACAAGTCGAAGACAGAAGGGAGTTTCTGTCTCTCTCTCTCTCTCTCTCTCTCGCTCCCAGTGTCCTGGCCGACAATCCTCCTGTCGTGTCGGCCTACAAAATACGCAGTCACTGTACTTTACAGCGATTCCCGCGAAGCGCTTTGAAACGTCCTCCCTGATGAGAAAGGTGTTATATCAACATGAGGATTATTATTAAGGGCAACTTTGCATCAAGTCAATTCAGATACACGTGGTGTCAGCTCCACTGTATGGTCAAATGCTGATATTACACGTGTATCTGGTTGCACAGTTAAACAGTGATCCTGGTATAAAAACATTGGCTTCTGTCAAATTAAAATCTTGGCTCTTTTTCAGCTGTGAAGTGTTGAAACTGACACAGAATCTGGAAAATTTTCCTTTAGCCTCTGAGATCTTACGTGACCTCGTGTCAACTGACCTTGAGAAACATTAGAAACTAATGTTCGGGCAGCTCCAGATAGAAGCGCTGTTAAATAAAATCGCTTCAAATAAAAAAGACACCACGTGTATCTCTTCGAAAAGGAAAGAGACTTTCTCCCGGTGCCAACCATCTACCCAGATATAATTGGTTGTTCACTTCACGGCTGTTTGTAGGACATTGCTGTGCGCAAACAATCTATCTTTCTCTGTATCCCTCTTTGACTTTCTCTTTATATCCCTCTCTGTCTTTCAAACTTTCTCTCTCTCGCTCTTATGTTCTGTGACGCCCTAACTTTTTTTTCCCTCTCACTTTGAGCCTCTTAGACATACCGTGAACAGCCTCTAATAATAATAATAATCCTTGCATTTGATATTGCTCCTTATCGCTTTGTTGAGACCTCGAAAAAGCGCTTCACGGAATATACCGTAAAGTGAATTGACTGAGTGTTTTGTGGTGTGTATGTGTGTGTGTGTGTGTGTGTGTGCGTGAATCTGGATGATTTGGGGATAAGTAATGTGTTTTTGATCTGATCTGCTCTTGGTGCGCAGTCACGGTGAAGTTGCCGAAAAGATCCAGTTGCTGGTAGGAGAAGCTCTGTCTATGTCTAACAAGAGCTATACCCTCCTCACTGACATCCTCGGCGACCGATCTTCAGAGGGCCATATCACGGAGGTGGAGGATAAGTGAGTATGTTGTAGCTGAGCCTTCTCTGCCTCTGCTTGTTCATAGGCGTTCTTATGTCCTGTTGTTCAGCTCTGGGCTGCAGGAATGTGAGCTGCCACACACACACACACACACACACACACGCACGCACACACACACAGACCCGGGCAACGTCCTGGTTTGGACACTTCAATCCCACATTTACAAACGTTTCCAAACAGCCACGAAATTCAGTCATATTTTCAGTGACATCCTCTCGACACGCCAAGAATCATCTCAAGAATGCTTTTGAAACCTACTGGTATCCGTAGCCAGTAACCCTTCCCCTTATCAGCCTCCACGAGCTTGTCACCCCATCCTCGCCTGGCATTGATTTTCTAACTCCCCCGCCCCCCCGCCCGCCCACCCGTCGGCCCCCTTCCCCCAACTTTAAGCTCCTCGTTCTCGCCTTCAAATGCCTCCACCGCTTTGGAACCAACCCTCTGCTCCCCGTGGCTCTGGCCTGCTGCGAGCCCCATAAATTTACCCGTCCGTTTTCCTATCTCTGTCGTCGCTGCGGCAGAATTGAAGCGGTGCAGAGCGCAAAGGAGGAGCTGGAGCGAGAGCTGGAGGACGCCCTCAAAGAGGCGAAGAAACTCTACACGTCCACACAACTCACACTTCCAAACGTCACTGTGCAGCTTCCAAACATCACCGACCTGGAACCTGAGGTCTGTAAAGAACAGCGGACAACAGGAGGGCAATTGTGAATAACCTTCACCTCCAGCACCCGTTATTCTGGCCTAATAACTCACCCTTCTCTTGAAGGTCGGCTCGAGGGGTTTGGAGGCAGAGATTGCAATCGTAGAGAATCTGCTTCAGTCCAAAGAGCGTCTGGTTAATGAGGTGATCGAGGAGGTCCAGACACAGGCTGAGGAGCTGGGCAAGCAGATGGCGGCCAGGCAATCTTACGCCCAGGTACACGAGGAGCACCCGCGCTCAGGGACAGTCGAATTAAAAAGTCATTGTCCTCGACCGGTTGCTCAAATTCTCTCCCTTTCTGTCTCCCTGTTCTCCATCCGCCTCCTTCATCCCACAGCTCCTGAAACGTGCCAACTCTGCCCGAGCCACAGGGATGGCTTCGGTGCAGGCTGGACGGCGGGTAAGGAAAGAAGCGAACACGTTGCTGAAACACTTGGATGGTACGTCCAGACTTCAGCCGCGTCCCAGGTTTTGGTGCGCAATGGATCAGCGTCTGTCTCGGGAGGCGTGAGTTTGCCTCGGAAACCTGGGAGCGAGCCGACCGGGATTGGGTCACTCGATGCACGATTGTCGGCGGGACGCTGCCGTGCGCAATGGGCTGCCGCGTTTCGCCCACGAGAAACACGCAGGCAATTCGCGTGACTGCTCTGTTCCGTGAAGCCCTTCGTCGACGTCTCGACGAGAGAACGCAAGAGCGGGATGAGAGGGCGGACATTCCCATAGGGCTAACGCACCCCGTCTCTTTCTTTTCCTTTAACGAACTGCTCCCACTCCATTCAACCGTTTGCCTGGGTCACAGACAACAAGAAGAGATTCTCGGCCAGAAGAGCGAAGACCAGAGGGCCGTGAAGAAGATGCGATCCATCCGGGAGAAAGTGCTGGCGGACGCCAAGAAGAAGACTGCGCAGGCGGCCAGAGTCCTGAGAGCAGCTCGAACCAACGCAGCCACCGGGAACGCCACCAGCCATCAGACCTTGCATCTGAGCAGTCGGGTCTCCAGGGTGAGTGGATCAAGGCCCTCCTCTTTGACCGCACCTTACCTCACCCACCTACCCCTACCCTCCCCATCCTCCATTTCCCCCCGCCCCCAAACCCCCACCCCTCCTGCTCCCAACCACCAGCTGAAAAGGGTGCGGATCCCAGACTGTCCAGCGCCTTGGGACTTCCTCCTGTAACTTGTTGTTGCTGTAGTTGTTACGGAACGTAGGAACAGGAGTAGGCCATTCAGCCCCTCGAGCCTGTTCCGCCATTCCGTTAGATCATTAGGGACGGCTTTGTGTTTCAGGAAGCCCAGCGAATCAAAAGAAAAGCTGAGGATTGCGTCTCGAGCTCCAGCGTGTTGCGTTCAGACCTGGAGATGGCTCAGGCTGAGGTGGAGGTTTGGGAGAAACAAGTGGGAGCATTGAAGTTGGCAGCGGTGAAAGACCTGGAAACAGCTGCGGAGGTAATTAATCCTGAATTCACGTCAAGCACTTTGAGGTGTCTCGAAGACGTGATAAGGCGCTATATCGAATGCAATAGTTATTATTATTATTATTATATTATTATTTATTATTTCCACTCCACGGCAGGTTAATGCCGGCGTGCAAACGATGGGAAAGAACATAAAGAAAGCAAAACATTCCCTGGGCCGTGATGTAAAGAAACTGACAGAGTTACTGAAAACAATTGGTACGACGAGGTTTGAGTCTTCTGTTTTCATACATCAAGTCCATTTAATTTTGAAGCTAACTTCCCGTAAGATCTCATGAGACGCGCATTATTCCTGTCGTTCAGGTGAGACGTCAAACCGAGGTCCCGACTGCCAGTTCAGGGGTGGACGTTAAAGATCTCATGGCTATTCGAGAAGAGAAGGGAGTTCCTCTCTCGCAGTGTCCTGGCTAACAGTCCCCCTCCCACCCCCCCGCCCCCCCCAAATAAAAATCAGTCACCTGTTTCATGGCTGTTCGTGGGACATTGTTGTGCATAATTGCACTCCTACAAACACACAGCCACTCCATTTCACAGTGAATCCTGTGAAGAGCTTTGTATCGTCCTTCTGATGAAATAAGTCCAATGATTATTATTATTATTATTATTATTACCCTAGACCTTATGAAATCTGCCTGTGCTTAGATTTAGGGATGCAATAGATTTGGAGGTGCCTTGGATTTGAGTAAATGCAACATAATTGTGCAAATTTGCACCTTTTTAGTTCTGGGGTTTGATTTTTTCCCCCCTCCACCCCCCCAACAGAGGGACTGGAGCTTAATCCTGCAACAGACGAGGTGCTGAATGAGACGGAGACTCGGGTGTCGTTGCTGAGCTCGCAGATCAACAGCCGGTTAACGCAGAAGGTGCGGACCCTGGAGGCTGCGGCCGAGATGCAGATCCTGAGAATGAAAGCGTTCGAGAAGGACATCGCGGAGATCGTGGCCGAGAAGCACAGCCTGGAGGATATAGCCCGCACCCTGCCTCGGGGCTGCTTCAACAGTCCGGGAGCCACGAGGCAGTGAGAGAGGCCTCGCGGGTAAAGCAGCGGAGAGCAAGCGGTGGCTGTAAACGAGCCTGTGGTATAACCTAAAGAACATTCGCCAGACGTCAGCAACTTAACCTCTTCGTTACGTCGATCGTGTATTTCGTATCCAGCGACGTTGGCTTTTTTTCTCCTTCCCCCCTCCCCCCCCCACCCCCTCCAACTCCCGTCCTCCGGAAAAGGTGCTCGACTCGGGATCCAGATCCAGCATTCCAACAATCTATCTCTCTGGGATGTCCCTGTGTAGGTGGGAAGCGTGGAAACCTCAGCTTGGCTTGGGTGCTCTTAAGCACGGGGTTGGGTTTCCGCGTGCGTCAGACACCCACCTGGCTGAACCATAATAAAATATATATATTTTTTTTGAACGTGAGAAGAAGGAAGCTCTCTGGAACCTCATCCCGAGTGGCTGTTCTTTGCCTCCGAGCCTGGATGTGTGGCAGGCATCTGACTTCAGAGCCAACACAGCCGAGTCTGATCCCAATCTCGCCGGCTCCCGTCCACACGTTCTTTTTCTTCTCCCCTGGAGAACATTTTATCTCTTCTTCCCAGTTCAGGAAGGCCGAGCTCAATTGGGTTTCCCCACAAACCCCACCCTCCCTACCGCACCTCCTTCTTCCCACTTGCTCCCAATCGGATCTGATCGCGAACCAGGAATCAAACTTAGGATCTTCTTGTGGTGCAGGACTCGGTGTACATCAGACTCACATCATGAGAGAGAGGGCCTGGCAAGCTCGGAGACATTGACTGAAAAACTCTTAACACTAACAGTCAGGACTGGAGGCACCTACAACACACATCAGAAAGTTTGAGTGGCAACCACGTCCCTAGCTATGCTCACTGACCATCCTATCCTGTGTCTGTGCCCATGTTTATCTGTATGAATTAAAGGAATTTCCCCTTATCCTGTAGCTTATGGGTTGGAGACGCAATGGTTTCGGAAGGGTAGATAAAACGACAGTTCATTCCACCGCTGGTCAATAATTCAGAAAGATAATTAAAGGATGGAGATTTTGGTCTTTAATGTGGACGTGCTTTCCTCAGAGCTGAGCCAGTGGTATTTTTGCTAGCATGCTGATTGCACCTCTTCGTTTATTGAAGGCTTCTGCTCATATTTCTGCACTTTGCTCATCTGTAATTTAGGCTTGCGATGGGTTAGGGCTGCATTTTAGAAATCAGATCAAAGTACCAGAGATCCGGGTGTCTTAAAACTTCCTCCAGCTTTCATCAAACTGCATTGGAGTTGTAGAGATTGCAATAGGGGAGGCCTTTCAGCTCATCAAGACTATCCTTGTGTTAGCTCCTCCACAGGAGCTAAATAATATGGCTGTTTGTAGGACATTGCTGTGCGGAACTGACAGCACAGACCAGCCCGGCTTATCGACGGGTCTTGGAAAGGTAGACCAGTCACTGGGGGCAGGGAATCTTCTCACTCAGCTCCTGCAAGTCAAAGCCCGAATGGGTAGGGTGGTCGAAGCTCATGTACCAGACTGAAGTCCTGGCAACTATCTATCATGTTATCAGTCGATTTACTGATTCTGTGAGCTAGACTGCTTAAGTAGGCATCAGGAAGGAGCCTGAAATCCTTGGCTTCGTTAACATGTACTCTATTTGGAGTGCGCAAAACCGCTTCACACAGTCGTTCAGCAGCCCATCTGTTCAGATAGACATTAAAGATCCCATGGTATTGCTCAACAAGAGAAGGCAGTTTCTTTCATTGTCCTGACCCGCAAACCTCCAGAGTAAATTGGTCACTCACTTCATGGCTATATGTGGGCCACTGCTGTGTGCAAATTGGCCGCCGCGTTCCAGAATGGGTTACTGTAGATTTAATCCACGAGGAGGCAGTCTGGCTTTGAAGCTTTTGCAGCTCTGTTGGTGTGAACCCAGTTTATGTCATTATATTAATAAATAACCGTACGTTAATCAGGTTTGGATAAATACCAGACTTGGGTGCAAATGCATTTGAATTTACGTTTGTATCTGAATGTCTGAGTGAATCATTTGTAGTTGACCAAATGCATTTGTAATATTTTATTTAAATACCGATTAGAATAATTTAAAGGCATTATCACCTCCTTCCTCGCCCCCCCCCCTCTCCCCCCTCTCCCCCCTCCCCAACCCCCAACTTGTCAACTTCCCATTTCGTCTCTTTGGAGAGGACTCGTTATCGGTTCTGTATTCCAAAACTCCGCCGGAGGCTGATTCAGAACATGACGAGAATCTGACCAGACATCAGAAGAGATCACATTCTGCGTGGGAATAACTTTACGCAACAACAACGAAAATAAATTGAACTTTGATGGCATAACAATTCAACGTAATCGTGAACTCAAATCTCTTTGTGCATTTCTCGTTTTATTTCGATTTACCCGCAAATCGAATTGATGTTAATTGCGAGACGCGCAGCTCCCTTTTGAGGTATTTAATCTTTATAACAGTATTAAATGATTGCCACGATGATCACACCACAGTGTCGCATTTTGCTTTTGTGCCTCTTTTGACATCACAATGTTTGACGCCTACTTGAGATAACTGGGGTTTATCCAAACTCTCCAGAACTCTGCAGCTCGTGTCCTTTTCCCATCCTGGGCTCTGTGAGCCTATATCGCCCCTCAATTCTTCCGTGGTCTTGCCCCACCTTACCTCCCTGACCTCCCCAAACCCACGCTCCGCACCTAACAAACAGAAATCAGCAACGTAGCAGGAATAGTAGAGTTTTTAGGTTTATTGTAACTGCATTTGCCGTTGTGGGCAAATCGTTGGGCGAGTTTCTTCACTCCACACGCCTCCGTTTACCCAGCAGTAAGTAGGGTTGGCTTGTCGATTGGCAGATCGCTAATTGGGGATTGGTAATAATTTCTCCAAGAAAAATAAAGATAAAATTGGTCACTCAATCACAGGTTTGTGGGACTGTAACACGACACGACCAGGAGGAGGAGGAGGAGGAGAAGAAGGGTCGATTGCTGGGAAGAAAAGAAGAAAAGAGTTCAACCAAGAGTTTGTATTGCAATGTGATTAGATATTTAACAATTAAACAAAAGATTAATTCCCCACACCCTACCCCAATTCCCACTCCCCCCAAAAAGAGGGAGGCCACAGTACTTTACTGTTTGCCTTGTAAAGAAAATGAGTGAAACATGGGCAGCTTTTATTGTGAATGCTGTGGGGGTGGGGGGGGGGGGGGAGAGAGCAAGCAATACAGTACAGTAATTCACCTTTCAGACTGTGCAGTGTGACACTGATACTGTGTGTGAATGAGTGTGAGTGAGTGAGTGTGTGTGAGTGTGTGTGTGTGTTGATTGTGTGTGAGTGAGTGAATGAGTGAGTGTGTGCTGATTATGTGTGAGTGTGTGTGTTGAGTGAGTGTGAGTGAGTGAATATGTGTGTGAGTGAGTGTGTGAGTGAGTGTGTGTTGAGTGTGTGTGAGTGTGTTGAGTGTGTGTGAGTGAGTGTGTGTGTGAGTGAGTGTGTGTGTGTGCGTGTGAGTGAGTGTGTGTTGAGTGTGTGTGAATGAGTGAGTGAGTGAATGAGTGAGTGTGTGTTGATTGTGTGTGTGTGAGTGAGTGAATGAGTGTGTGTGAATGAGTGAGTGTGTGTTGATTGTGTGTGTGTGTGAGTGAGTGAGTGAATGAGTGTGTGTGAATGAGTGAGTGTGTGAGTGAGTGTGTGTGAGTGAGTGAGTGTGTGAGTGAGTGTGTGTTGAGTGTGTGTGAGTGAGTGAGTGTGTGTGTGTGAATGAGTGAGTGTGTGAATGAGTGTGTGTGAATGAGTGAGTGAGTGTGTGAGTGAGTGTGTGTTGATTATGTGTGTGTGTGTGTGTGTGTGAGTGAATGAGTGTGTGTGAATGAATGAGTGTGTGAGTGAGTGTGAGTGTGTATGTGTGTGTGAGTGAGTGTGAGTGAGTGAGTGAGTGCAGACTTGTCCTCATCACCAGGTGGAGGATGCTCTCTGTGTGGCTGCTGTGCCTCTGTGCTGCAGTAGTGGGCGTGTGGACCACAGCTGATTTGCAGACTCTCAGAGCTCCTCCAGTTCCATCAGAGGGAGTGAGTGAGTGAGTGAGTGAGTTGGGGGTTAGTTAGTGCTATCGAAGCAACGACTCACAGTGACTGTCTGTCAGTCTGTGGGACTGAGGTGCACGATCCCACGCAGTGGTTGGGCTTATATAATTGTATATAATAATTATAGATATATATTTAGTGTGTAGTATATATATATATATACACACACACACACCAAACACAGTCACTTTGCTCTGCTCAAGTTGTTGCTCTCTTCACACAATGCCTTCGAGACAACAGGTACAAGGTAAGAAGGAAAGACCACTCTCTTTTTTTCCAGCCCCAATTAAATGGATCAAATCTTTGGAAATATATTTTCTCTCTCTTTCTCTCTCTCTCTCTCTCTCTCTCTCTCTATATATATATAATATTATTCTTTTCTCAATGCAGAGAAGATCAGATCTGTTGCAACCATCACACACACTGTGTCTCACTTCTGCCTAAAATGATTAGTCGCCTCTCAATGGATTGCGATGAGTGTGTTTTTTTTCTACATCAAATGTGGTGAAGTTTTCGATGTGAATTCCTCCACAGGAGGCAAAGTATTCGGATTGCTCAAAGCTCAACAGGAGGAGAGACTGAACTGTATCAATAAGGTAAGAAAAAAAGCACCTTTTCCTCCCAAAACACTGGCAAAGTGTGTGTTTTTTTTTTCTCCCCATCTTTATTCAATGCTTTGTGAATGAATTTTATTTTAAAAGTTCCCTTTTGTAATTCCTTTTGATCTCCCCCCCCACCCCTCACTTCCCTCCCTCCCTCCATCCATAATAATAATAATAATAATAATAATAATCCTTGCATTTGATATAGCGCTTTTCACGTCGGGAGGACGTCCCAAAGCGCTTCACAGAACACACTGTAAAGTGAATTGACTGTATATTTGTGGGCGAACGCGGCAGCCAATTGCGCACAGCAATGTCCCACAAACAGTCGTAGATTGAAAATGACCAATTTATTATTGTTTTTGGTTTTGGAGGGATCTCTCTCTCTCTCTCTCTCTGATGTCTAACTAAACGTTTTGGATGAGGTGTACAGGTGAAAAAAAAAAACGTTGAAGCCACCAATTATTTGATGAAATCTTACCCAAACCTTCTTTTTTTATTATTTTTTTTTGCGCCATCAGATTTTTTTTTTTTTGGGTGTTGACTTTGACATGGAAACAAGAAATTCTGCCCATTGCTTTGCTGTGATGTGAAATCTCTGCCTATTCCCTGGAATATTGCAAACTGCAACATTCAGGATGACAGTACTTTGTTGCTGTGATCATCAAAAGGTTTTATTGCACTGCAAGGCCATTGCTTGTGTTCATATCTCTGATACAAATGGCATTTCTTGTTGTTGTTGTTGTTGTTGTTGTTGTGGCTGTTTATAACACTGTTCAAAAATGGCTTGACAAAATACCTGGTGCACAAAATATCAACCCGTGTGTGAAAAAAAAAAGTAGCTGTCTTAGGAAGCTCAAATATATTTGGAGAAGTAACATCTATTCATATGTAAAAAGTGGCAGTGTCATTGGTTCGGTTGACACGTCACTGAAAACCGCTAACGATAAATAATAATAATAATAATAATAATAATAATCCTTGCATTTGATATCGCCCCTTTCACGTCGGGAGGACGTCCCAAAGCGCTTCACAGAACACACTGTAAAGTGAATTGACTGTATATTTGTGGGCGAACGCGGCAGCCAATTGCGCACAGCAATGTCCCACAAACAGTCGTAGATTGATAATGACCAATTTATTAATGTTTTTGGTTTTGGAGGGATTATTATTAGGCTCTGTGTGGAGTAAGGAAACTTGCCCAAGGTTTCGCCCTCTGCCTGGAATTGAACTCAGGTCTCTCGCTGGCAACCACTGAGCTACAGGACTCCACAAGTCACCTCTCCAGAGTGATTTAAACTGTAATAACATTAACTGCGCGGTGTAGATTTAGATTTTTTTTCTTTCCCTTAGCGTTTAAGAACTTGAAAGGTTTGGGAACGATTCTCAAACCGAGCCCTTCGTTTTGAACGACCTGCTCGTTTTCCTGTAGGTTATTTGAAGGATTACACAGAAAAGCAACTCCACAATTGACGGGAGTTTTAAGAATCGTTCAAAAACCTGCACAAAATACTGTACCTCTGAAATACTGAGAGAGAGAGAGAGAGAGAGAGATACAGACTCCGATTGAATTTCTTCGTGTTTCTTAATTCGCCCACAAAATACAAGTTACTGTATATCCCGTGAAGCGCTTTGATGACGTGATATGGTGCTATATTTTTGGGGGGGTCAGCTGGGTGTCTGACGCACGCGGAAACCCATCACCATGTTTAAGAGTGTCCAAACCAAGCTGAGATTTCTATGCATCCCACCTACACGTGGAAATGAACAGAGGTAGATTGTCGGAGTGGAATGCGCACTCTCTCTCTCTCCCTGGAGAGGAGGCATCCTAATTCCAGAAAGTATTAGCAAGTAAAAGCCAAGGCTTGGGGAGCCCAGCGTGTGCGTTGGGGTAACTGCCGGAGTCTAACCGTCTAAGCTTGCCGTTGATATCGCTGTCTGGCAGTTATTCTGAAGGAAGCCAGACTAGGCTGGGTTAAAGGTGAGCTGACACAGGTATTCTCCTGGTGAAAATGCCCTGCAAAACGTTAGCCGTTCAAGCGCTGTGTATCAGGAGGTTGTCACAATTTGAGACTTAAATCCGAATTGCATAATCCATTGTAACAACTTGGTGTTACAGTAAATGCATGATTTAGCTGCGTGGTATTTGTACTATCTCGTCGTTGCGCCACTCGTACGATAGAAAGTGGAGTGCAGTCAGGGCTGATCAGAATGTGACCCCCGGTAACACTGACTGTGAAATGTTGCTGTGTCAGCAACACAAACTATTCTCCTTTTTCTGTTCTGCTTGACCACAAGTGGCAGCACATGAAAGGGAATTAGATCAATATTTCACGAAAGTAATATTAAAGATGACGGGTAAAGAGCAGTGAAATGGGATTAGCGTCGAGAGCTCCAGCGGGGAAGCAAGTACCGGAAGAAGCAGGAATTGGCCACCTTGTGTGTGTTGTAAATATTCTGTGAGTCTATGAGCAGGTGTCAGCTTGGGTTCAATTCGTAGTGTTCTGCTAACCACTGCTCTACAGGACTCCGTGTTTGTGTTTGCTGTGGACTTTTTATTTAGAAAAAAGCCTTTAACCTTGCCGTGAACAGTTTTCCTTCCCTCTGCTGCTACAAGTCCGCTGGATCCTTGGCACTGACTTTGTGTGTGGGACATTGGCTGTTAGGCAGGTTTGCAGTAGTGCCTGACTGTCAAATAACACCTTTTAATTAACATTCCAGGATGCTACAACAACAGCACTTGCGAACTTGCGAAATCCTGTACAGAAATCACCCAAAACATACATGGGGAGGGGATGGGGGTGGTGGGGGGGAAATTCCCCTTAAACTTTTTTATGCCTATTATTCAGACAGCTTGAAAGCAATAATTATCTTTGCTGTCAGCCGTGTGTACATGCGGTTGCCAATTCTGTCTGGACGTTGCTAATAAAGTCCTGCTGCTTTATCTTGTCTGTTTGTATGAGCCGCGGCCTCTGTAAGAATGAGGTGTTCATTCACTCGTGCTGAGAACCTGAACCGTCCCATGAAAAACCTGTTAATTGGAGGTTCCGTCTGTCATAACGCACAGAAATACCCAATCCCCACTTAAAATAGTGAAAGAAAGAACGCTACCCAATTAGTGCTGGCAAGCTGCCTATGGAGTGAAATGAGTTGAGATAAACCGCTTTGCATTGTAGAACAGATAAATACTTTTAGGTATTGAAGTTGCAGCTTCACATTTCTGCTACACTCATTAAGATTGGCCTCGGGGGAGACCTGACCAGGTTGTGTTACGTGCTGATGCTTGGGGTCTGGGCGTGCAGAAGTCCTGTAGTGTGGCTCGCAAGCAAAAGAAGCCGAGTTTGATTCCCGGGCAGGGCAAAACCTTAGGCAGGTTTCCTTACTCCGCACGCCTCTGTTGACCTAGTAGTAAGTAGGAACCTGGTTGTGTGTTGATTGGCGGATCGCTTTTCCGGGTGCAATAATTCCTTCAAAACAAAAACGGCTGTTTTTGTGGGACGCCGCTGTGCTCAATTGGCTGACAAGTTTTGCCCACAAATTATACGGTCAATTCACTTTACAGTATATTCTGTGACGCACTTTGAGACGTCTCGACGACGCGATAAGACGCTGTATCAAATCCAAGGATTCTTATTAATCCAAACCCGTTCAGCGCGGGGGCACACAAATCGCATTTCAATCAATATTTGGGTTATGAAACAAATCATTTTAAAACTGGATCGGTGATCAGATCAGGGTACGAGATGCACCAAGTATAGACTGGGGATTTTTTTTTGGAGTGGGGAGTTGGGGGGGTGGCGGGCGGTTAAAAGGATGAGGTTCTGAGTTCGAACGCAGCACCAGATTAGGCTGGCGTGGGATCTGAAGTTTCGCTGGCGCGAAACCAATGGCTGAGGTGGGTTGTGCTTACACTGGCACCGGCTTCGAACACAAAGGGTGGGGGGAAACGCACTGCTTTGTGGAGGACGGATCTTGAGTTGAAGCCAGCCTCTGAAAGCTTGGCACCGCAGGACAGAATGTAAATGAGGAGTGACTGTACTGTGAAGCCGTGAACCTCGGAGGGCTTGCTCGCATGTTGAATAAACTCAGCAGATGTCCAGGGACGTCTTAGAGTCAGCCTTGAGCTCTGAATGCAGAACGTTTCCTTAGTTGAGGAACTCCACACTCCGCACGCAATTTTATCAACCGGAGAGCCATTGTATAAGACTCTGGTACTTTGGTGAACAAGGGTCCGGCTTATTGTCACCTCTGCAATATAGACTAAGCTTTGCCCAGCATTAGCCAATTTAGTTGCTGGTTTATCCATCTGGTGATAAGCAGTCAATGCAATGAGTAAAAATGCATTTTGTGAGATTCACTTTATATTATAGTCCGTGAAGCGCTTTGAGACTTCTCAATGACCTGACAAGCCACTGCTTAGCTCACCATCCAGAGCCACGCAAACCAATATTAATGGGAACAAATCAGAATCCCCGTAGCGCAATATTTTTGGTGGGTTTTCAGAGAAAGAGAGATGGACAATTGGACAAAAAGCTCCGCGTTACAGCAGAAACATCGCTGTTGTCAATGGGAGTAAATGGCACGTTTCTCACCGGCTGTTAAACCTCAGCGCGTTGTATCTTGGCAGCTTAGTGTAAACTTGACCTCCCCGTAGAGCCTGTCCTGTCTGTGTGGTAGACACATCAGTTTATGTGGTTGCACTGAAGTGTTTGTCTCTGTACCTCAGGAGTTTTTTTAAAGAAAAACATACAGTGACATGTGTTTAGCTTTCTGTCATCACAGTCCAACACAACTCTGCTGCTAATCAACCTTTTCAGCTATTGCTTTTACTTATATATTATGTTATTAGAGGGACCCGAGTTTGATTCCTGGCAGGGCGAAAGGTTTGGCAAGTTTCCTTACTCTACACACACGCCTCTGTTTACCTAGCAATAATTAGGAACCGGGTTATGAGTCGATTGATGGATCACTTTTCAAGAGGTAATAATCCCTTTTTTAAAAAAAATAGAATAATTTGGTCACCCAATCCACGACTGTTTGTGGGGGGAAACTGCAGTGCGCAATTGGCTGCCTCATTTCGTCCACAAAATATACAGTCAATTCTGTGAAGCGCTTTGAGATGTCTTGAAGAAAAGCAGAGGTATGTGGGGTAAGAAAACTCGCTCAAGGTTTCACCTGGCCTGGGAATCAAACCCAGGTCCTCTCGCTTGTCCTCTCCCAACCACTACACTACAGGACTCTTACTATATTCATATTGGGAGTGCGGGAGAGATGCTGAAACACATTCTCTAGATACTTTGGATTAAGTCCTGGACAAGCTATGGAGACTCTTCTGTCAGATTGCTCAAAATCCTTCTGCTTAACTTGCCTTTTCACAAGTCATTTTCCAATGACAGATTACAGTGACCTAGTTTTCTGTGTGAGCTTGGTCGATGTGTCCGGTGCACCTGGCTTCTCTTCAGCTGTAAATGCAACAAAACTGATAATAATAATCCTTGCATTTGATGTAGCACCATATCACGTCTTCGAGACGCCTCAAAGCACTTCACAGAATAAAGTGAATTGACTGTAAATTTTGGGGGTGCAGCCCAGCAGCCAGTTGCGTACTGCAGTGTCTCACCAACAGTCGTGAATCGAATGACCAATTTATTATTATGATTATTATTATTCTACACGTGAAGCACAAGATTGAAGCACAAGATTATCCGAGTAAGATAACTTGGCCTTTTTTATTTCAAAGAACTACAGACTTCAAGAATTAAATTGAAGGATTTTCCAAACATCTGCACCATTGCTAAGACAACAGTCTTAAGTCTAAGACCTTGAGGACACCCCAACATTTTACATGGCGGCTTTCACGTTTCTCGCAAGCTTAAAGAACAGAGATGGGCATTTCTCCCAGTGTCTTGGCTAATATTCCTCCACTTAAAAGTGATCATTCACTCCATGGATGTGTGGGGGACATTGCCGTGTGCAAATTGGCTGCTTTATCTGTCTACAGAATGCGCAGTCACTTAATAGAAAAACTGGGAAGCTCCCTGAGACGTTTCGATGTTATAGACATAATGTCAAGTGCAAGGATTATTATTCTGATCGTTACGTAACTGGATTCTCTTTTGGCTATTCTCAGGCTATTCCAAATCAAATCTCCGTACCCTAATACTCCGAGCTCTCCTCTCTTTCAGGAGTTTCTGGAGGACGAGAAATATAACGATGTGGATGAGCTCCTAGAGAACCTGGAATCTTTCAAAAGTAAGTTCAAAAGTAATATCCTAAGAGATCGGCCTCAATCCACGACTGTTTGTGGGACGCTGCTGCGTACAATTGGCTGTCGAGTTTCGCCCACAAAATATACAGTCAATTCACTTTACAGTATAGTCTGCGAAGCGCTTTGAGACGTCTCATAGGATTATTATTATTATTAAAGTGTATTTCAATGCAAAGAGGAGTGGGGGGCAAGGTGCAGGGTTTCTGAAATGGAGTTCCAAAGAGCAAGGACATTGTGTTTGAACACTTTCCCAGTGATGATAGCGCATTGGGGTGGTAGAGGTAACGTGGGGCAAAGCCATGGAGGCGTTTGAAAGCGAGAGAGAGAGGGAGGAATTTTCCCAATAGGGAAACATCTGAGCTCCCTCTCTCTCTCTGCGGGCAGTGAGTGAAGGAAGCTGACACACTTCTCCAAGCATTTCCAAGTAACCTCTTCAAGCGGCAGGGCAGATGTCACACTGCCGTTGCAGCCTATTAGTGATGAGCGGATTAAAACAGCTGATTCCTTAAAAGGTTGAGGGGTGGGGGGGGCGGTGGGGGGAAATACGACTGAGAAAGTGCTCGGTCTGGTAGAAAGCTTGAAGCTCATCCCATGCCTTCAGCCTGAGTTCCTGACACGTTAAGGGGAGTGCAGGAAAGGGAGGGAGGGGGAAAGCGAGGGAGGGGGGGTAAGGGAAGGGAGGAAAAGTGGGGGGAGGGGGAAGCAAAGAAGAAAGATATAACGATGGGGGAAAGACGGAGGGATTGTTTGCAAAGGCGTTTCAAGTCTGTTATCATCTGGGAAGAATTTCAAACATCGGGACGATAGCAAAATTGGCAACTCTCCTTTTCGCTTTGTGAAAGGAATGGCTTGTTCCCGTAACACAATCTGCCTTTAAGCCTCACTTGCCGCTGACTGAGGAGGTGGGAAACATTTTGCACGGATACCCCCTCCCATCGCAGAGGCAGGCAGCAGCCCCACATGGTATTGTTATGTGCGGCTTCTCGCTCGGGGTCAGCCGGGCCAATTTTGTCCGACAACAGTAGCATTGTGCTGTACTGGGTCACTCCATGCTTATGCGCAACAAGTTAAACCAGCCCTCGGAGATAATAAAATGGGTCAATTAGCGGGGTCCCGCTCGCTAATCTGCAACTACCTAATCTCTTAACGGTTTCTGGCTTCCCGAACTATTTTCAGAATCACCAGGCCAAAAGACAGAGGCATGGTTGTGCACCGCTTGCCTGAGCAAATGTAAATAGGAACGCAAGGCGACAGGCCTTAGATCACGAGACTTTTAAATAAGCCGCAGCTACTTCGGAATGTTTCCTCACAGTTTTCTGGAGCACCAAAAACCAGCGCAACAGCAAAAGGTCCTGCGATAGAGCAGGCAGTCTGGCCCGAGACATTGCAGCGTGTAATTCAATTGGAACCTCAAGTGGAGCAAATTGGGTCTTGTCGTCAGGCTATTTCTGGTATCCCAGTGAAGCTGTTTGGGGGGGCTTTGAGATGTCTCAATGACGTGTTAAGTGTTCTGAGCGCTGCTCTGGGCGGTGGCGGGCTATATAAGTGCAAGTTGTTGTTGTTGCAGTTGTCGTTGATAAGGCGCTAGATCACTAGGAAGAACTCTAGCAGCAAAGATTATGATTATTATTTATCAGGGTCTAAAGAAACAGCCAACTCTCCTGCCAACTGAGAACGAGTGGTGATCAAACTATAGTTTTTTTTTGGGTCAGCCAGGAATCTGTTACAGGTGGAAACCCATCGCCGTGCTTAAGAGTCTCCAAACCTGATTGAAAGCCACAATACGAAAGCCACACCGACACGTGGAAATTTCTCTGCGTCTGGAATGGAATGCGGACTCTCTTCCCCCGGAGGGACGCGATCTGTTTACCTAATTCCGGAGAGAATTAGGCGCAGGTCGGCGAGAGCCAAGGGTTTGGGGTCTCCGAAGCGGGGGTAATGATGCTGCTTAATTAGTTCAAGCTACAAAATGGTTGAGAGAGTCAGAGAGAGAGCGGGAGAGAGAGCCCGAGCTTTCCCACTGCATGTCCAGGTGGGACCACTTCTCCCTGTTAGGCTTTGGGTTTGCAAAGTTAACAGGAAAGAGTGAAAATAATCCCAGTTATATCATACAAGGAAGTGACATTCACACACACACACACACACACTCGCACGCCTTCTCTCTCAGTTCAAGGGTCTGGCAGTTGACTTTATGGCGTCTTTAAGTGGATATGCAAGACTCGAACGTCTATTCAGCTGAACTGCTGACTTGCACAATCCTCGTCCAACTAGTCAGATCCTCACACTTCTCGGAGCAATTTTATGGCCTTGCTGATGTTTAATACTTGAGCACGAAAACTTCACGTGGCTTAATCTTCGTTTTAATATTTCAGATTTCTGGAGAATTTGGGTCTCGGTCTCTGTCTTAGTTTCTCCCCTTCTTCAGGGAAGAGAATCGTTTGTTAATTATTGCACCATTTAATAAATGCTTTTTCACCTCTTGTCCGTTACATGATGGAGTGCAGCTTTAATTCTCTCTGCGAATAAGACAAACACCGAAAAGAGAAGAAATAAAAAAATGATTTTTTTTTAATATGTTTTACGGTGGTGGTGGGAGGTGGAGAGAGAAGGGGAAGCAGGAAAATGGTACTAAACAATTTGTTTATCTTTCAGAGAGCTTTCAGAAAACCATACCAGGTACAATGGGCTGTGCATCTCTCGGGTGCTAGACTAACACTTTAAGTGTGATGAACCCTTTCTTGAGGGTGAGAGATCGAGGAATAAACCAGTCTGGGATTAATTACTGTCGTGTTGCTCTTCCCGACGCGAAAGCAGCAAAGTCGCACTCTCCCTCCCTCAACACAACACCACCGACAACTTGCATTTCTATAGCTACCCCTCACACAGTGTAGCCCCCCCCCCACATTTGGTGAACATAGTCAGGGCTATCTCGTGCAGATCAAAGGCAGAATGGGCTGCCATATGCTAACTCGCTCACTCGCTCACTCACTCACTCACACACACCACACACACACACACACACGTGCCTCTGGCTGCGCGGACCTCCTTTCAACGGTAGTTGTTAATTGGCGATAATTAAGCGTTTTAAAGCAGGATGTGTTGAGGTGCCGTATTGAGAATCAGTACCTACAAATAGCTGTCGGGTGACTGAGTGGCTTTAACTTGTGAAACTGAGCAACAACATAAGCCTTGCGTGTAGTTGGATACCACTGCAATGCTCCCACAGTCAAATGGACTGCTGGCACTCACTGCCAAGTCTGGCCATGTCCTCCATTGTTCAGCGTTCCGAGACGCTGCCTCGAATGAAGGACGCTAGATAAATGCAACTTGTTGTTCAAGAAGGCGGGGAACGAGAGAGAAAATGGCAGGAGGAATAGCGAGAACAAGTCAACTGCTAAGTTGCAAGTGAACCGCTGTGACGAAAAATGCACAGCCACCGCTTTCTTTTAACGATGTCTCCTGTGAAGCGCTTTGATAGAAAGTGCAGGAATTATTACTGCTGTACAGGCTATAATTTCCCTTGATGTAGAGTAGAGGGGAAGCTGTAAAGTAATTGGAGGCTGTTGCACTGAATACTACTACCGCGTGGGTCTAATTGCGTAGGCGGGGTGTTGTCTATGGTGGAATTATATATGTCTAACTTTAGCTGACTTGTAGCTGATGTTTTCGTGTGTGTTTTTCTTTTAGAGAAGTATGTGGAGTTTGACCTTAATGACCACGGTGATATCGGTGAGTCCTGCTCTCTTGATATCGTCGCGGAGCTCGTGCTTGCAGTCGGAACTTTCCCTCAACTTTTACGGTTTGGCCTTTGATTCTCCCGGAAGCAATCGGTGCAAATAGAACTTGGAATTCTTTTCGAACGCTCGACTTCCCGGTTCAGCAAACGCTGCAAGATTAACCTGCGTGCTTATCAATAAAGGGAATCGCAATCAGTTCACGGTTGGCCTGTCAAGGTTTCGGCTTATCTCCCCCCCCCCCCCACCTCCCAACTTTCTGCAATCTCCTGCGCACGTAGCTCAGCGGTTAGAGCACTCGCCTCGCAGAGCGGGCAAGAAAGTGGGCGGAGGGGTGTCCTGATAGCGGGCTGATAACGATGTCGAGGGCAGTGTTGCCAATCTCGATAAGGGGAAGGGGCTCGTGAGACATTAAGTAACTCGGACTCACAGAAACTTACAGAACACAAGGAGCCATTTAGTGCATGTTGCCTGTGTTGTGTTGTGCTCTCTGAAAGAGCTAACCACTTAGTCCCACGCCCTTGCCCTTTCTTCCCACCCACCAACCTTTTATATTTTTTTTCCTTTTCAAATATTTGTCTAATTCCCTTTCAAAAACTGTCCTGGACAAATGCTTTAAGCAGCGTGTTTGGTCAGGCATTCCATGACCCAATAACCCTCCGCGTTTAAAAACGTTCCCTTTGTATTTTGCTTCATCCAAATTTCACTTGCGGTCTTGTGAGATTCGATGTGTTGACACACACAATTGTGCGGGGAGGGGGGAGAGACAGGGTGGGGGGGGGGGAGAGGAGGAAAGAGACATTTCTTTATCAGATGCTGAGTGTGCTGTGTGGCCCGAAGCCAAATAAGTAAATCAAACCAAATTGCTCACTCCCGACGCAGATCTGATGAGCTTGAAGCAGATGCTGGAGAAGCTGGGCGTTCCCAAAACACACCTGGAGGTGAAGAAGATGATCACTGAAGTAACTGGGGGAAGCAGTGAGACCATCTCATACCGGGACTTTGTCACAATGATGCTGGGCAAGCGCTCGGGGGTGCTCAAACTGTGAGTTCCGTTTCTCTTTCAGTTCTGACCAAAGGACACTCATAAAACTAATAATAAATAATAATGATCTTTGCGCACGATATTGCGCCTGCTCCCGTCTTCGATACGTCTCAAAGCTCTTCACAGAAAATACTGTAAAGTGAATTGACTGTACTAACCTCACGAAGCTACAGGACAGCAAAACTCACCCACCTCCCTACTCCCTTTACAGTCTATCCTGTGAAGCGCTTTGAGACTTCTCGACCAAATGATAAGGCGCTATATCAATAATAAGCAAGGATTATTAACATTATTATAATATCAAATGCAAGCATTACTATTATTATAATCCTTGAATTTGATATAGCACCTTTCACGTGGGGAGGGCATCTTAAAGTGCTAATTGAGATTTTACTGTAACGTGACTGTGTGCTTTGTGGGATGGGCAAATGCAGCAACTAATTTGCACGCAGCGATGTCCCACAAACAGCCACGAAGCAAACAATTAATTTGTATTACAGCCATAACTTGTGTAAAATGGTCACAGACTCAGACAGCGAGAAGGGCCAGCAATGCCGAACATCCTTGAATCTTTTCAAGCCGATCAATGCGAGTCAGATATCAATCAGGCAAAGATATTCAGACACAACACCGGGGTCAACAGTTGTGTCTCGCCGACACCAAGGCACAAAGAAAGTACTAGTTGATTGTAGATGCCAACCTTTGTACCGCTTTCTTTTATGTTTTTATTGAGAAATACGTGCAAGTCGCCTCTCTCAGCTATAGTACTGTATGGAGCAATTACATTCTGCTCCGGTATAGATAGGCAGTCTGCCCACACTGTACAACATCCAATGAGATATCCTGCAGCTCTCACCGCTCTGAACCTTTTCCTTCTGTGGTGTATGCACAAAAATCTTATCGGATATCGTGACCTTCGGGCCTAAACGGTGTGTTTGCTGGGTTATTGTTTATTCTCGAGCCTCCCGCACGTCTCTTGACAACTCAGTGCTCTCCCCCCCCCCGCGGTGCGGTGTTGCTGTGTCAGGCTGGACCTTAAGGTCACTTCACAGTACGTTCTGTGAAGCGCTTTGAGACATCTTGACGACGTGATAAGGCGCTGTATCAAGTGCAAGGATTATTATTAGCATTAAAGCCCCAACTTGGGCTTGAACCCACAAATTTCTGAACCAAAAGCCGGAGTGTCAGCAGCTGACGCACATCTTAAAGCCTCAGACTCACGAATGTCGCATATATGGGAATGGAGGAGCGAAGGGGGAGGAGGGGGGGGGGGGTGTCTTGTTTATTAAGCATCTGAAAGCTGCATGTCTTACTGCAACACTTTGCTTCAAGCCGCTGCCGCTTGCCACGTGTAGGAAACGCTCGGAAGACAAAGGACTTGAGCGAAACAAAAAAAAAGAAAGGGAAATCCCTGCGCCTTCAGCACAATACACTGTGGCTGAAGGCTTCAATACTCAGTTGATCTGACAAAACAATTAGATTAACTGGTTTCATTCTCAGTCGATGAACTCTCAGGAACTGGCGTCTTTAACCCCGGCGGTTTTCTATGAAGGGTCTATCTGGTGGGAGGGGCAGGGGTGGGGTGTGCGATTTGCTTTACTTTCTATTCTAACCCTCCAAGCTTGCGTACGCGGAAAAAAAAAACCGCTGAGTATTTTTTTTGGAAAACAAAACGACTCCAGTAGCTGGAGTGTTAGCAGCTGAGCCGGACTGACACACGTCTTAAAGCCTCAGATTTATGGATGTCACATACATGGGTGGGGGTGGTGCAGGGGGGTAATCCCTCGGTGACAGTTGCAGGCAGGGCTGCGTGTAACGTGTAACCTACTTGCTTCACTGTGAAGTTAATACCCAGCCTATGTGTGTGTGTGTGTGTACCCACTCAGAGTGCTGTTGCGCTGTCTATTATTATTATTCTATATTATTTATATTGCTGTTTGAGGATTCAACTCAAAGTGGCATCCCCTAGATCTAACGATAACGATCCTTGCAGTCGGTACCCTTTAGCGTACAGACTTGGCCAAAAGCAGACAGACATGTTTGAACGGAAACCCTCTCTGCTTGAGCCCCAAGGCAGCTGTGTTTACTTATGTTTCACATACTGTGCATGCATCTCAGGATCAGCGAGAGGCACAGCACAGAAGGTGGCCGTTCAGCCCATCGAGCCTGCGAAAGAGCTCTCCGCTTGGTCCTATTTTTTTTTTCCCCCCCTGCTTTTTCCCCTCATCATTTAATATTTCTCCTTTTCAGGGATTCATCTCGTTCTGTAGTGTTACTGGTCAGAGCACTGGTCTCGCAAGCGAGAGGACCCGGGTTCGATTCCCGGGCGGGGCGAAACTTACTCAAATTTCCTTACTCCTCGCACGCGACTCTGTTTACCGAGCAGTGAGCAGGAACCCAGCTTTTAGTAAATCGGCAGATCAACGAACAACAAGGTTGTTTACAAATCCCTTTGGGGGGGAAAAAAAATTGGTACCTCAATCCACGACTGTTAGAGGGACACTGCTGTGCGCAATTGGCTGCCGCGTTTCGCCCACAAAACATAGTCGATCGGCTTTACACTCTATTCTGCGAAGCGCTTTGAGACGTCTCAACGACGCGATAAGGCGCTGTATCAAACGCAAGGGTTATTATTTATCGTTATTATTCCCTCTAACAAGCGAACGTGGATCCTGCCTCAGCCTCAACCACAGTTCCAGGCAGGGCTCAGCTGATGAGGAAGGCAATGGTTCACACAGTGAGAGTGACAAATGGCAAGTTTCCCTTTCTGTCACACTGCGCACACAAGCAGCCTGGGTTTTAGCCTGGAGCCTGAGCTGCAAATATTTGGTCCCATCAATCAGCCGGTGTGTGAGGCTGGTGGACCAGCTTTTAAAACTGTGACTTGGTCTCCAGACGATGCCTGTAATTGGGGAACAAAAGGAAGTAAGGAAGCACCCCTGAGAGCAGCCTGCCTGCTGACCACGGCTGAACAGAGAACCCACTATACATTGCTCTGCAAAGCACTGATGTCACACGCTCTCTCTTTCTCTCTCCGTCCTCCGAACCTACACAAACTGCATGTAAATAGGGGAGAAATTCCAGGAGGATAGTGGGAAAATAGATGCCTTATTGTGGAGCGGGGCAGCTTGCTATCTATGAGTGTGTAGGTTCATTCATTGTGCATTGATCCAGCAGTGAATGCTAGCGCGCTCTATGCACAATGCAAGATTGTGGTTAGCATTTCAGCTCCTCAATAAATGGGGAGCTCTGGCTGGCTCAGGAGTGGCAAGTTTCATGGCAACCGAACCTCCCAGCTGGCTCAAGTTTACTCCGTTTAACGTCTCATTTCGTTCACACTGTTGGAATTGGAGCGGTCAATTGAATGGGAGCTTAGACCGAGCTCCTTACCTGGGGTTTGAGGCGAATGTGACCTGATATCCTGGCCAATCTCGTTCAAATTCACCCCCAAAAACACGTAGCCGAATTTGGTCATTCATCGCGCTGCTGTTTGTGGGATATTTCCCGTACAAATTGGCTATCAAATTCGCCTACTTAACAAGCGCTGTACACTTCAAAGCAACCCATTGCACTGACTACTCTGGAACTGGTGAGACCTTTGCTGACTTGGTAGCGCTCTTGCCTCTAAGGTGCACAGCTGTGGGTTCAAGCCCAGCTCGAATACTTTGAGCTCCCAGTCCAGCTTAACACTCCAGTGCAGCGCTGGGGGTGAGGAGCACCGAATTGTCAGAGGTGTTGTTGTTTGGATCACATGTTAAACCAGTCTTACGGCTGCCTGGTCAGTGGATGCTAAAGATCCCACGACACGACTCGGAAAGAGAAGCGAGTTTCTCCCGGTGGGCTGGTCAACAAACTCCAGACGAAAATCGGTCACTCGCTTTGTGGCTGTTTGTGGGACGTTGCTGTGCACAAATTGGCTGCCTGCAAATTACACAGTCACTACACTGTAGTGTAAAATCCTGTGAAGCCACTTTGAAGAATTCTCAATGTTTGTAGGCACTCTATCAAATGAATACGAGGATATAATATTGTTAAAAACCGGGACCACAAGACCAGAGATGATTTATTGTTTCTTGCCTTTTATTTTTTTTCAGAATTATGATGTTTGAGGGCAAGAACGGAGGGAATGACGAGAAACCTGCAGGACCTCCTGCCAAGAGAGATATCTCCAGCCTTCCCTGAGCCTGGCCTGGGAGCTGCCGGGTGCTTTACAGCATGTAGTTTAACTCTCCTCTCTCGGTTTTGTAAATACTGTGGTCTGATACTCATCTGTTTATCTTGTTCTTACCAGGAGCAACTTACCTCAAACTGCCCCCCAAACCATTGCATCCCAAAACTGACCCCCTGAACCAGCACAAAAGAAAACCTGTTCAATTTGTTGAACGGCTAATGCTCCGATGTGACAGGAACACTCCTCCCTGTCGATCAGCCTTCCGTCCACAGGGAAGTACAAGCAGAACATTTGGTTTCCATTCCGACTTGGAAACCTATTCTGCTGTAGCTGTCCTGAAGTGATTGTGCTTACGGTCACCTCCCCCCCCCCCCCGTCCTCTCCCCCTGGCTCAGGCTCCATCACTGTCAAGCGCTCTGGGACGCTACTCTGCGTGAAGGGCGCTATATAAATGCAAGTTGTTGTTAAAGCGAAAAAATAACCCGAAACTGAAAGGATCATTTTTTTTTGAAGGGCGTCCAATTGGGAAATTGGCCTTGAAGCTCCTGTTTCAATCAGCACTCCCACAAATGTCTGTATATATCTACCAACGCATTGCCTCGCTGCTGCCAGTGAGCTCAATGTGGGAGCTCTTAACTCCATTAAATAGAATTGGGGATGTCATGGAATCATAGAGAAACGACGGCAACAGAAGATGGCAATTCAGCACGTTGAGCCCATGCTGGTGCTTGTGCAAAACTACCCCCTGCGTTGGACTTCCCTCACTACTAATCGTGCTCCCTCCTCACTGTACTTAGTTTTTTTTTGGAGGGTGATAATAATAGTAATAATCCCTCCCCCCAAAAAAATTTGTTGCTCACTCCATCACCGTTCATGGGACACTTCTGCGCGCAATCGGTTGCTGCGTTTCGCCCACGAAAAATGCACAGTTAATCTACTTTACAGTATGATCCTGTGAAGCTCTTTGAGATGTCTCAACGACGTGATAAAATGTTATATCAAAAGAAAGGATTATTATTATTATTATTATTAATTCATTCACTCTCTGACCTTGTTGTAAAAAATTGTTTCTATCTCTACCTTTCCTGGATTCTTTGCTAAACGAAGATATTTTAACTTACGTTATAACCAATTTAAAAAAAATCATACGAGGCATTTCAATGTATATTACGCTGACTTTCACGGAAGATTGCGTCATCTAGTCTGCATCTTCGGTGACACACAATGACTTTTGTACATGTTCAGATACAAAAATTAAAAGGTTTTTAAATGAATGGGTGCTGTCCGTCCTCTGGTAATTTTCAGCGATTGCTTTATTTTGCTAATTGTTTTTGTGACTGTGCGACGCATGTTTGTGGGTCACCGCAGTGCGCAATTGGCTGCCGCATTTCACCCACAAAACATGCGGTCAATCCACTTTACAGTATATTCCGTGAAGCGCTTTGGGATGTGTCGAAGACGCGATAAGGTCCTACAAGAAATGCAAGTATTATTATATGCTGTAAAGTATAGGGACTTTGTGCACAGCGATGTCTGTCCCACACAAAGCCATGAGTGAATGAGCAATTGTATTTGAGGGGTCTGGGGAATTGTTGATCAGGCCACCGGGAAAAACTCCCTTCTCATGCTGGCCAATTCATTCAATCACCACCACTGACAGGAAACATCAACCTGAAGGACTCAGCAAAACAGCACGTCCATTTTTACTGCAAACACTATTCAGGCAGTCTAAATATGGTTGTCTTCTCGAGACCCTTTTTTTGGGTCAGCCTCAGCTACTTCTGTGAAGATAATTCTCTCCACCCTTCAAAGTAAGATTCTGCTTTAGAAATCAAGCGCATTGCCGGATTGCAAGAGGAGATCTGCAATGAAGCCATGAGCTCAAGTGGAGCAGCGGCAGCTAACCAGAAAGATAGCAACATTTGACACACAAAAAAAGGGTTGTTTACTTGATTGAAGTATTTTTAGCACGGGGGGAGCTTGCTATTTTTGTTCAAACTTTTTCCATATACAGAAATAGTTTAACGACTGACTCATACATACCATTAAAGTTTATTGGCTGACCTAATGCTGTCGACCCAAATTCCACAGCGGGGTTATAATCTCTCGCTTTCATCTTGCCAATTTTGTTTTGTTCCAATTCTCTCCTCTCCCGTAGCTATTTTGACCCCTTTACCCTCCTACGTCTGATGGGATCCACAAGGTTCCAGTCGCCCTCTCGTACCTGGATTCTCACCAGTCATTGAATACATTCAAGTCTTGACGGTGAGAGTCAGCAGGAACAACAATAACTTTCATTTATGCAGTTCTCTTCATACAATATAGAGAAAGAGTAGGTGGCGTTGGCATAGGTGAAGAGGAAAGTCTTCAGGTGTGATCTGAGGATGGGCACCCAGAGGGACTGAGATAGCAAGATTGACCCGCAACAATCTATCTCTGTGGAATTGAATCCTCTACTTCTTTGTGAGCTTTGGCAGAATCATCCCTCAGGTTAAGTTCACCCAGCATTAAGTCTCCAGGTTTGTAGCAATTTATTTCTTTTATATAAAGCTGTCAGCGATAATTATGTGATGATCTAAAAATGTCACCTTGTAGCTCGAGATGAGAATAATGAGGTGATGTCAGTTTGGAAGAATTCCCATAGTTTGGAAGAAAATTAATCTGCTCATCTGTTTTTTGTTGGCAAGCAAGAACACCATTATTCCAAGCCAGGAGAGCAGCAGTTCAATGAATAAACTCAGTTAACGCGTTTAATGCTGTCGATTTACACCTTGAACAGAGTTGAATGCAACCTTTTTTGCAGGAGCAATTCTGATTGTCTGACAGTGCAAGTCAAACTGGAAGAGTAGCCTCCACAGGGCACAGTGTGTGCAGGTCCTGATTCACAATGTCCCAATCTGTGCGGAAGAAGAAAGATATAATCTATCATGGAGGAGGGGTAACAGGGGGAATATCATACTTTCATTTAGTTTTTAACAGTAACAAGTGGAGGATATTCACATCATTCATTTTGGCCAGCGTTCTATCTTATGTAAGCAAAACAAGTTCCGATGTTTGTGCCAACACGCAGAAACACAGCCTACAGTTCTGTGAAGATAAGAGTTAAGTGGCCTTTCACAAACAGATTGGTTTGTGACTTGAGTGCGGTGATATTTCAGGGTGAAATTCCTTTTTCAGGGCAACGATGGGTGAGAAAATTAATATAAAATTAATTAAAATGCTTTCATTTGATATAGTGCCTTACCACGTCTTCGAGACGTCTCAAAGCGCTTCACAGAATATATCGTAAAGTAAATCAAATGTATATTTTGTGGGTGAAACGCAGCAGCCAATTGGACTGGAATGGGACCCCTGATCGATTGTTCCCTTCTCTAACCCAAGGAGTATTGAGACCAATTGCAAGGTCCAACTGGCGCTCCAGCTGAGCTCACCTCACTCAGCACACCTCCAAACTGAACCTTCTGATCCGTGTGGCCCGGTGCGTTAAGCGACTTCAGCAACCAGACTATCAGCAAAGCCGTTTTATTCTCACATAACTTCTTGCTGACAGGCCTTTCCGTAGCTCCCTCATGTGGCCACTTTTCATGTGAGAGTCTGGACAGTGAGTGCCATCATGCTGGTTTCCCATCAAGAGCAACACTGTGAAGCCGTCATTTATATAAGCCGACGCACAGCAGAACACTGGTTTCACAGCTAAAACGTTATCGAACAAAGAAAACTTAGTAATGAAGTCACAAAGTATTAACAGTACGCCTGCATTTCAGGGCTACTATGAGATATCCTCGAATAATCTTTCTCCCACAAAATATACAGTCAATTCACTTTACAGTATATTCTACGAAGCACTTTGAGACGTCTCAAAGACTTGATAAGGTGCTATATCAACAGAATGCAAGGCTAAACAATTATTTGAAAGTGTCCGCTCTTTGACAATGTAAAAGGGGCCGATAATACCATCTTGCAATGGAGTCTTTAAACCTAGCGTTGAGCGTGAACGCTCCGTCTTTTTTCAAAACACCCTCCCTTCCCCTGGTTCGAGGTCCGTTGCGAGAACTACTATTGCTTCTGCCTGTGCTTTCGGTCATTTTTAAAGACCTGCCCGGGCGAAATACAATACACATTTACAGATTTGTGGAGAGCAATTTGCACATCGTGGAGACCTGTAGCTCAGTGGTTAGAGCACTCGCTTTGCAAGCGAGAGACCTGAGTTCAATCCCAGACAGAGGGCGAAACCTTGGGCAAGTTTCCTTACTCCACACAGAGCCTAATAATAATCCCTCCAAAACCAAAACAATAATAAATTGGTCATTTTCAATCTACGACTGTTTGTGGGACATTGCTGTGCGCAATTGGCTGCCGCGTTCACCCACAAATATACAGTCAATTCACTTTACAGTGTGTTCTGTGAAGCGCTTTGGGACGTCCTCCCGACGTGAAAAGCGCTATATCAAATGCGAGGATTAGTATTATTATTATTATTATCCCAAAGCGCTAAATAAATACAAATTTGTGTCCGTGCTTTCAGCCACCGATCCCCTGCCCTGCCCTGCCCGCCCCTCCGTCGGCTTCTACCCCGCAGCGGGCAGCTTTTCCTGCCGTGAAAAGCTCCATCGAACCGTAATTTATCTGAAAGTAATGACAACCCACCGACCCACCCCTGGAGCCCCTGCATTTTGCAGGGATCAGCTGATAATGTAACCACCTCCCGGCTGAGGCCACGCCCCCCACCACCTGCGTCACAGCGCCAGCACGTGACCTCAAAACGGACTCCGCCCCCCCACCCCGTCATTGGCCTTCCCACGTGACACTCACGACGGACCCCCCCGCCCCGTCCCTCATTGGCCGTCCCACGTGACACTCACGACGGACCCCCCGCCCCGTCCCTCATTGGCCGTCCCACGTGACACTCACGACAGGTCACGCCTCCTTTGTCACTCTCTCTCTCCCTCCCTCCGCCCCGCCCCCCCCCCCCCCCCCCGCCAAGACCGGCCGACGCGCAGTCGAGGCCACGTGATACCTCGGCCGGTGTTTGTGACGCACTAAGGCGGCGCCGGAAGTGGCTGCGGGTTGGCGTGAGCGTCGCTGCTCCGCCGTGTGTGTGTGTGTGTGTGTGTGTGTTATTTTGGGGGTTTCATTTTTTTTTCTGTGTCGTTGTTTTTTTTTTCTTGTTCCCCTTTTTTTCTCTCTCTTCTTCTTGGTCGGGGATTTCCGCCGCTCTTTGCCGACTGTGGAAACGATGGGGGACGATCTGGACGGGGTTCCCGAGCGGGAGATGAAGGTGAGACGCGCTGTCGGCGTCACTGGAGGGGGAGAAACCCCCCTCAAAAAATTGTCCATTTACTTTCGTGACGTTAATAATAATAATAATCCTCGCATTTGATATAGCGCTTTTCACGTCTTCCCGACGTCCCAAAGCGCTTCACAGAACACACTGTAAAGTGAATTGACTGTATATTTGTGGGCGAACGCGGCAGCCAATTGCGCACAGCAATGTCCCACAAACAGTCGTGGATTGAAAATGACCAATTTATTATTGTTTTGGGGTTTTGGAGGGATTATTATTAGGCTCTGTGTGGGGTAAGGAAACTTGCCCAAGGTTTCGCCCTCTGCCTGGAATTGAACTCAGGTCTCTCACTTGCAAAGCGAGTGCTCTAACCACTGAGCTACAGGACTCCACAATTCCTCCATAATTCCTCATTACTGTGAACTCCTCCCGGTTCGGTTCGGTCGGGAGCGGCCGCCGCGGACACTTGCAAAACCCCCAAAATAACCCCCAAAGCGCCTGTCACGGAGAAACGGGTGGAGGCCATTCAGCCCCTCGAGCCTGTCCCCCGCCATTCTGTAAGATCGTGGCTGACCTGTAGCCTCACGTCGCGTTACCCAGGACAGCTGCTCCCCCCCCACCTCCCCCCCCCCCCACACACACACACACCATCATCTTGACTCATGGGGCAGGACCTGGAAGGACAGACCGGTCACTGGGTGGGTGGGAGGGAGGGAGGGGGGTGTTAGGGAATCCTCCCACACAGCTCCTGCAAGTCAAAGCCCTAACGGGTTAGGGTGCTACGAGCTGGACAAGCAGCGGGAGAGCTTGCCGGACGGACAGTGGAGGAATCGGTCCCAATTGGTCTGAAGGAATGAACTCTCCAGTGTCCGGTATCTTAAGGACTTAATACGACGGCGTTCAGTGGCTATTTTTCCGCCTGATTTTGAACTGAAAAGTGCTGCCTGTGTTAATGATTCGCTTTGATCCAGAATTTCACCTTTCGTGTCCATATTCTTCTCCCCAATTCTCGTATTTCATTGTGAGTTTTTGTTTAAACCGCATTACGCAACTTCATCCACAGGACTTCCAGTTCAAACAGATGAAGAAAATCCGTGTCTTTGAGTCTCCGGACGAATTGCTAAAGGACAGGGTGAACCTTCTGGCTGTATCCAATAAATTTGGGCTGACATTTGCAGGTGGTATTACAGGCCTGCGGATTTTCAATACTCGTAACATAATACTGGCGGGCCGAGGAGGAGGAGACATCAATGAAATAGGTAGGTGGAGCTTTGTCATTGGAGCTAGCAAAAAAAATACAACCTGCATATCCATGTTTCATGGGAAAGCCCCAACCTTCATCGCTTGCATTAGTGGTGGAGTACTGGCCTGCCTTGACCCTGTTTTACTGAACTTGATTTTGTTACAGTTCAGTCAGCATCCTGCACTGTAATTGTCATACTCTGCTTTTTCTCCTTTAGTTGAAGGAGTACATTCGATGCCAGTTGCTACAAAACTCCCTTTGCACCACATAGCTCTCAGCAGCGACGATCTCACTCTGTCTGTTTGCATGGCATCAGCTGATTATGGGCTAATCATTGCCTTCTTTGATGTGAGAACATTTGTAAACAAGGTAATCTGATTTCCTCTGCATCCTTATGACAAAGCTGTTATAGTTACACATACAGTAAATCTTGCATAAGTTTGATCTGTATAGATCATATAATTGCCAACGCCGTACATCTGCCTGAGTCCCATTCAAGAGTTTATATTCTATGCAAGTTTGACAAAGAGTTTGCATAAATCATATTAAATGTATGGTCCCAACTGATATGACTTGTGAGAAACCTACTCTGGAGAGGCCTGCACGCACACATGTGCACAACCACACATGTGCACAACCACACATGTACACAAAGGGAATACTGGTTTGTTCACAATAGCTGAATTGCTCTAACCTAATGCATTGGTAAATGGTTTCCAGGCGAGACAGCAAAAGCGACCCTTTGCGTACCACAAGCTTTCAAAGGAACCAAATTGTTTGGTGGTGGATCTGAAGTGGAGCCCCACAGCAGGCTCTGTCCTGGCAGTCTGTCTGTCTGATGGCAGTGTAATTATGCTGGATGTCACTGACACCGTGAAGGAATGCGCTTTGCTTCCACCCACAGCTGCAATCACATCAGGTAGGTGTCACTTGTGATCCAGTTTAACCTTATAATACACCTAGTGCTTTGCTTCCAATTTGAATTGAGTAAGATCCAATATAACTCATAAAGCTTGTGCTAGCCAGAGCACGCTCTATTTTATTCTGCAGAACAACTATTAATTTTAGAGAGGAAGTATTAAGGAGCTATTGTATTTGAATGCTTGACTTTTTAAATAAAAAAAGTGAAGTTTAACAGTCTTGTTCGAGAATGTTATAAAGGGCAGAGTTTTTTTTCATGGTTTAACAAGTCAATTATAGTTAGGCTACTTGAAGGCACTTTGAAGAATGTCTAGAGATAATGGTGTGTGTTCTGTTACTTGCCTTTTGATCACTGTGTTCCACGTTTATGACTTTGCTGTATAGCTTTGACTGGTATTTCTGTTCTCTTCTTCCTCCCTTCCCGCCCCCCCATCCCCCAACTCTCTGGTGCAGAGGTGCTCCTGCCTCTTGATGACATTGCTGAGATTGACTAGTTTTTTTTAGGAATTCCTGAGCACAAAGCCTATTACTGCCAGCTTGTGGCAGTGCAGTAGAGCAGCTCTTGGCTGCCCTGTGTATAATTTACTTAGGATTACATTGTGGAAGCTAATGTAAGATGTAATTTTTTCTGATGAGTTTTCCATTTTTTCCTTTGATTTCCCAGTGTGCTGGAGTCCGAAAGGAAAGCAGTTGGCTGCAGGGCGACAGAATGGGACTGTGATTCAGTTCTCCCCGGTAAGTTTCAAAGTGATGCCTTCAGAGGATTTTACTTGCTTCATCTGTGATGGAGGCCAGCGAATCTCAGCTCAAAACATACAAGAGGAAACTTATCTTTAGCCACCACAAATCCTTTGAGCTTTGTTTTCATTTGGTTGAGTGCACAAGATGCTTGCTTCTGACCTCCGTGCAATGTGTCTATGGCAGTAAAACATTCAGGGTCACTTGAGGATAGTGAGTTTGGACTGTCAATTGAGAAGTTGAGCTGTTTGTAATCTTCCTGGGAACTTTTAAGCACTAAAGGAGAATCTTTTATATTTTTCTTTGCAGGCACTGCAGGAAAAGAAGGTCATCCCTTGTCCCCCTTTCTATGACTCTGACAATCCAGTCAAAGGTGAGCAACTCGACCTGAACAGAATTGATTTTGGTTTCCTTTCTGGGATCTCTTGCAAAAGAGGCTGTGTGGCCAGTTTGATTTCCTTCCCTAGTTCTATTCACTGATGAATTTCCTGATGAGGTGATCATACTCCGCGACTTATACTTCCTTATATATTTGTATACTGTGTGTGCAGGGGGAGTGTATAATATGTACAATGTAGTGGTAATTTAATTTAGCTTTTGTCACTGTTTACTGCTGATACCCTCTGATGTTTTTTATTAAATTGTTCTTTTTTTCCCCCCCAGTTTTGGATGTTTGTTGGATCAGTACATACGTCTTTGCTGTGGCTTACACCGCTGCAGATGGATCGTTGGAAACTCCACCGGAAGTAGTGATTGTGTCCTTGCCGGTAGGTGGCCCGTCTGTGCTGAAATTGGCCGTATGCCACTGTGTGCCTCACTTTTAATTAATTGTCCTCATCAAAGACTAAGAGAAAAGCTGACACTTCGGGCTTCTATGGGAAGACCGTTGCTGATGCAGCACTTAGGGATATGATTGGAAATATAATCATAATAATGCTCTTGTTTGGTATCGTGCCTTTTACATGAGGAGGATGTCTCAAGTATTTCACAGGATAGTGTAGTGTACTGTGTATCTTGTAGGTGAACATGGCAGTCAATTTGTACAGCTGTTCCACAAATAGCCCTGATGCAAATGACCAATTTTACCTCTGGTCATCGGGAGAAAGCTCTCTTCTTCGAATAGTGTCCTGGGATATTTCATGTTCACCTGAACAGGCAGACTGGACCTCGGTTTAATATCATATCCAAAGCACCTCCCAACGATGCAGTGCTTTCCCAGCAATCGAGTGGACTATCAGTGTTGATTGTTAGCTCAGTGTCCCGATGGGCATGAACCCACAACCTTCTGATTCGGAGAAAGGAGTGCTACCAACTGAGCCAAGCGTACATCTGCAACATGTTGTAAACCCGTTCTAAAGCTTTTCTGAACTGAGGTAGCTGATCTCGGCTGGGACAGCTTCCTTGCATTGGAAGAGGAAACAGAGAGAAATCAGTTTCTTTTTAACATGTGTTTCCCCCCCCCTCCTTTGTCAGAAGAAGGATGAGAAGCGTGAGGACCGATTCCTGAATTTTACTGACCTGTGTTTTGGAGTGTGCGCAGAGAGGCAACACCATTATTACCTGCAGCACATTGAGGACTGGTGAGTTGTACAGGATCTCTGAGTTTTCCCTTCCCCAGAACATGTTCATTCAAGAACACGTTACATTGCTCAGCATAAATGTGGCTTGTAAGACTCTTATTTCACTTGGGGCACCTGATTGACTAACTGATTCATGGGGGGAGGGGCGGGAAATCTCTGAACCCTTTACTTGAAATGAAAGACCTCAATATTCTTCATTCAAAATTTGTTTTGAAGCCTGGTTTAGCCTGTAAGCTTTCACAAGATAGAATCGTCTACCACGTTTCAGCCTGGCGAGTTGGTAGCATCCTCTCGCCCCAGGGAACGCACAGGCTAGGTTTACGCTCCAGTGCAATGCTGGGGGAGTAAATACTCCATTATTGAACGTACGTCTTTTGGATGAGATGTTAAACTGAGCTCCTTTCTGTCTGTTCAGATGGACATTAAAGATTCCATGGCAGTGGTGAAAAGCAGTTTTTAACTTGTGTCCTGGCCATGAAAGCCCCAGATAATATTTCTGATTCACTTCATGACTGTCTTGTGGAACATTGCCCCACATGCATATAAATACACATCACTGTGCTTCGCAGTAAATCCTGTGAAGTGCTTTTAGGCGTTTCGATGACATGATAAGGTGCATTAACAAATGCAAGGGTTATTATATTATTCATTAATATTAATTGTCTAGAAGTATTTAATTCCCTTTTAAATGCAACTCTTCAAATAACTAAAGGTAGTTAGCAGTGACGTGATAAGGTGCTATATCAAATGCAAGGATTATTATTAACAAACCTTGATATTATGAGAATTGATCTAAGTAAGTCCTGAGAGAGTCAGACTGTTCAGGGCTCCAATTCACCTTGTGGTATTTACAGGGATCTGTTGCTGGCGTCCTCAGCGGCATCCATTGAAGTCACTACAGTCGCTCGGCAGGCGGATAAGGTAATGGTCCCAACAAACTAATTGTTTTAAACGTATTAAATGAACCCAATATTCTATCTCGGTCTAGTACAGTAGAACCCCGTATAACTTGATTGGTTATATTACACTGGATTAAGTTGTGTCTTTATATATATATCTATATATATAAAAAAATACAAGGCCCGTGTCCTTGCATTTCTGTTTGTAACCAGTTTGTGTCTCGTCTCATTGTCTTCAGACAAACTGGGAGCTGTGGGTGCTGGAGGATGCGGCTCGAGCGGAACTCCCTGTGACTGAGTTCAGCGCTGACACCATGCCCGTGGGGGTTGCTATCGATTTCACAAGTCAATTAGACATACCCATCAGTGAGTCTTTCAGCTTACGTACCTGACTTTTGTTCCTGCGCTTCATCAATGATCTGCAATCCTCTGTTGTATCGCAGACTTAAAGTGCTGAGATTAACAACACAAGTTGGAGAGTTTGAAACCTTATTTTCCCTCCATTTCCATTCGGTGCTCGGTGGTCAGTAAAGCTCTTCCTTTTGCTTCCAGTAATACCGCGAGTGTGTCATCCCTAAATTCCTGACTAGAAACAGGATTCAAAAGCAAAACAGCTGGATGTTAAGAGAAGGACTTTTACCCGTAACTTGAACAGTTGAACTGAAAAATGCATGAGCGTTCATCTCAGTTGACAGTGTTAAATGTCATCCTTATCGATCCAATGGCTAACCTGGTTATGTTAGCACTAATGTGGACAGAGTTTTAACTGTAGACAATGGCCACAGAATGTGTGCAACTCACAGTGATGGGTTCAATCACATTGGTAACCAATTCACTCTGTTCTGATTCGCAGCCAGAATCTGCCGTTTACCTGCGTGTGTAGACTATTTTGAAACAAACAAACACTTTTCCTCGTGTCACAGGTGATGAGAAGACACTTCCTCCGGCTCCAGTTTTGATGTTGCTCTCGACCGATGGCGTTCTTTGTCCCTACTACATGATTAATCAGAACCCTGGCTTGAAGTCTCTGATAACTCCGGCACAAAACCTATGTCTGGATGGAGAGAGACAGCCTAAATCAGGTCTGTATTACATCACCAACAAGTTGCATTTATTTAGCGTGCTTCACGTGGAGTAGTTTCTCGGAGCACTTAAGCTACTAAGAGCAGAGGGAAATGCTTGCTACGAACACAGAACCCTGATCCTAACATACCCTAACCACACTTTTGCCGAGCGATTTGTTTAAATGATTAAATGAGAAGCAAAGTGCTGCGGTTACTATGCGTCCTTCACTGTGTTTGCAACTGGATGACAAGTGGAGCATTTTTGTCACTTGTTCCTTTTGGCGGAGTGCTGGGTTATTAAATCAGTTTCTTGCTCTGCATCTTGTGGAACAAAAAATGTGTCGCTGCTGCAAATGTTGTTACCAAATCCATTTGACAATTATTTTTTTTTTGATTTCTTTCTTACAGCTCCATTGTCCAGTCCAGCCACAACTGCTTCATCAATGCTGCCAAAATCTGAATTGAGTGCTGCAGAATCCTCTGCCCCTGCCCCTGCCTTTACACAGCCTCCTGTACCCACTGGTCCTGCCTTTACCCAGTCTCCTGTTCTAACTGGTCCTGCCTCTAGCCAACCTGCTGTTGCCACTGGTCCTGTCTTTAGCCAATCTGCGATTCCCGTTGTCCCTGCCTTTACCCAGCCCCCTGTTAGCACTGCCCCTGCCTTTACCCGTCCTGCTGTTCCTTACACGTCCACACCTGCTGTTCAGTCCAGACCTGCAACAGAGAGTCGACCTGCAGGCACCTCAGTGGCACCAATGCAGCCAATGAGCTTCAAGATGCCGTCTAGTTCCGTGAAAACCAATCTCAATGCCAGGTAAGTTGGAAAACCTGAATTTATATGCTAGGGTTATTTGAACGTGGTTAATAATAATAATTATGATGATGATCCATGCGTTTGATATAGCATCTTAACACATTTTCGAGCCGTCTCAAAACGCTTCACATAATATACTGTAAAGTGAATTGACTATATATTTTGTGGGTGAAATACAGCAGCAAATTTCGCACAGCCATGGCTCACAAACAGTCATGGACTGACATTCAATGCTTATGTTCTCGAGTGTAATGGATGCCTGCTGTCAGTGGAAGGTCTTTTGAGATGTATTTTTGTGGGTGTTTTGCTCCTTCTAGATTGGCATCTGTAGAGACCACACCCCAGGCTGCTGGCAGCTCTTCAGCCCTGTCCTTCACCCCCAAGGCCACCTTTGGATTAGGATCATCTTTTGGGTCGTCTGCTGCCCTGCCCGCCCGGCCGGAAACACTGTTCCAGTCTCCAGGCACCACAGTTGGTAACGTCTTCAAATCTGCTTCTCTATAATAATCCTAGCATTTGATATAGTGTTTTATCACGTGCTTCACAGGATTTTACTATGAACTTTACTGACTCTATTTTGACGGTCAACACAGCTGTCAATTTGCTCACAGCAATAGTAATAATAATATTAATAATCCTTGCATTTGATATAGCACCTGATCACGTCGTTGAGACGTCTCAAAGCGCTTCACAGAATATGCTGTAAAGTGAATTGACTGTATATTTTGTGGGTGAGACAAGGCAGCCAATTGCGCACAGCGGCGTCCCACAAACAGTCGTGGAATGAGTGACTTGTTTTTATCTGGGGGTTGTTGGCCAGGACACCGGAAGGAACTCCCTCCTCTTTTCAAAAAGTGCTGTGGGATTCTTTAATCTGAACAGGCAGATGAGATTTAATCTCATCTCACCAGCAACGCAGCAGGCTCCCGCACATTTACAATACTGGGACACGCTCGAGAAAGGCCTGCCCAATTGGACCAGTAGCCTGCGCTGCAAGTGATCTGTTCATACCTGTGATTCCACCACGTGGGAAGGTTCATTTCTCAAGCTATGCCCCTATCTTTGTAGATAGTATCGGGAAATTTTAAAAAAAACATTGGACCAAACTTACAACAGATTTTCTTCCCTCCTTAGCATCTACTCGAACTGCATTGAATGCATCTGCCACAGCTTCTGTTTCAAAGCTTGGCTCAACACATCAGGTACGGCTTATCAACAGACCAATTGCAGACCTGCTTGAGGCAGAGGTCAATGATAAGAATTGGGAATAGGATCCTAACTTTTTTTTTTGTGGGTCCTATCTTTGGCTCTTTATCATTAAGGTCCATTGTGGCAGTGCCCCACTGGGATTAGTTAACTCAGCCTGCTAACCATCCATTAACCCTGTTTTCTCACATTATCAAAGATACAAGTGTTTGGTGTTCATTTCCCTCCTTGATGGTTTCTGTTTCTCTTCAGGCATCTGCTTCCTCCGTGGAAAAACCGCTTCAGCAGCGGCAAAGTTCAGATCCGGTCATGATGGGAATCTTAGAGGAGGTGAGCCTAACAGGGCAGTGAACGTGGCATAGATAATCTGGTGAACCTCAAGCAGCCGTCCTAGTTTGTGCTTTTGCACCGTGATCAGCAGCTGACCTGGGCTTGCTTAACAGTTCTGTGACCATCAGTTTGCCTCCTAAACAGCTCGGTTGCGCAGCAGTTTTCAGCAACCTCTCGTGCAAAAGCCTAGCTTTGTAACTAGTATTTAAAATGAGCTGTTTCTGGAGTTCGTGTTGGTTGGGACACGATGCCTCATTGAGCTCCGTAGTGTTTGAGTTCCACGCAGCTGCTTCAGGAACTTCCTACATCGGAGGGCGACAATAACAACAACTTGCGTTTACATCGCTCCCTTCACGCAGGGTTGCGTCTTGGAGTGTCTCAGTCTGTGACCATCTTGTTTTCAGGCGTTCTTTTGAACAGCAATGAGACATAAAAACAAAATTGTCGGTAAAAACTGCAATTGAGACTGATTTATATTTGGAGTTTTATGCTGCTAGAACCGTTGGCCCATCAGGTCTAAATAGGTAACTGGCTCAGCCTTTGGGAATACTTTCATTTCAATTCGCTAATGTTCCCCTGTATCTTAAATTCTTTAACGTTTACCTGAACAAGAAAGCGAGACCCGTTTTGGGTGTCTCATTTGAAGGACATCCTTCGCTCCCCCGCCATGACTCACTTGCGGTGTTCGTGATTAACATGCCTTTGCTAAAGGTGTTTTTGTTTTGTGTAGATTGCTCTCTTCCAGAAGGAGCTGGATGAGGTGAAAGCTCGGACAGCGAGTGCCAGGTGCGAGGTGGGTAGCAGTCAGGAGATGAAGATGCTGAAGTGTGAAGCTGAAACCATCCACAGCTTCCTGTTGGAGATCAAAGAAACCACCGAGGTAAGTGGCAGCCTGGCATTCAACAAACCTCTGCTCATCACTGACATCTTCATCTTACTGAATCCTTAATGAGATTGTATAGAGAAATTACTGGAGTTTGAGAGAAAATAATTTGCATATAACTTGAAATAGTATTGGAAATGGCTAATGTGCAACAATATGAATCTTTTGATTGGATCATGATATATCTCATGTTGATGTGGATAACCACCTGATAGAATGACTCCCTCCATGTTGCCCCACTAGACATTTTATGTCCCAGTTTACAGTCTTAACACATTCTCTGAACGTTTTATTCCCGCTAGTCTCTGCATGGAGACATCAGCACATTAAAGACTACAATGCTGGAAGGATTTGCTGGTGTGGAAGATGCAAGAACACACAGTGAACGAAACCGAGACTCCAACTACCTTCAGCTGTTGTGTATAAAGCCTCTTGATCCCAAAAGTGAAGCACAGCTTAAGGTATGTAGATTACTTTCACTGATGGCTTTATAGGCCATTTTGTTACTGATCCAGCTAAACCCCAATTGCTGAAGAACCCTGTTATAACACACTGTTTTGGCTCTATACCTAAATATTGTGATATAGCTGGCAATATTCTTACATCCAGGGATGCTCCTCCAGCTCTTCCCTCCACTTTTTACATCAAACTTTTGTGGTGGTGGACAATGAGGAAACGTGTCGACTTTTTTTCCTTTACCCCCAAAAATCTTTGTAGGAAATTCGTCGCCTGCATCAGTACGTGAAGTTTGCGGTTCAGGATGTAAACGATGTGCTGGATTTGGAATGGGAACAGTACCAGGAGAAGAATAAAAAACAAAAGTAAGTAAAGCAAGTAACACTTGCTCCACACACAGGGGGGCACTGAGCACAACAACAACTACAAATTACATTGGTAATTCACGATGGGAGGATGTCCCAAAGTGTTGGACAGTCTAAAGGTTTTGCACCTGAGCTAGGGGGCATGTATGTGCTCCAGGTACAGCGAGGAAAGGAAGCATTGAGGGGTTTGGAGGGGCTAGAGTTGTAGGGAACATGGTGAAAGAAAAATTCAGGGACCTAACGAACAAAAGAACCGATCAAAAGGAGGAATCAGTAAAACAAATGCCAAATGGGAGAAACGGCAGGAAAATGGACTGAGCAGAACCATCAGAGTAGGCAGAATGGCCTCCTTTTTGCTGTCAATTCCTATGGTTCTATCTGTTGAGCAGAAAGTCTGCACTTATGATGTCTCGCTTGAATTTTTGTACATGAAAACCCTTCATCTCCACTGTTTCTTTCCAGGCACCTGATTCTCCCGGAGAGGGAGGTGCTGTTTAATGCATTGGCCGGTAACCGCGAGATCATTAACCAGCAGAGCAAGAGGCTTAACCAGTTAATAAACGGGTTGCAGCAACTCCGCATGTACAATGAAACCTCCAAGTGGAGTGTGACCCACGAAAGCTGCATACAGAACAATCACTGGTAGGTCTGAAACAGCAACTCCGCCCCCAGCCAGGACCTCAGAAACTGAATCCTTAAAACAACCAAATGCCAGATTTGTTATTATTGTCGCTACCCTCTCCCAAAGATTGCGAATAACATTCTTACTATTCAAATAATTGCATCTGGGGTTTCTTTCTTCAGCTGGGACACTGAGTTGGAGACACTCCGCAATGTTTTGGTGAAAACGAAACTGGAATCGACTCCAAAAATGGCTCCAAACAGCCCAGGTAATTATATCATTGTACTGTGCCCACTTCATTCACAGGGGAAGTGAGGTTCAGTGTAGATAAATGCAAGACACTACATGTTCGAAGTAACAATAGGAAATGCTTGTACTCCCATCGATGGGATAGGCTGTACCAAGGGAGAGATCTTGGTGTGTTAGTTAACTCATTGCTCACCATTCAGTACATTGAGAACCACAAGGATATCTCCATTGTTAAGGGAATGAGGTTTGAGCAATGATGAGACAAGTTAGCACTCTGCAGCCTTGAAAGGAGATGACTCCGGTGTGACCTTAAAGAGTTCTACGAGGTTTTAAATTCTGAACTTGAATGAATGCAGAAGCCCCTCACGTGTCTGACGCAATGAAAAATTTGTATTGGATTTTGGTTTTGTCGTCTTTGAGTCCAACCAATTGTTCATGTCTGAGTAATGCAATAGTTCTCATTATCACTGCTTCTGTTCCGTTGACTGCAGCGACAGACATGCCTCTGATGCCACTGAAATGCAGTGATGGAGATAAACCTTCTGGAAATAAATACTATTTTTTTTTATTTCTAGCCAAACCTTCTCCGTTGAAGCAGTCCCAACTGCGGAATTTCCTCTCAAAGAGACAAACTCCTCCCGTGAGATCCACTGCGCCAGGTATGAAAAGCATTTATATATATATTATATATATATATTAGAAAAAGATTATATATAAAAAAAAGATTATGGATGACACTCCAGTGCAGTGCTAGGGAGGGCCCTGCATTGTCGGAAGTGCTGTCCTTCAGCTGAGAAGTGTTTCGTGGTATACTGTAAAGTGGATTAGTTGTGTATTTTGTGGGCGAAACGCGGCAGCCAGTTGCGCACAGAAGTGTCCCACAAACGGCGATGGAGTGAGTGAGCAATTTTATTTTGTAGGATTGTTGGCTAGGACACCAGGTGAGAGAAACTCCCTTCTCTTTTCAAATCGTGCCATGGGACCTTTAACAACAGGCAGACGGGACCTGGGTTTAACGTCTCATCCGAATTAATCTGAGTATTTGTTGTTGGTTTTAAAAAGATGTTGCCGTCAAACTTGTAAAAGAGAATTAATTTTTCCCTCCCTCTTTCTCTCTCTCCCCCTCCCCGCCCACCCCCCACCCCCATAGCTAATTTATCCAGGTCCGCCTTCTTATCACCAAAATATTATGAAGAGTTGGAAGATGTGAGTTCAACGTCCTCTGTGTCGCAGCCGCTAGAGAATGAAGAGCTTCAGCTACAAGAGCAAGATGAGCAACAGCAAGAGCACGTGCCTTTGTTCAGGCATTCCCCAGTAGCTCGGATGCCCTCGTTTCAGCCAGCGTTGATCAATGCCCAGTCAACTCCCTTCAGCAAACCTCAGTCTGCTCTGGGTCCATCACTTAACCTAGGTATTTGAGAAAAAAAAATGAATCCTGGAAGTGTGTACCCCACTCTTTTGGGTCAAATACCTTCTAGTTGTTTTCTATTCACCTGTTTTTTAAAAAATTGTTTTATCGAATTATTTTTGTAATGGGCGGGGGTTGAGTGTCTGCCCAAACAACAAAATTACATGTGTATAGTGCTTTTTACGTCGGGAGGCCATCCCAAGGTGCTGGACAGTCAGAGTTTCGGACCCGAGCTGGGGGTCAGGATTGGGGAGGGTGGAGGGCAGGAGGGGATACGGGGTGATCGAAAGTACGGTCGAAGAGGAGGGTCTTGAGATGGGTCTTGAAGGAGGCAAGGGAGGGGGCCAGGCGGAGGGACTGCGGGATGGAGTTCTCGAGGGTGGGGACAGAGTGGCCAGAGGCCTGCCTGCCAGTGGTGGGGTGGGCGATGCAGGGGATGTGAAGCAGGCCGGAGCCTGCTGAGCGGAGGGAGCGGGCAGGGTGGTAGGGGGTTAGGAGGTCGCAGAGGTAGGTGGGAGCAAGACCAGGATTTTGAACTGTATCCTCTGTGTGATGGGAAGCCTGTGGAGTCAGGCGAGGATGGGGGTCATGGAGCCTAGTGCTGGAGAGGACACGGGCTACAGAGTTCTGGACGATCTGCAACCTATGGAGGGAGGAGTTCGGGAGGCCGACAAGCAAGGAGTTTGCAGTCAAGCCTCAATGTAATGAATGCGTGTATGATGGTTTTGGCAGTCTATGGATATATAGGATATATAGGCTTATCAGTTATTGCCCAGGCTGAGAACTACAGAACAGTTGTTGATGTGTAATAATGTGTTTTATGCAGCCTTTTGGCTTTCTTCTGAATTGTGAAAAGAACATCAGTGTATTTTATGACAGTTGGGGCTGTTTATATGTTGTCTAGCAATAATTGCTAATTGAATTGGTATTCATCCCAGAAGAACAGCTTGTGATGTATAACTGAGAGCTCCAGTGGATTGTAGACAAAGCATAAATTTGGAGAATCGGCACTTTTTTTTTGCAGTGACTTGAGACAGCGCTTGAGTTTCACTCTCTCTTTCCTCATATCAGTTCTTTAAAGGAAACTGAAAGTATTATTTACTAATTATTCCAAGCAGCTTCTGCAGTGCGACGATTAAGGTTTTTGAAACTTCCTTTGCGGTCGGTTTACAAAGAAATAAGGTTGATTTTTATTTTTTGGTGTTCGAGAGCTGTCTCAAAACCCTCCTCTTGAATTGTGCCTTTGATCACCCTCCCCCACCCCACCCTTTCCAACTAACTCCCCCAGCGTGGGTCAAAACACTGTTTTTCCAGCGCCTTGGGATGGCCCCCCAATGTGAAAGGCACTATAGAAATGTAATTTTGTTGGTTACTAGGTTTAAATTGTTTACAATGAGTTAGTCTATTAAAGAGAACTAGATAGGTATCTAAATAGGAGTTATTTATTATAACACAATGTAATTCTGCTTCACAGAATATATTAAGTCTAGTTATTGTGCGTTTTGTAGGCGAAATACGGCAGCCAGTTGCGGACAGCGGTGTCCCACAAACAGCCTTGCATCCTGAGACCGAATGGGGATTGCTAAGATTGGTTTGACATCGATTGATAGGTTACAAATCCTCACAAAACAATTTTTCAACTCTGTGTCCTTCTCTGTTTCCCCTCCCACCCATCAGCTCCCAAGCCAGTGGGTAAGCCAATGGAGGTTCCAGATACGTTCACTCAGGCAACTAAGACAGTGAAGCACGGTGCCCCAGCTGAGAAGCCAGCCACCAGCGTCCCTCCCGCCCAGGCTGCTGCTGCTGCAGCACTGCGGAGACAGACTGCCAACCAGACCCCAGGTAACCACATCACTGACTTGTGGAGATGAATCTCCAGCCTCACCAGCAGGGCTTTGATAATAATAATCCTTGCATTTGATATAGCCCTTTATCACGTCTTCGAGACGTCTCAAAGCTTTGCGTCAAATACTTTGACCCATCCTCCCGATATGAACAATGTAATTTGTATTGTTAGGAGAATTCTGTTGTGCTTTAAAATACATTCCGGGAACATGCCGACTTGGGACATGACCATCAGAATATACGTGCCGGAGTGGTTGCTCTGTTTGGTGTTAATTTCACCGTACTGTTGACGTGCACCATGGGTTTCCGTTATCAGCGCCCGTTGTCAGGATGTGTTCTCAGCCATTATTGTCCCACTCTTGAAACTCTCCCCAAATCGCTTCACCTTGCTTTCAGGGGTATGCGTACAAACTATCCCTTCACATTATCACCCTGGATTCAGATATTAGCAGATGAAATTGTGTGGTTGCGAATGTAGAATTCGCCAGGAGGGAACAGAGTGGAAGTGTTTTTCAAATGTTTTCTTTTTTGAAAAAAAACTGCACAAATGCAGTTATTAACATGTTATTGAGTCTTTGATTAATTGCATCAACATGCAGTTTTTACTGAGAAGCCAAATACCCCTGTGTACAATGATTTGTTTTCAGTGTATTTATTTTGGTTTAGTCCCCAGTGCTTGTCTTACTGAGCCCACACTGAAGAATGTCCCAAAAGTGGTGAATGTTCAGGGACTGAAGGACATGGGACCTCCTCTTAATCTGTCAACTGTGATCAGGTAAGTAGCACAGTCTGTCCCCATGGAGACTGAGGAACACACAGCGTAACATCATCCCTGAGGTCTCGGCTCTCTGTTCTTTTGAGTTCATTCTGTCACATAAGGCCATAGAGTGTATGACCAATTTTATCTGAGCTTTCAACGTATACTTTAAATACTTTATCAGCTACACAAGTACTTTTCACATTCTCTTTTGGGGCATTTCATTGAATATGCACTAGTTTTCTGTAATAATTGCACTTATTTAAAATGCTTGCTGCAAAAAGAGGAAGGAATTTCACTTTTTTTCCTTTTTTTTGCTTTGTATGCAGGTACTGTCACACTTTGGTTTTGCCTTTAGGTGGTGCAATTGCTGCTTTTTCTCTGGAAAACTGCAGAACGTTAAACATAATTGGGGAAATTAATATCAAATAGCATAGCTCAGATGGGCAGATTGTGTTCCTTTTTTTAAGCTGTACAAATCTAATTTGTTGTTGAACCTCAGTAAAAGAAAAAAAACATTGTCTGAATGCCTTCAGGCAGCAAGGTAAAGCAGGGGAGAAAAAGAGGCAGAGAATACATCTTTCCTTTTATGATTTCTGCCTTTGCAAAGTGTAGGTAGCAACTCACGATCTTCTGAATTCTGTCTCTTTCGCAATGCGCTTCTCAGTTTGATGTTTGCTGCCTGACATATGAAAAGTTAATGGGAGTCTGCTGAATAATTCAATTATGTTTCTGATCTGTTGAATAACAGATGAGATTCACGTTCACACACCGACTGCACTGAAGCCTTTGAGTGATTCAGCAATTTGAACAGACTTTGCTCTCGTCTGTCAAACTGCAGTCTGTAGACTTTAGCTCTGTGGAGAGCAATATGTCTTTCCAAAGCCAAATTTGATTGGAAAGTTTTTTTTTTAACATATAAGCAGCAATTGCAGTACAATTTAATGAGTTAGAAATTCTTGGCATGATTGCAAAGTTGCTCGTTGCTGGGCTTCAGTTTGAAAAAAAGTGACGTGCCCATCTGAAAGTCATACATGGATTGGCACAGATTGGTGACGGGCAAGGGGCAGAGAGGCACAGTGGCTTAGTCTTTGGCTGGGTGTTGGACAGTTCCAATGGCAAAGTCATACTAAATGTAAAGAGATTAAAGTATCCCATGTTACAGCCAACCCTTCAATAATTGTGAACCATCTTTCTTTCTATTTGGCCTCTGTAATTGGCTGACTGATGCTTGCATTTCTCATTCTTCCCCCCCCCCTCTCCCCCCACCCACCCCACCCTCTTCAGCACACCATTGGCTCCACTCATTCATAGAAGGCAGAATAACATAGATAAATGGGACCAGTTCTGTCCTAGAGGAAATAAAAAAAACGGTGCTGTCTTAGTCCAGGGATTCTGTTTGTTTTTGAGTTTCAGATTGTCATAAACACTCTTATTTTGAATTATTGCTCTAATAATTCATTTTAAACTCCTTCCTGGAGAAACTGCCTTCTCTTTTCGAATAGTGGACCTAAAAAGGCTGCCTTGCTGTGGCTGTTTCAAAGAAACGTGGAGTCTTGCTGTCATTTATCCCCACACGTATTCCCCTCCTAATCCAAATGCAATTCCAAATTCAAATGAATTGGTTGCATGTCTTATTGTCGTTCGAGGCATGGCTGGAACAGATTAGCTGCCGTGCTTTCCGACATAAGATTCTTTGCTGATCAATTATGTTTTGTGAAGCACGTGGAGACGTTTGTATTTAGCATGAAAGGCGCCGTACAAACCAAGTAGTTGTTGGAATTGCTTGTCATCTTTGCACCTGTGTATCTTTTATCTTTTGGTTCCACACTTTAACTTGCGTCAACACTCGAGAAGCTAACATCAAACCTGGCTGATTGTTGTGTTGGACTCTCTCTTAAAACAAAAATTGTCACTTTGCATCTTGCACCGTGGACCTCGGTTTCCAATCTGTCAACGTGCAGAAAGTCGACAGTGCTCTCTAATCTCTAAAGAAATGGTTCGATTGATGAAGCTGTTACTAACGTCTGCTCTTTACAGCCCTTCTGCACCAACCTCTGCAGCAGGAATAGTCCAGCAGGCCTTGGCCGCAAACCTGTCCAAACAGGTAAGGAGTGATTGTGTCAATTACCTGTCACTGATTCTGTTTATTTACCTGCGGGGATTCAGTTTATTCCCATTATTCTGGATTGGATTAAATAATTTTCCATGTCGTGCCCTGGAATTACTGAGCATGTGTTCTTGTTTAGGTGCCCCACAAAATGCCCTTTTCTGTAAACGTGAAGGGCCAACACATGAGAGCCCATTTTGTCCTTACCCACTGCCCATTTTATAACAGAGTTGCTGTTGAATGATCGTGACTGGAACCTTGATTTTTTTGTTGTCTCCATCTTTTTTTCCCTCTACTTTCCCTTCCTCTTCCCCTGCATCCCTCTCTCACACACACACACACACACAAGCCATAATAGAAAGCTGATTGTTCGTCAATTGGCAGATGTATGTTTTTCTTTTTTAACAGCAACGTTTTTCTTCGATGCGTATTGTTCAAGGGTTTAAAAAATGTCTTGATAGCAATACAAAGCTGTATATTCACTGAACAGAAATACATTCCATCACTGTCCCAAGTTGTGCACTAACCACCGAACGTTCAAATATCACCATCTAAATTTGTTTTCTTTTTAATGATTTAGGGCTCTCAAACAAACCTGAAAGGCTCACCTCTAGTCGGACTCACTGTAACTGGACAAGCTTCATCTGAAGCAGCTCTGCCCTCAGCAGTCGGTTTCTCCTTTGCTAACTCCACAGGTAGGAATATCAAAGGTCCGTTACGTTCACTGAATGCTAGTGCAATTGCAAAATAAAAGTTACGGAAATTCAGAGAGAGTCTTTGGGCAGTACAGAATGTAGGACTCTGGCTAGTCAATAGTGTTAAGTGAACCTTCTTTGCTTTTTCATCCATTTGTTCTTGTATTGCAGGGAGCCTTGGACAAACTCTGCTGAAATCTGACACTGGTATAGTGATGTCAATCACAGTAACATCTGCTGCAGCCCCTGGCCCAGCAATCAACAAGGCCTTCACATTCCCCTCAGCAGGGTGAGTGAGTTGTCACTTCTGAGCTGGCAAATTCTATTCGGCAAATACCTTTGCTGGAGCCCAAGTACAGTTATGAATAGAAGCAAAATATCACAAAATGCACTGTGTGAATAGGGTCATGAGATTAGTTTGGGTGAAAAAAGGCCCTTTGGCTCATTAGATCTTATCTCTCTTATCTACTAAATAGGCCTCTTGTTTGCAGTTCTACATAGTTTTGATGCAAAGAATTTGATGAGTTTCCTTCGTTTCAAACGGTTCTTTGAGGATCTCCTGCCAGTACATAACAGCAGTCAGTCACTGGCCTTTACACAGTGTGGGATTCGGGGGGTGCGGGGTCTGATATGGGTGATGATGCAGGTACTGTATCCAGGTGTAGATGCCATGGATGGCAGGTATTGGCCATTTAATTTGTGGCCATGAATACCCTCACCCATTCACGGTCACAAATGAAACTCCCAATACGTGGGAGCCCTTGGCATCTACACATGGATTCGGGACCCGGACCAAACTACACAGCCTATTGGTAGGTGACCAAGGATAAGACTTTCTGTTTCTCATTCTTTCTCCTCTTCCCCTCCTCATTCTCTTCTCCTACTCCCCACTCCTCCTTGAGTCTAGGCTGCTACTCATCGTGTTCACAAGATTAGTTTGGATGAAGAAGGCCCTTCTGCCCATCTGATCTCATCCTTCCAAATCACACACCCTTCCATCCGCCCAGCACACCATCAAGCTGCTTTTCACATAAACCCAGTGTCCTAACCTTAACCATCCTTCTTGGGAACCTTAACAATCATTAGTTACCCTCTGGGTAAAGAAAAACTTGCTGGTTTCTGTCCTTTACAATTCTAAACCTATATCCTCTTTTTCTATAGTCTACTGCATCATAACTAAGTTAAATTAGTCCTGAACCAGGAGACTCATTACGGGTTAGCACCTGCATAGAATTCCCCCCAACCCCCTGCCCTGATCTTGTGATTTAATGATCAGAAAAGGAACTAAATTTGAAGGGAGTTCAAATGAAAATTGCTTTAACAGAGGATGGAGTACAGCATAAACAATGGTCTTTTCTCTTCCTGTTTATATAAAAAACAGTGTCATGACCACAAGGTGGTGCCACCAGATATCCTCACATGATTCTACCTCCCTTCCAGGGTGTGGTTGGAATACTCGAGCAAGCAATTTTTCCCAAAATGTCACCAGGAACAACATCACTCAATGTCTGGTGCACGTTTAACAAAACGAATAATTTCTTTACAATTTCATGCCAGTAACTTCTCCGTTCCCCTCTTTTCTCTCTTTCTCTCTCTCTCTCTGCTCAACTGCAAACTCCTCTCTCCTCTTCTTACAAACTGACTGCATGATCTATCAACATCTGGCTGGCCAAGGCCACAATATTAGTAAATGAGTTTGCATGATGGGTGGGTGGGTGGTTGGGTGGGAGGGTAGATCAAAGACTTGAATTTATAACTTTCCTGTCAAGAGCTAGCAACTACCTGGATCTTATTAGACGATACCAGGGTATGGGGAAATAACAGGAAAAGTGACATTGTGGTAGATAGCACCGTCAGAAAGCTGGCACACAGGAACGAAGGGCTAACGATAGCCTCCTTTCCTGAAAATTCCTGAGTTTTATGACCCAGTGGTGTGGAATGTCGATTTCAGTTCGTAAAGATGTTGTTCACTCCCTATGTTTGTGCAAATGATGCGATTTGATTGCGTACATTTCGCCTTCCAGTGATGCAGTATATAAAGCTGGTTACATGGCTGAAGGCATCTTCGACTGAATTGGGTATTGATTGCTGAGGAGTGTGGGACAGATGTAAATCACTGTGCATTGTATAATCTGGTGCCTTTCATATTACAGTGGGTTCAGTTTCACCTCACCTGCCACTTGCTCATCAACTCCCACCAGTGTCAGCATCACCACCACCCCAGGTAGGTCTTGGCCTGTCCTTTGTATCTCTTGTCATTCACTAAACACTTTTGAGACGATCATTTACGTGAAGAGCACTGGCTGTATGAATAGAAGTCTTGTTTTTTGTTGATCAGACCACATTTCAATTTCTTTCATTTTTATTTTTGGACAATCTTGACGCAAACAGAAATTCCACCACCATTTTGAAGTCTCCAAACCAAACCACTAAGAGTTCCTTAGAGTTTGCCTACTAGGTGTGTGTGTGCTTGTTTTACATGTTTTACACGTTAGTGCTTTGAAACGTCCTCCCGATATCAAATACAGGGATTTATAGGGTTATTTTTATTATATTACTCATCATTTTCTAACAGATCATAGAATTAATCAAAAACAAGGGCTTTTGGAATGTTCCACTTTTCAACTGGTATAATTTTCAAAAGACCGTCATGAACCGGGTGTATTTATCCGGGGGAAAAAAAACATTCTCACCTGAAAGTTGAATTCACTTTTTTTTTAACTTAAGGCCTTCTTCTTTGACTGTGCCTTCGGCCACTCTCCCACCCCCACCCTCTACCCTCTTGGTTCCAATCCCCAGCTCGGGCGCAAACCCTTAACTGTCCAGCGCTTCGGGACATCCTTCCGATGTGAAAGGCGCTACATAAATGCAATTTGTCGATTTTCTCTGAAAAACCAATGCTTTTGTGTTTATTAGGAGCTTCAGCTAATGTGAAGGACCCTTGCCAGGCCAGCCAGCTGAGCTTTGGAGGATCCAGTAAGCCAGTATTTGCGTTGGGAGGAGACGTCGGGTTTCCCTTTGCGAGCCCAAAGCCTCCTGCGAGCTCCACTGTTTCAGCTGAATCCGTCCCGAATCCACCTAGCGCCAGCTCGAATAACAATTCATCGGCAGAAGTGCAGCCCGTTGCAACTGGACCATCCACTGATCCTGGGATAAGCAGCAAGCCCGACACCCAGAAACCCAAGCCCGAAAATAATCTCTTCCAGGGCTGCACTACAGGAGTGACCATCGGTAGCTTCTCTGGACTTGTTGTTAATCCAACCGACGATCCCTCGAAGGCTGACAAACCTTCCCAGGGAGGCTATGCCTTCAGATCTGCAGCAGAGACCTCTACTACTTTTTCTTTCGGAAGTGTCTTTCCCGCTGGGAAGTCTGAGCCCGTCGATGTCGTCGCGGGAGCAGCAGCCGCGAGTGCCGGTGCTCCCAAGGCAACCGGGCCTTTGTTTAACTCCCTGCAGACAACCGGCGTGGAATCCCCCGACTCAACCTCCGACGGATCGTTACCGGCTGGAGTCGGCGCCCCCGGCTTTGTCTTCAAGCTGGAGCAGCTCGGCGGGCCGGCTCCCGGCGCAGCTTCCCCCGCGGGCGCAGCCCTGGCCCCCGACCCTTCCTTCCCCGAGCAGTTAACGTCGCCCGCCCCCGAAGCTGCTGATCCTCCAGTCGCCTCCGCAGCCCCGAAGGCTCCGCCGCCCGAGGAGAAGGAAGACGGCACCGGCTCGGTGTCGGCCGTGCCCGCGTTGGAAAGCCGGGCTGCCGAACCGAGCAGAGGTCCCGCGAGCGACGCCTCAGCCGCGCCCAGCCCGGCCGCTCCGCCTTCAGCGACGGCGACCGGCCCGCCCGCCCTTCCTCCCACCGCGGCGCCGAGCGCGGCCGCCGTGTTGGTCGGGCTGGCGGAACCCGTTGCCGCGCCCGTCACCTCGCATGGCGCGGCGCCCCCCGCAGCTGCTCCAACTACGACGCTTGCCCCCGCTGCCCTTCCTCCCCCTCCTCCTCCTCCTCCCCCCGCCGCTGGCGCTCCCGCGGGAGCAGCAGAGGGCACCGCCGCCCCAGGGCCGCTGTTTGGAGCTGGCGCGACCCACCCCGCCTCAGGAGTCCCACTGTTCGCGCAGCCACCCACCTCCGCCGCTGGCGCCACCGTGTTCGGCCAACCCGCCAGCGCCGGCACAGTGACCGCCCCAGTGTTCGGGCTGCCGGCGGCCGCAGGGGCGCCGGGCGCCTTCGGGCAAATTACCGCTGGTAGCGCCACCGCCCCTGGGGCCCCGAGCTTCGGCTCAGCCGGCGGGTTTGGCAAGCCCGCGTTCGGCCAACCGCCGAGCAGCCTGGGCTTCGGGCAGGCGGGCAGCAACCCCCCGGCCAGCGCGTTCGGCTTCGGGCATTCGGTCTTCGGGTCGGCGCCGGTCTTCGGCCAGCCGACCTGCGCGGCCGCGCCGGCGCCGAGTGGCGGCCCCTTCAGCGGAGCGAGCGCCTTCTCGTTTGAGCAGACGGCTGGCGGCGGTGGAGGAGGAGGAGGAGTCTTCGCGCAGTCTAGCGGCCCAGCCTTTGGACAGAGCACAGGTTTTCCGCAAGCCCCCGTGTTCGGCAGCAGCACCGCTACAACCTCCTCGGCCGGTTTTGGCTTCGTCCAGCCTTCAGGTGAGGCTCCAACGCCGCACGTGGCAATGCTTTCAGACATCCCCGTGTTGTATTGGTTTTTTTTTTGTTGTTTTTTTCCCCCTTCTCCGTCTCGGTTTAGGTTCGATCGTGACCGAGAGGGAAGACGTGCGATACCCGTCCCTGTTCAGGATTAAGTGACATGTATTTAGAATCGCCCCGTTTAATGTGGCAATTTATTAACAAGGCTGCAAAGCATCTTTGGTGACGAATTGGGCAATGCTACGTTCTCCTTGTTTGAGGGAAGAAAGACGCCGTAAATAATTCACCGGTACTGCGTTCAGCTCAAAAGATTTGCTGCTGCCGCACTCTACGCTGCGTTCAGCTTTTGCCTCTCTTATGGCTCTCGGCTAAACATGCGCCGCCTGGGGTTACTCACCGATTATTATTATTATCATCAATGGTGTATTGACTGTATCTTGTGGCAGTTTCGCCCATAAAATATACAGTCAAGTCACTTTACAGTAAATCCTGTGCATCGCTTTGAGATGTCTCAACGATGTGATAAGGTGTTAAACCAAATGCAAAGTTTATTATTGTTATTATCATCATCATCATCACAAAGCATAACTCCTTTTTTCTTTTACTGGCAATGATAATACCTCTGCACCAGAATGTCCCCTGCAAGTCTCTTAAAGTAAACCCAGCAGTTTGACAGAGAGCAGTGTCTGAGCTCAGCCACCTCCACTCTGCTCTCTGGCCTCTGGTGGAGAAAGCTAAATAGTCTGTGCCCTCTCTTGACTCGGGCTCTTCACAGCCCTGCTAAGACTACAGCTGAACTATAAAGGCAAGTGCAAGAGCTATTGAAACACGCTAGCGTTAACCTATGGCATCATTGCTCCCTTGCTTTAATATTCCATGAGTATTTTGGGTGGGTGGGTGGGGCGGGGGGGTCTAATGGAACTGATCAGATTTTCACTGGTGCGAGTTACTGCCGTTAGAAATTGGCTAAAGAATATTTTGCTGGAAAAGAGTGAAATCGTACAGGAGGCATTGCGTTTCCTTTCACATCTCATACGTTTAAAAGATCGTCACTTGTGAGCTGCGGATTCAATTAATTCTGAGAGTCTTATCTTGTGAGGTCCCATCTGCCTAGTGAGGTTGGTAGGACATTATTCTCACTGTTCCGAATAGCAAGATACCAAGGAAGTGTTTTTCCCCTACGGAACCTTTTTTTGATGCTGCTCGTTGAATCACAAGGTCTGTTGGTGTTTCGTCTTTTCTGGAGCTTTGTTGACTGGTATATGTTTTCTTTTTTGGAGATAATTGAGCATTTTTGTTTTTTTATATATAAAAGAAAAAGGTACCCCTGTGTTGTTGTGGCTGGCTTCTTGCTGGTTTTGACGGCTCGGGGCTGGCAGAGTCGAGTGCAATTGTCGGTCAATCATGCGGTTAAGAAATCATTCAGGGAAGAATTATTTGCTGTTACACCATGGAAATAAATCGATTACCACACTCACGGAGCACGTGGCACGTTCACTGTTGGAAACTGTGGTTGAAGGAAATAGCATCAATGTATTGAAGAGAAAGCATGTGTTCAGGAGAGGGGCATTAAGAGAGATGGGGGCGCGTGTGTGGAGTATAAATACAGACGCAGACTCGTTGGGATGAATGGCTTGTTTCCAGGCTGTATCACTCTGTGTAACTATTATATGATCCCAATTTTTCCTCTTCCAAATGGCACACGGTCACATTTCCAGCTTCCTCCATGATTATTTTTTGATCAATTTTAATGAAATCTCGGCCATCACTATTGAATGAGTGTTCTTTCATCGAGTTGACATTTTATATAAAGGATTAATTCTAAGAAGCGGGGAATACAGCAACAACAATTTGCATTTAAATAGTGCCCTCACCCGGGGTAGAGTCCCGATACCTCTTGTTTCACACCGTTCTGAGTTATGTTCATTGCAGTTTTGCCTTTACGCAATCCATTTCTCGAACTGGGTCCTCGTCAATGTTGAAAGGTTTCCTCTTGCCAGACAGCCTCCCGATGGAGTGCAAATGGAGGAAATTTGGATCATCTTCTTTCCATTATTTGCCGTTGTGCTTTTTCAAAGACGGCAGATTGTTTTAAAAACACAATGAAACAGAACAAAATGTTGCTGGAAACCTGATCAGTCATTGTGCCACTCATCTGCGAAGCCTAATAATGGAAGAGGAAAGGAAAATATAGGATCATATAACAGTGTTGTAAGCCTTATCAGGTTTCAATCAGACACACAAAACGGATTTGCTGTGAAGTGTAGTGACTGTGTGGTTGTCGATAAGAGTGTATTTGCGCACAGCAATGTCTCACAAACGGTGACGTGAGTGACCAATTTTATTCTGATTTTTTTTTTACAAGGACACAGGGAGAAACTACCTTCTCTTACCAAATTAGTGCCATGGGATATTTAATGTCCATCTGAACAGGCAGATGACACTACCGTGGTGTAGTGGTTATCTCACTCGCCTCAACTTCTCACCACAAGAGGCATTGCAATTGGGCCTGTACGGTAATCTGCTGATGTCTGAACACATAAGGCTACCTACACTCTTTCTTGGTGCAGACTGCTTTGCCTGCAGATCACACCTGTGAACCTAAGAGAGCAATACTTTAACAGTACCAAACCACTTGAGCTGGAAGGTTCTGACATTGTGGGATAATTGAGCGCTTCAGAGAAATTGCCCTTGGCGACAGGCAGCTTGCCAAGATGTACATTCATTTTTATTCCGTTCCTTGAATCAGTGAATCCTGTCACTGATGGTGAGCGAGGGCAAAGGTGGTTTGAGTGAATCAAGGCAGATACAATTTCTTTTTGTAAAGATTCTTTCTCGCTTGTTCAGCCCCCATTTTGTGCTGTCACTGTATGCTCAAGAGAAGACATTAAATCTCTGGTCTTCAGGTGGCTGTTAAAGGTTCTGTGACACTATTCAAACGGAGAAGTAATCTCTTCCTATTGTCCTGCCTAACAATCCTCTGCTAAAGTCTGTAGCTCAGTAGTTAGAGCGCTCGCCTCGCAAGCGAGAGACCCGGGTTCGATTCCTGGACAGGTGGAAATGTTGGGCAAATTTCCTTACCCCACACACACACACCTCTGTTTACCTAGCATTAAATAGAAACGTGGTCATTAGTCGATTGGTGGGTTGATTTTCTGGGGTAATAATGCCTTCAGAAAAATAATTGGTCACATCAATCCACGACTGTTTGCGGGACGCTGCTGTGCGCAATTGGATGCCGGGTTTCGCCCACAAAATATACAGTCAATTCACTTCACAGTGATAAGGCGCTATATCAAATGCAAGGATTATTATTATAAATGGCTGGCAGTGGGATCTTGCTCTGTCTACTAATGCTGCCATTGTTCGTGGTGAGCCTTGTCAGCGAATGTTGGCAAGCCACACGACTTCAGAGGGCATCATCTCCGTTCCTGACATCTCCTCGCTCAGCTGCCCCACACGTACATAACAAGTGTCTTTGTGTTCAGACACTCTTTCCAATTACTCAGCATCTCATTTCCACATCTTGACACAGCCTGGGTTGTACTGTACCCGTGTTGTTAACATTTAGATATTGTTGTCCTTCTGTTGCAGGGTTTGGTGCTCCATCCTCAGGCACAGTGTTTGGACAGCAGCCTAACACAGGCAGCGTGTTTGGTCAGGTAAGAAGCACTGCGTTAAAATTCATTCATGTTTGACCAGATGGGAAATTTCCTCAAAGAGGACTAAAACAATCAGAGCTCGTCTTGTCCTAATCCTCTTATCTCTTTCTCTCTGTGTCGCCCAACCGATCAACTTCAAAATACTCATCCTGGCCTTGAAATTCCTTTCAAGAATCTTTTCATTTGCTATAGTGCCTAGCTTGTTGCAAAACATTTCGGAGTTTTATAGTGACGTGTCGAGACTGTATTTGATAGGTGAACGTGGCAGCTAATTTGCGCAAAAGAATATCCCACAAAATATACAGTCGATTCACTTTACAGTATATTCTGTGAAGCGCTTTGAGACATTGCGACGATGTGATAGGCGTTAATGACGCTATATCAAATGCAAGAATTATTATTTATTATTCCAAACAGCCATGAAGTGAATGACCAATTTTAGCTAGAGAATTGTTGGCCAAAAGAAACTCCCTTCTCTTTTTGAATAATACTATGGGATCTTTATCATCTGCCTAACAAGCAAACTTTCTCATCTAACTGCACCCCACTTCATTAGGATTTCTCCTCCGGATCTTTCTCCCTGAACCCTCCGCTCCTGCCACGCAGGCCTACAGCTTGTTCCTCCCTCCAATCCCCTCACTCACGTACGTCCCAGCCTCAGTGAATGAACTTTCAGCTTCCCGGAACTCTCCCGATGTCCATTTCCCTTACATCCTCTCTCCCTGTTTTCAATACCTTCCAAAAAATCTATCTTTGGCTCAGACCAGGTCTGGTTCCAACCCAAAGCGTTCCTGCTCAGGAGCTCACTAAATAAGCCGCCAGGGTAATGCAATTTGTCTTTCTATGTTCCCTTATTGCTCAGTTTCCCCAATGGAGGGAAAAGGCCATCATCCATAACTTTTTAAGTTGTTCCAAATCCAGTCTCTGAGTTAAAGAGGAACAGCTTTTGAAAATAGATTTCAACCATCTGGCAGGATGGCAGGAAACTGTGGTCTCATAGGTGAAAGCAGTTTGTAAGTGCACTCCAGCCAGTCAGTCCCCTGTGATTTGCACGAATCCCACATTTCCTCACGTTCAGCCAGAAAAGTAAATACCGAAAGAATTTGACCTGGTACAGTTTACACGTACGCAGAGCAGTTTCCATCAGCCATTGTCTCTTACAAGCAGCGTCTTGTTAGGCAACAACATTGCAATCTGGTAACTAAAAGCAAGACCACTTGCATTTTATGTTCTGTATTTTAAATTTAGCTGGTGAGCTAATATTGCTTCAAGCGAAATAACATTAATACATATTATTATACGCGTCGGCGAGGCTCCTCTGCCGGGTGGGAATGGTATTACGACTAACCTCGGACACCCCTTAAACCGGACAAAACAGCCATCTCCGATGTGTCCGGCTTAATCGGCTTCCACTGTACATATCCGATTCCCTTTTGAAAGTTATACTTGAATCTGCTTCCACCACCCTTTCAGGCAGCGCATTTCAGATCGTAATAACTCGCTGCGCAAAAAAAACCCTAAAAATTTACACAGTGAGTTATGCGCTCGCGTTTACGCATCTTTTAATCATCCCAGTTTTTTTACCCTCCATTTGCTTTTGAAGTTTTAACAACTCCTTCACTCAATTAATTTAGCTCCCAATTTGTGAGCTTCGTGCTCAAGAGGTATATCCACCTCTCTGCTTCTCATTTGGAGATGACTTATCCTAAAACCTTCTGAACATTTTGTCTTCAGTTGTGTCCGTGTCATTTATTTGCTTGGATATTTGCCTATAAAATACACCTGCCCTTTAAAATAGATCTTGTGCAGCACTCTGGAACATTCTCCTGATATGTGAGGTGCTAATCAAACGAAAGGATTATTATTTCATGAAATCATATTACAGAAATTGTAATGTCTCTTCAGTGGAAAATGTCATCTGGTTGTAGCTGACAGATCGTCACCATGTCCCATGTAATTAAAACCAAGATCTTATGCTGTTTTTAGCTATAGATTTCCTTGTAACAAAACATTTGCCTATCAATAAATAAATGGTGTTTAGTTAATTGGAGGAAAGAATGCTATTCTGTCACTGCTTCAGAAGCTTGGTTAATGTGTTCTGTGCATATTTCCAAGGTTAATCGTAATCTTGATCTTGCACGCTTTTAGAAGAGATTGCTTTCTGAGCTGGACTTGTTCTCCCTGTTGGTAATCTTAGAGACCTGGTGTAGTATGTGTTCCTCACAAGAATGAAGGCTAAAGAAGGCCGTCTATTTTTATATTGCTAGAAATGTCATGCCACGTCCCAGAGATTGATGAGCCAGTTAATATGCTGCATTTCAATGGGAGTACTGCAGTGAGTTAACACACTGGCCTTGAAACTTAGGCTGGAATCCAGCCCTAATGGATGGTTTGAGTCTCTGCTGTTCTTTCGGCTATAAGTGCCCTATGTGATGATGAGTTTGGGCAGCAACAATCCAGCTTCCTGCGGCTTTGCATTCGACATAAAACCTAAATTAGCCATCTAAATCAGAGATGAAGGAAACATCACACAAATACAAAACCTCCTTTGAAGTTTAGCCTGAGGTACATTCTTGGGACAGAAGACTTGCATTTATATAGCGCCCCTCACTCTTTGCGTAGCGTCCCACAGTATGCCTCTTTCTGCATCTAACAGCGATATCTTTATAATTTATGATAATAATTGGCTGCCGCTTGTTGCACACAAAATATACAATCGATTCACTTTACAGAATATTTTCTGAAGCGCTTTGAGACATCTCGAAGGTGTGATAAGGCGCTATATCAAATACAAGGATTATTATTAGTATATCTGACCTTGGGGGTGGACCTTCTCTGCAACCGTACCTTCAGCTCCCCTCTCGACTCTCTACCCCCTCCTCGCTCCCTCCCTTCCCCCCTGACCATTTCCCCCCTGCTCGGGTCCCGACCCAACTGTCCAGCGCCTTGGGACGTCCTCCCGACGTGAAAGGCGCTCTATAAATGCAATCTTGTTGTTGTTGTTGTTGATGGATACTTCCTTTGGAAGTCCAAGATGGGGAAAATTCCCATTTCCCAGCTCTTGTCACCCTCACTCACCCTGACTCTTTATGAAACCTCTTCCCGCAGGTCACTTCCACTGGAACAGGGGGGTTTGGCAGTGGGGCAGGTGGCGGAGGCTTTTTCAGCGGACTTGGGGGGAAACCGAGCCAGGATGCTGCCAACAAGAATCCATTTGGACAGCTCAATTTCGGGTCAGCGGAATCTGCAAGTGAGTTGAGCCGTTGGATGGGTCGGGAGGTTGGGGGGTGGGGGGAGTGTTAGAGTTAATAGGAAGTTGCTATTTCCTTACCTGAATAATGCTCTCTATAAGGTCCACCGTTTTTTTTCCCCATATATATATATAGTAGCATAATTCTTAAGCTTTTGAGTCCTTCAAGGTTACCTCGTTTAATGAAGTACTGGGAGTAGACTGTAGTGTGAATGGATATCTTTATCTGGCACTTAGTCATAGATTTTTAACCCGATTATTATGAAAGACCGAGTTGTACGGTGGAAAAAGTCAATGCTGAACAGAACCTACAGCTGTCAGAATGTGGTGCTGCACTGAGTGTCTTCTCGTGAGTGAAGTGATCTGGAGACAGGGATACAGTAAGTATTGGTCAGTTCTGCTAGAGAAGTTATCGTTCTAAAGATTTCCTGACTGATGCTGATTTGTCTATTTATCTGGCAAGCAGAATGCTTCAGCAGTATACTGCAGTAGTCATTGAGCTATTTGACTCCATAAAGTCTATAGCGGATTTGTAAAGCCCATGTAACTCTTCAAATACAATACAAAATGACATTTGCAGAGTGCCTTTCACGTCAGGAGGACGTCCCAAGGTGCTGAACAGTCAGGGATTAGGACCCAAGCGGAGTGGAGTGATCTTCAGAAGGTGCTTGAAGGTTGCTGTGGAGACCGTGTGTGAGGGGTTGTGGTTATGAGGATAGGCTCAGAAATTTCGGATTCAAATCACTGAGAGGGGTTGTGATAGGCCCCCTTGAAATGTTTTGAGAAGATAAATAGTGGAAGATTACTGATGAATCAGTAACAAGGCAACTTAGTCTTGGGATTGTCACTATAAAAGTTCAGAAGAAATACTGTTGCCGCGCAAAAGGTTGTGAGAATTGTGGAATTCTCGGCTATTGAAGCAAAGACTGTAACATCTGAAAGGGAATTTAATAGATCTTTAAAGAGAAGCAAGATGGAAGAGTATGGGGAAAGGGCAGGGAATTGAGATTCGGTTGCAGGCAGCTTGCACGAGCACAGGCTTCACACATCGAATGTAATTTCCTCAAACTAAAGATTCCCAATAGTGCTCGTTTGCAAACTGGACTGAGCCTGTAATCCATCACGTTACGCAGAGCAGCCTCTGCATTGGGATGAAACATTAAACACTGTCACTCACAACGTCCTTGTGCAGCAAGAAAAAAGTCCTTGTAATCTTAGCCCAGCTGCAGGAACACCTTTTATTCATCGAGGAATCACCAGGTGACAAAACCCATCACCGTCCACATATGTTTGCCACCTACACATGCAGATTTTCCTGTGTCTGAAATGGAGTTCCTAAGGGGGATGTACCCCACTTACCTAATTCCGAAGAATATTAGACCCAAGAGCAGAGACTTGGGGATCCCAGAGCGTAAGTTGGGGTACTGCTGAAGTTTAACCAACTAAAACCGTAGCTTGCCATCGACAGCACTGTCTGGCAAGCTTAACTGTCTGTTAAGGCTTTGGCTTACAGGGTTAGCAGGAGGTGAATGGGAAGAATTTCTCAATGAGAAAGACTGTCAGCAGTGCCTTGGAAAATTACGGACTGAACCAACCAACCTTTCAAACCTGCCACAAAAGGATCAACTTGATGCTAACATTGGATTGCCAAGCTTGCAGCTAGCTCAAGGATGGACACCCTGCATACATCCCCTATCCTTCTTCCTGAGAAGGATAGTAACTAGTTGGGCATAGGCTAGCTCCTACTGTGAGTGACAAAACTCGAGTAAGTCGGAGTGACTATGTGCATAAGTATGAGCTTGGTAGAATTCCATGTCTTATTTCACCATTGGTTGATGTAGATGCAGCAACATACAGATGTTATCTGACTGCAGAAACAGATCTATAATCTGAATACAGCAAACCTGATTTGATCTTGTTGGTCTAGAGAATAGTACATATATATATATATAAGTCCATACATATATTTATTGTTGGGGGAGCTATCATTATTGTATATTGTTATTGGATAGCCATGTTGGAGGTAGAAGGAAGAAAGTTCTGAATGGGTGAAAAAGTTTCTATTAAAATAGGGTTGACACATTGGTAGGCCAGAGATCAGTTGATTTTTTTTTGCCCCCACCCAGTGTTTTTGTGCAAGTCTGTAGTTTGTACTCTTTCAGCTGCAAACTTTCTCTTCTGCCAAAAAAGGCAAAGAGACCACATGTTCAATTCTCCAGCTACAATTATAGGAATTTTTCAAGTCACCCAGAAAGTTAATTTGTCAGCCTGGTGACGCCAACGGATTTCAGGACCACATGTCAGTGTCTGGGTAATGCTGGTTGTAAATGTCAGTCCATGTAGTTGGAGAAGGCACGTTTAATCAGTGAATTGCTTTGTTTTTCAGTGAATTCTGCGTTGTTATAATTTTCAGGATTTCTAGGAAAAGCTGCTTTATCCAGAGCAGAGGATTAGAATTAATACCCATTTCGCTCACAGGACACGCAGTCAAAACCACTCTACATTATATCCTGTGATAAGGCACTATATTAAATACAAGAATTATCATTATTATTATTTACTATTAAACCGAACCACTTTAGGGCTTTGTTGAATTCGGTCCAAAAAAGCAAATGTCAAATGAAGGATGAGTCTTCGAACAGTATTTATTCCAATCAATATTTAACCCGTTGAAATAGATTTTCACCCTATACAACGTAATAATAATAATAATAATCCTTGCATTTGATATATCGCTTTTCATGTCAGGAGGACATCCCAAAGCGCTTCACAGAACACACTGTAAAGTGAATTGACTGTATATTTGTGGGCGAACGCGGCAGCCAATTGCGCACAGCAATGTCCCACAAACAGTCATGGATTGAAAATGACCAATTTATTATTGTTTTTGGTTTTGGAGGGATTATTATTAGGCTCTGTGTGGAGTAAGGAAACTTGCCCAAGGTTTCGCCGTGACCTGCCGGGGATTGAACTCAGGTCTCTCGCTTGCAAAGCGAGTGCTCTAACCACTGAGCTACAGGACTCCACACCTATCACAACGTAGTTAGATTAGGGTTTCTGTACCAAGATCACAAAAGCCTACAACAGTCTGAAGCACTGGGTTTTGACTGAGATTGCATTTGTTTTTCATGGGAATGTTATAATAATAATAACCCTTGCATTTGGTACAGTGCCTTTCACGTCGGGAGGACGTCCCAAAGTGCTTCACAAGATTTTCTGTGAAGTGGAGTGACTGTATTTGTGGGCGAACACAGCAGTCCCAATTTATTCTGAACAGAATGGGATTGTACACTGTCCTTTTGTTCTGAGTTACTTTACACCCTGGACACTATGAAGTTGTCAGCCTATCGCAAGTATTTTTCCTGTTTCTAGCACTAAGTGGTAGGAGAAAGCAATAGGCTGGTTGTACCACCCTGATGTGAATCTGCTGGTTTTATGGCTAGCTGTCTTCAAAAATGGAGGAACTTGGTGAAAAACATTATTGTAGTCAATACTTGAACTATTCACATTAGGATTTTGTGAATCAGATCTAAATTTTCAGATGTTAATGTAAACCTGAGTTTTAAGGCCAGATCCTGGTGATCGAGGTTTGGATTTAGCTGTGTCCTGGGAATTATAGTCTCCTAAGTGAACTCTTTGTACCAACTTTGTCTCGAATCTACATTCAGAATTATCTAAAACACTTGTATTCAGTATGTGTATAAGTTTTGATGTGAAGTCTTCTAACTGTTTTGGTCTATGTGAGCATTTTCAGAAAATGCTGGTGGGAGAGACTGACTTCAGTCACATCACGATGTGAGTCAGAGCACAGACTTTTACACGTACAACCTCTTCAAGTTTACAGTGAGATCTGTATTCTTTTCAATCGATTGGGCTTTGGGTTTTGGTGACCTTCTGTGAATGTTGCTCCATTTGCTTGTGGTATGATGTGCTACACGGAGCCTTTGCTTTCATCAAACGGTTTCTCAGAAAAGCTCCAGCAGATAGGTTGTATAGTTTGACCACTGCTTGGTAAGTTAGACGTGAATCTTGGGGTGTCTCAGTTTGTTGACTGAAATCTGTCCTCCGTAGATTCACCCAACTTGTTTGGGAACAGTGGTGCCAAGACTTTTGGCTTTGGAAATTCCTCATTTGGGACAGAGCAGAAGTCCTCAGGCTTGTTCAGCGCTGGCTCCAGTGTCGCCTCCCAGGGATTTGGCTCCTTTGCATCTCCAACAAAACCTGCAGGTAATGTAATTGGATTTTTAGTCCTTTTAGATTGCCACCATTTCTCAGAACGATTATGCTGAATATGTGGCTGAGTCTACTGTTGTACATTCTTCTCTCCCCCCTCTGTGTTATGCACTAACTGGCATTTTTCACAGATGAGGAACTGAAAGTATTTTCTTACTGAGAAACCAACCCGAGTCCCATGAATTTTTACCCATAGCATCATTGCCTCTGAAATGAGTAATAGATTTGAGTCTGAAGACTCCAACTGGTCTTTCTTGTTTTAAGTGAGTTTCCATATTATGCATTGGATAGATTGCTTTCTTATGGCGGGACTTCCTCCCGACGTGAAAGGCACTATACAAATTAATTTTGTGTATTGTATTGTATACTGTAATCTCTTGCAGGGGGAGAGGGGGAGGGAGAGAGAAACTGGCTGAGAATGCATTCATCAGCAACCAATACAGCCATCAACACAGAATGTGCTGACATGCAAATCTTTGTGTCTTAGAATTTGACAGTGTCTAAGGTTTGGCAGTAGGTGATTGCATTTTGATTTTGCTCAGCGGGTAGTAAGTTTGACGTCAAAGTCCCTACCCGTGAGGATTGATTATCATAATAATCCTTACATTTTCATTTTGGATTAAATATGCAATTAACTACTTATGATTTTACTTGGTTATTTACACAATAATTAAGACCATGTGTAATTCTCTTTATACACATATTTTACATGTATATAGAGGGACATGGAACATAATACATGGATTTTTACAGGGAGCGTACTAGAACGCAATTGGTAATGTGGATGCTCAGACTGAGAGCTAAATAGAAATGATCCCTTCCTTCAAACTGGCCTTTACAAGAAATATGACTTGTCAGGATCGCTTTTCTATTAAAATGTGTAAATGACCAAGTGCTACATTAGTTGATCAGAATATGAACACGCACAAAAAAGCTCAAAATGTTTTGCAAATGTGGAATCAATGGTGTGAAACCACTGACACTATTTAAATAGTGCTTCTAAATCTGTCTGAACTAATGATCCCAGAACTGAGCATTAATATCTGCCTCCGATCATAATTGGATTCTCGCTTTCTCTTAATTGTGTGCCATTGCAGTTTGATTTCCCTTTTTCTCCCTCCCACTCAACCTCCTGTGTTTTGCTCAGGTGGTTTTGGTGCTGCCCCGGTGTTTGGCAGCCCTCCGGCATTCGGGGGCGCCCCAAGCTTCGGCGGGTCACTGGCATTTGGTGGAGCACCGGCCTTTACCAGCCCTCTGGGCTCTTCGGCGGGCAAGGTGTTCGGTGAAGGAACAGCTGCTGCCAGTGCAGGGGGCTTTGGGTAAGAGCTGGGTACTTGGAGAGGGAGTGGTGAAGTGGTTTGTGTCTGTGGTGTGTGAGTGAGTGTGAGCGTATGTTTCATATTCAACGTCTTGATTCCATTTTGGAAGTTTCACCAAAGTGACCGGCCCTCAGTACAGCAGATATTGCGTTTCCTTCAGTCTTCTCTCCTGAAAGCATTGACTTGTGCATTGCCACAGGAGCCAGGAGTCGTAAATTATCTAACGCATGAAGTGGCCGTCCTTCCTATGTGAACCTAGGCAGCGTACTTCAGGTTTCACTGCCAAGCTGCGTGACATCATGTCATCCAAGATTAATCGGCACAGTTCTCATTTGCAAAAAGAGTCACCGTTTTGATCTATATTTTATCCAGGACCAAGTATTCACTGGAGTATTACAATGTCACTGATTTGGTGGTTGTGACCCACTTATGTTTAAGGAAAACCGGTTCATTTAACATTGGATCGTGTGAAGGAGTAAAACTAGAGCAAGGTTTGGTCGGTCGTGGACTGTAATGCTCCTCTTTGATTGCCTTACGTCATCCCTGCATTATGACCGTCCTTCCCAATGCTACTTCTACTACCCCCCAAGGCAGCTTCTCCCACACAAAGAATTTTTTGCCGTGGTTGATTTCGAAGATCTCATAACACAGTCTGTGAAGGGCTTTAGACGCCTCGAAGACGTGATAAAGCGCTATCTCAAATGCAAGGATTATTATCATCGTTATTAGTATATCAAATGCATATTTTCCTTCCCAAATGTTGAACAGAAAATTTGTCACAAGTAGTATTTTCACTCGACTTTCAGCCTCCTTGCTTGTGCAGGGGCTGAAGGAGCACTGTGCAGCAACTGTGTGTGTTGTGTGTGTGTGTGTGGAGGGGGGAAGAAATGGATCCATTTATTTCTCTGTCTTTTTTCCTAAAGAATTCCTAACTCATGACCTCTCTATGCTTGATTGCAGCTTTGGCAGCAGTTCCAATGCACCAACATTTGGAAGTCTAGCAAATCAGCCCAATGCAGCTACTTTTGGATCCATTTCCCAGCAAAGACCTGGTTTTGGAGCACAAGGGACCAGCTTCTCTGGCTTTGGATCCACTGGAGGAGGTATGGGCTGGATATATTCAATGGCTTAGTTTGATTGACCCTTATGGACTATGCCTTTTCAAAGAGCCAGCACAGACGCAATGGGCCAAATGGCCTCCTTCTGTGCTGTATAATTCTATGATGCCATGATGTAATATTTGCCACAATATGTGAAACCCAGTCCCAAGGATGCTGGACCATCAAGGGTAGGAATAAATAGGGGTGGAGGGAAAGGGACGTGTGGGTGGGTGGATGACCGAAGGCACGGTCAAAGAGGAAGGTCTTGAGAACAGGCCTTGAAGGAGGCAAGGGAGGGAGTTCCAGGGGGTAGAGGCAGAAAAGCTGAAGGCCTGATCACCGATGGTGGGGCAGGCAAGGTTGGGGGACGTGAAGCAGGCCAGTGCCATTACTGAATTTTTACTAAATCCTAACACGTTCTTCTTTGCAGGGTTTGGAAGTGGTTTTGGATCACCAAATCAGTAAGTAACGAGGCTGAACATTCGTTTCTAACAGATACTGACCAAAACCTGGAATCGTATTAACCTTTACCTGCTGAACAAACAGGAACAACCAAAGCTGTGGCTGGCCTGGCCCTTTAAGGGCTCAAAGACATTCTCCCAGTTTCCATCCATATTTTGCTGTGCGGTGTTTCCGATGTGCTGTGTACCTTTCGTTTCTGTATTCTTTCTGCTGTAACAGGATTGTTGTGTTTTGTTCTCTTGCTACTCATTGTAATAAAGGATTAATCAGAAGAGGATATACTTTATCGCAGTGGGCAGGAGCCAGAGGCTGTGCAGGTGGCTGCTAAAGTCTTTAAAGCTTGACTTGTCTTTTTGATTACATTTACAGAATTCAGCAGGGAATAAGTGCTGCACAACAATAAGATTGGCTGTGTTTCTAAATGCCTCATTGCGTATATTCAATCTCACTGGGTTTCACCCTTTCTGACTGGATGATTTGCGTTGATAGACAAATCAGGCAAATCTTTGGTTCTGAAGCTGTGTTTAACTCATTCCCAGTTCAGCGTGTTCCTCCTTCTCTCCCTCTCCCCGCATCCCCATCTGTGTATTTTTGAGAGCAGAAAAGAATCGCCACACTGGAGGACCATGTTTGGGTGTAGCTAGCACATCAATACTGCTGCTGTCTTCAAAGAATTAAACTACTTATTTGCCCTGTTAACTATATTTTTTAGGCGGATTGTTTTTTGGTCCTAAACGTGAAGTGCTGGGAAATGGAACGCTTTTCCAGTCCCCTTCCCAAAATCACAGTGTCTCGTGCATTGCCATCAGATGCAGAGCAAAGCTCCCTCCCCATTGCCTCAACAATGTCCCTCAATCCTAATTTCATAAGAATGATGACATTACAGCACATGTTAAGACCATTTGAGCCTATACGGGGACTAGCTCTTCCAATGATGGAAGTGCTCTGAACTCCATTCCCTTTACTTACCCCACAAGAACATCTGTTACCGCAGCATTTACCAGTTCCTATATTACCTAGGGCAGAGCTGAACTGAAGGTAGTTTTTGCTCTGAACCAGGAACACCTAGGATCTTGCCCAAACTCATTTCACATCGAACTCGAAATAGACAGCAGAAAAAGCCTTTACCTCATCAGTCCAAGAAGCATTTACACCCAGAACCCAGAGGAGGAAGGCCAGTGTCAAACTTAGACTCTCCCACCCCCCAAAACAACTACGTACATTTATTTTTTTTGAATTGCAACAAAAAATGCCAGAATTTAGAGTTGCGTTGGTGGCCGGGTATTTTCGATGCAGATAAAAACATGTAATTTGCCTGTCCGGTGTTATGCTATAAAGAATTCTATTCCACCAGGACAATGTTGTGAATAGTTAATAGTTTTGATTTGTTTCTGTGAATTTTTAGGTCTGTGTGAGAAGCCTCCCAGTCTGACCATGTTAAATCTCAGAGTCTGTGCTGTGTATTTATAGCCACGGTATTAACTTTAGCCTTGGAGCACGACTTGAAACTCCATAATAAAATGTAACAATAAATATTTGCATTTTTTTTATAAAGATAAAGGTATGTTTTAGTACTGAAAGCCGAGTGACTACACATTTCACCAGTTTCCCACAAGCGAACATTCAGAGATCTGCTTGCAAGTTCTTTGTAGCCTTAAGTGTGTTTTCTCCTTTTGTCTTTTTGACTGTTGAGAGTAATTAAATACCCTGAATACATGGCATCTCCGTGCAGAATGGTTGGCAGGGACTGTGCCGGTTTGAAGGGCTACACCACCATCTTTAATGAGGGCAGAAAGCAGTCCCAGTTTTAATCGCTTAAAGGGTATGTTTAAGGATGATTAAAATACATGCCCACATCTGTTCCAAAAGTCATTCGCTCAGTTGATCCAAGACCAACTCTCAGGAAACTGCTACACATGTCCCTATTGTCAAGTCTTTTAGGAATCTTTGACTCAAGCCAATGTTCATTCAGAAAAAATAAAATAAAATGCCTCATCGAAACTCCTGTTGTCTTGTATTATTGTGTTTGCCCAAGAATCAGGCGAGTCTCTCACACACACACACGCACTTGGCACTCGGGGGGAAATTTCTTATTTTGAGGAATACTAACTAACTGACTAAAAGTTGAAATCCTAATCGTTGACGTAATGAAATGTGTGCCTCGCCTGTGGCAGATACATAGTCAGCTGTGGTTTGGGGATTTCTCCCATTTCTAATTTAGTATTAATGTAATTGAGGCAATATACTTGCAGAGTCACAAATATTGAACGTCTGTGTATAAAAAGCTCTACTTTAATTCACGCCACTTGTGTACCAAATAAAATTGTCTAAATAGGTCCCACATTAAACCCAGTTCTACCGCGGAATTACTCGTCCTCTGATCAACTCGATTTGAAATAAATTTTTCAGGACATCTGTGGAATTTACGGCTTTCTACATTTTACTGTAAACTCATTTTTTTTTTCTTTCTCTTGTTAACTGCTCTATTTGACTCCTGGTTCCAAGTGGGCTCTTATAAATGATTCTCCTCACCTGCCCTCTTCACATACCCCCTGCTTTTTGTACTTGGTAATTCTAGTGGTCCTGTGTTCAAATCGGCACAGTTCAAGGGCACGAGGGATGTTCTGGTTGTGTTCCTTTGTTGTTTAACCTGAGCACTTGAATGTACATTAAACCTTTTCTGTGACCACAGTCCGTTTCAGAAGATGCCTTTACTAGGATGTAAGTGTCCATTGCAGAAGATGCTTTTGGTAGAATTTGCGTAGTCCTGTACCATATTGGTTCGAGCACTCACCTCGCAAGCGAGAGCACCTGGGTTCGATTCCTGGGCAGGGCAAAACTCTACACTCCTTTGTTTACCAAGCAGTAAGTAGGAACCCAGTTGTTAGTCGATTGGCAGATAGCTTTTCCGGGGGTGATAATCCCTTCAAAAAAAAATCATAATTTGGTCATTCAATTCACAACTGTTTGTGGCGACGCTGCTGTGTGCAATTGGCTGCCGCGGTTCTCGCACAAATATAGTCAATTCACTTTACAGTATATTCTGTGAAGCGCCTTGAGACATCTCGAAGACGTGATCAGGCGCTGTATCAAACGCAAGGATTATTGTATTATTTTGTAAGTATTCAGATGCACAACTTAAGTCTGAAAATTTGATGGTTGCCTTGAACAGCATTGAATGTTTGGCTCACTGTCACGTGTTAGTATCCGGTGACCATATGAATTGTGTGCCTTTGAGTACAGACCTAGGGTTCCTTATTCCACACAGTGTTAAACGTGTTATCCGATCACGTTGAGTTAGCAACGACTGTGTAACGCAAGTGTCTTAAGTTCCAAATCTTTTATGTCCATCTCCAGTGATGTAGAATAAGTGGTATCAGACTTTTACATATTAAACACATTTTGGTTGAGTCAATAACTCGAGTGTGTAAGTATAAGATAGCACATAGTAGATCTAACGGATCTTTCAGTGCCTTGGAACTTCCTCCCGACTTGAAAATGATAGAAATATCATTTTGTTGTTGTAATAGGGAATTTAGGAGGAACTTCTTCATGCAGATGGTGGTGAGAATGTGGAGGTCACTGACAGAAGCTGTAGTTGAAGCAAAAAGCAGCAACGATTTTAAATGTGAATCTGATAAATACACCGGGGAGAAGGGAATAGAAGCTTTTATGGAGTGTAAGCACTGGTGCGGACTGGTAAGGCTAAATGGCTTGTTTCCGTGCCAAATCACTGTAACTCTATGTAACATTTTCTCTTTTTTTTTAATTGTTAAGCTTTACTTTGAGTTACCAGATATGGTCCATGTTGGTTTTACAATGCACTATTGCTATGATATTGTGCTAATATTACCAACCCCCAGGCAAGAGGTATCATATTGGCTATGAAGCACATTTCCTTGCATGAACAGTTGAATGAATACAACACCAAGACAAGACAGACTGGAAAGGATTGCCTTTAACTAGACTTGTGTGTAATATGATTTATTAAACCTGACCGACTTTGTAAAGAGCAACATTGGAACTTGTGTATTACGTTAGACTGCAGTAGTCATGTTCTTTTATTGTCTGTAACAGTTTAATCTGATCATTGCGAAACCTAATCGGGAATTGAAACTTTCCGCAAAGTAAAACTGAGAGTGATTTAAAGGAACTTGTTTTCTGATCAAGTTAAAAGAAAGATCATCATTGAAAGGAACTACCCTTTTTAAAATAAAATTAAAATACTAAATAGTTTAAAAAGGTATCGGAGTATGCTAGAAATAAGATGAAATAGATCTATGTTCAATTGAAATTTGATTAAATAATTAACTCACTTTGAATCATTTCATTTTCTTAAACAAAATCCCATCATATCTGGAATCAGTATTACCTTCATTGGGATTGATGTTTGCGTGACCACAATTCCTGAGATTTCTCAGTCTGAATTAAATTGAGGTATTGATTATATTTGAGTCTGTATTGTAAACGTGTCTGATTGGGCTGTCCCTGCCAGGCATTTAAGTCAGTCTTAGCAAAGGAGAAGGTTTGAGGAAAGTAAAGGAGAGAACAGCTGGAAATATCTTGTGAAAGGTGCACAATGGGGCATTGCCTTGAAACAAATCACGCGGTGACTTATCCATTTGCCTGAGATTAAAAGGAGGCTTGTGCTTGCTCACCGTGCAACTCCGGGATGATTTGCAATGTGTGACGTCAAACTATGAACAGGTATAATATTCAGGCTGAATTCAAGAAGAAATCTACTGCAGCTAAGATGAATTCTCAGTCCTGCAATTCCACGCCGCCTTAGCCTGCAAAACCACGTTTTTGTCTTGAAATTTAGGTTTTTGGGTAAAATTCTTCGATTTGGGTCTTCCAGTTTCGGAAGCTGATTCGCTGCCGTCGTTAAACGAGGCCAGGCTCCCAAATTAAAACTGAATTGCAAATTTTTTCCACACACCTGGGGTGCCCTTACATCTTAACCACAAAATGGTCTCACAGGCTGGGATTCGGTGGGATTTTAGGCCTCCTGATTTCAAAACTCTCGGCAATTGTGTTCCCTCACTGAGCAGTTACTTAATGCCTTTTATGTTGCTACAGTAAATATATTTCTTAAACCCATTGCTGAATATTGATTGCTGCAGTGCTTCAGTTAGTGAACCATTCGTTTCACCAATAAATAATAATCCTTGCATTTGATTTAGTGGCTTATCACGTCGTGGGGACGTCTCAAAGCGCTTCACAGAATATACGGTAGTGTAAGCGTAGTGACTGCATCTTGTGGGCGAAACGCAGCCACCAATCGCGCACAGCAGCGTCCCACAAACAGTCGTGGATTGAGTATGGTTGGGGTTGCTTTTCTGTTCGCGTAAATGAGCGTAACATTTGAGTTCACCATTATAAACATTACAAATGTCGTTTTCTTTGTTTCAGGTCCAATCAATCATTCAGCGGATGGAGGGGGTGAATTCTGGTGGAAAATATATATATTTTTTAAAAAAACAAACTGATATTTTCGAGCGATTCCCAGCTGCGTGTTGTGTTGATGTGAGTAAGAAACACAAATGACCGTTTGGGGCTTGCTGCGCAGATTAAGTTAATGTAGCATTGGTTGCTTTGGAAATCATGTGAAACACATTATTGGTTTGTCGATGCTGCATTCTGTTAAATAAAGCTCTATTTTAATGTTGTCTGTTTTTCTTCGCTTTGATAATGAAACCCCGTTTTGCCAGCGAACGGCAGCTTGCTTCAAGTCTCCCAACCGATCCACCCCACCTTTGGTGGGTGAGCTTTCAGCCGTTATTATTATTATTATTATTGTTATTATTATTATGCCCCCACTTTCTAGAACACCTTCCCTGCACCTTGCCCCACTTTTAAGGACCGGGTCAGATCGAAGCAAGGAGAGGGAGAGGAGGTGGTGGTCGTAAGCACGTTTGAAGAGGTAGGTTTTGAGGCTGGACTTAAAGACGGAGAGGGTTAGAGGGAATGTAGTTGCAGAGGTCAGGGGCATAGCAATCGAGAGATCTGGGTTCAATTCCCAGCGGGGCGAAACCTTGGAGAAGTATCCTTACTCCACACGCCTGACAATAATCCCTTAAGGAAATAACTAAAAAATAACAATTTAGTCACTCAATTCACGACTGTTTGTGGGACACTGCTGTGCGCAATTGGTTTCGCCCACAAATATACAGTCAATTCACTTTACAGTATATTCTGTGAAGCGCTTTGAGACGTCTACAAGACGTGAAAAGCGCTATATCAAATGCAAGGATTATTATTATTATTTCATTGGGGTTTCATTCAGAAACCAGATTCGCTGCAATTACATTGCAACATTTTGCTCAATGCCTTTGTGTTTTGGGCAATGGGCTGAATGGCCTCCTCGAGTGCTGTACATCTCTGTGCTCCTACGGAACGCCTGCGTTTCCAGGTCGCAATTAGCCCTTTGGCGCTTCGTGCAAATCGATTCTTGTAGATCGGAAATTGCAATGAGCACAGTCCATCTGCTTTGTCGACAACACAGATCAGGTGCCATTCGGTGAGGTTTGCAAGTGGAAGCGTCCAGTGCTATATTTGCTGCTCAAGTGTTGTCATTTATCGAAAGTATATTTATAGGTTTTGTTTTGTCGAATGGTGTGAAAAGTGCCTCACAGAAGTTTGCACTGTACCAGAGCGTGAGCTTTCAGCAGCAGGCAATACAGCTGGAAACTCGCCATCAAACTGAACTCCTTTGAAGCTGTATTTTATTTGCAGATTGACTGAAGAATAGTAACTGCTGCTCAGGTGGCATGAGGCTGCAGATGATTGGAATCCACCTTGCTTTACTTGCAGTGGTGACTGCGTGGAAACCACTGATCACACGAGTACGTGCGCTCGTCAGCTATTGCAGGAGGTCGAGTGCTATCACGATATACACATGCAGAATGGTCGCAAATGAGGGGCTGGATGGAAATTGTGGAATGTAATAGCCAGTGTGGTTGAAAACCACAGCATGAGTCAATGCCTTTGGGAGAGGGAGGATAAAGATCTGGGGATGGAAATTTAAATCAAATTCTGTTAACTTTATTGAACTTGTTTTTGTTATTCCACCCTCCCTTGTTCATTGGGTGAAGCACAGGGTAAGCCAGGACTGTCTGTCTTCTGACGAATGCGTCCACAGGAAATATCGCCACAGAAGCCCAAGAGAGAAAGGGATGGCCACAGGGCAAGAATGAACGGAGGCGAAAATGGGCTAAAATACAAAGTTTTAAACTGCGTTTGTCACTTTGATCTATTTGACTTTTTTTTTCTTGTGGTCAGCCAAATAAATGGCAGACACATGCACAAAAAACTATCACCACGCGTAAGAGTATCCAAGCCACACTGAGAGTTCCACATGAAGAGTTCGACACCTACACGTGGAAATCCCTGTGTCCGGATTGGAATAAACCGTTCGCTCAATATCACGACTGTTTGGCTGCCGCATTTTGCCCACAAAATATACAGTCAATTCACTTTACGGTATATTCTCTGAAGCACTTTAAGACGACTCGAAGATGTGATAAGGCGCTACATCACATGCAAGGATAATTATTTATTGGAATGCGCACTCTCTCCCTTGGAGGGATGTATCCTCCTTGCTTAATTCTGGAGAGTATGAGTGCAGATAGGCAAAAGCCTCGGGGAGCCCAGAGTGTGTGTTGGGGTCTAACTGCAGGAGTTTAACCAGCTAAAATCGCGTAGTTTAATCAATTTAAGCTCCTTTTAAAATTGCAAACCATGGCACTCTGAACTTCACCCATCACTTTTATCTGTTGGACCTAAATTTGGCCGTCATCCAAATGCGTTATAATCAGAAACTATATTTATCAGTCAAATAAGCCACAGAAAGTTTGTTGCATCATTTTTACTGCAGCTGAGAGCTGCGAGAAAGTCTGATGCAGCAAAGCTGGGGAGGATTCCATCTGCATCTTGTCCCAGCTCAGCTTTTCTGGTAATCTGATTCATATGAATTCTCAAATTAATTGTTGATTGATTCCTGCGCCTAACACAGGCTTTTACTAAATAGATTGGCTTCCCCTCCCCCAAACCCCCTTTTTTTTATGATGGCTGTCTATATTCAGCGCAAGTGCTGAAGATTTATTGAACCACTTACGCAAACAACAGCAGACACCAATCCTTTTCATATACCAACAAAAGGGGGTGGGGTGGGGGAGAAAGTTTTTGTTATTAATCCTTGCCACAGCCCCCAGAGCTGCGTTCAGCATTAATTCCCCAAAGCTGTGAAGCTGTGTTACTTCCCTATTTGAGGATGACCGAGAAGACTGAGATGGTGAAAGGAGGAAGCGGTCATTACTGGGACATAAGTCCAGTCATCTGATTGACAACCTTGGTTGAGTCAATATAATTGGTGTAAATAATACACAGGTGGGCTGGGCGGGGGACATGGAGCAGGCTGGAGCTCACCTGAGTGGTGGGAGTGGACGGGTCTATGTGGAGTTAGCAGGTCACAGAGGTATGGAGGAGCAGCTTTAAACCTGCCTCGGTACAGATAGAAGAAGGAAGTACAGTATAGAGCACAGCAGGTGAGCAAGCAACCCATACTCTGTAGCATCTTCGCTGGTAGTAGGAGTGTGGAGAATCTTAGAAACATGCACTGCTTACAGTACAGAAGGGGGAACTCATTGAATGCGAGCTCACATACAATCTACACTAATCCCATTTCCCTGCTATTCCTCCCTCCCCCACCCCACACACACACACCATCCCCATTACTATTAATGATGGTATCTGAACAGAGAGCTTTTATCTGAATCACTATTTTAGAGATTAGACCGAAACATAATTTTTATAATGGAGCTTTTGACTCCAACATGAAATGGATTGACTGGTGGCGTGGTGAAGGGGTGGCAGAGCACTAATTATTCTTAAAAACACTCACGGCCAAGTTGCTCTGTTGTATCCTGTGATTCTAATTTCCCGAGGGTACACTATACGGGTATATATTTGGCGGAAGGGGGATTTTACTAGCAAAACGTTTATTTTGTTTGAATTGCCTCTTGCTGGTATTTTTCTGATTCACTGTACATGATCGTAGTATGGCTCAGATATGATTTATCACAGTATTGGCTGCCCTCCAGTTTGAGGAATTATTCCCTGTTCCTTAGCTGCACAAATAAATCAGCAGCAGGTATCATTGCTGAGCTCCAGAGAGAAACGGTGCTGGAACAACCGGGGGAAGGAAGGAGAAGAACATAGAAACATTCGTCCTTCCCTTTACGGTGTGGAGAGTCGTCTTCATAGTCTGGCACAAAGAGAGCAGTTTCCATTTGTTATGTGCGATTTAACTGGTGCTGAAATAAATTGGGCATAAAAAATAAGCCAGTCCAATCCAGGCAGTGCTCTTAAATTATTCAATCAGCCTTGATGTCATTGTGTAATTCTCCGCATTATCTAAATGATCAGAGTCCTCAAGTCCTCTTGAATGTTCTCTGCAGCCCGCGGTAGGTTTAAGCGCTCCAGGACGCTACCCTGTGTGCAGGGCGCTACACAACTGCAAGATGTTGTTGTTGTTTCCTCTGCAAGACAACACACAATATTGTGAGCCACGCAACAGATGGGTGTTCTTTAGAGAGACCGACCTCGGTGTATCACTGAATCTAGAGGCGATGGACGAGGTTGGCGTCAATTGTAGACTTGTATTCCTTTCGGTCAGTCAGGTGTCTGACACACGCAGAAATCCATCACCATGTTTAAGAGTATCCAACCCCAAGGCTTGGGGACCCAGAGTGTGCGTTAGGGTACTGTTGGAGTCTAACCAGCTACAACCAAATAGCTTGCCTTTGAAAGCGCTGTCTGGCAAGCTTTCCCGAGGCTTGTCCAGCTAAGATCACCCTACCGATTAGGGCTTTGGCTTGCACGGTTAATAGTAGGAAGAATCCCAGCCCCCAGTAAGTAGTCTGCCTCTCTGAGTCCGATGGGCTGGCTGTGCTGTCATCAGCACTGTCCTCAAGTATATATTTATAGACTTACACAAACACTGACTGGCAAATTGCTTTGTCCTCTTACTGAACAAGGCTATTCTTCTATCCACTGAACCCATCTATTTCTTTCAGGTATGAAATAGCAATTCATTCCACTACAGTGTGTTCCGCATTGATAAATGTACTGTGCTGGGAACACCAAGAAAATCTTGGTATGCGAGGCTGAAAGATTTCCAAGGTAAAAAAGAAATCCATTTTGTATTGAGCCCAACGCACATTGTATCTCTTAGAATATACAAGAATAATCCTTCACTTCACACCCACACACACAAATAAAATACTGTTTCACAAAATGTCTTGTAGGAAGATTGTTCATCTAAGAGTAAAAATCTAAGAGTAAAAAACAGGGATTTGTTGACTAAATGTAACTGAAATAATATAGCATTGTGTTGATTATTTTTTCTTTTATTAAGGCTTTTTATTATGAAAATAATCAAATAAAAATCAATCAAGATTAGTTTCAAATAAACATATTTAATACTTTGCTTAATTTATTTAATACAATAAACCCACAATATTACATTTATTTAATAGTAATGAACCTGGAAATGATTGCAGTTTTGCACTGTTGGTGCATTACCGGTAAACTGCAGACCTCAAGTTTATGAATATTTTACTTTTATTAATATTAAACTGGCATCCTTGAATTTCCTGAATAGCTGCATAACATTGGGTAGGTTTTTTTTTCAGCCAAGACACCCATCACCATGCTTAAGACTATCCAAACCAAACTTAGTTCCAAGTATCCCACCTGAAATTCCAGAGATGTATATTGGAATGGAATGCTCACTCTATCGCTGGACGCACGCATCCTGCTTACCTAATTCTGGAAAGTATTAGGTGCGGTTTGGCAAGAGCCAAGGCTTGGGAATCCCGTTGGGGTAACTGCTAACCAGCTAACACTCATAGGTTGCCATTGGAAGCGCTGCCTGGCAAGCTTTCCCGCTGCCCGTTCAGCTAGGACTATCCTACCGGTTAGGGCTTTGGCCTGCAAGGGTTAACAGGAGTGGAGCGGGAAGAGTCCCTGCTTCCAGGTTCTGTCTTTCCTTCCAGGTCCTGCCTGTGAAGCAGCCCATCAGCAGTGCCCTGGAGTACTGCAGACCCGCCTGGTTCAGGAGACTGGATTACTGAGATCTCCTCAAGAGGGCCGGCTCGAATTCCGACATTCTGTGGCCAAACATGTCACCTGGTAGCCAGTTCAGCTTCAAGGAGACCTCGCTTACATTCCACCCCTCACCAAGGAAGATGGGCACATTGGGTGACATTTCAATCCAGTGAGCGAACGTGTTAGCACCAGATTCCCAGAGCTGTCCATCATTAGGATTCATGCGCGTTGTGCACCGTACATGGTCTTGAGAGAATTTCTTTACATTTCGTTCCTGTGGCAGACGCATACTTGAATGACTACCGTACCCGTTAAAAATCCCAAACTGGCCTCTTCATTGCCAATGAAGCGATGGACTTCCGCTGTGCGCAACTAAAGGCAGAGGTAACATAGCTGCTGTTGAGTAAATGCACCTTGTTAATTGATTCAGCCTGAGAGAAGTGAGCTGCGTTCCATCCGCACGTGGAATTGTGTGTGTGCTTGTTGACGTGACATTGCTGGTGGCTTGAATTGTTCTTGTTTTAAACCCAGTGACCTCATTGAGGTCTCCCTGGACAAGATTAGTAACATTGAAAGCACCCCCAGGGCTTCCCCTATAGCGCCTTACAACAATCTGGCATAACTTAACCTTCAACTGAGAACAGCACCCTCACCACATCCCTTGTCCGTAGCATTTCCAGCTCTGTGCTGTGAACTTGTGCCTGACCGCAATGATCTGAACTCGTATAAAGGACAGCGTTTTGACCTCAACGATCTGGAACGGGCAATGGAAATGTGTGATGGAGTATTGTTAAAAGTTTTTGTTTTTCTCTCTCAATTTTTTCGCTTCGTCTCCTGTACGTTCTGATTACGATTCCACAGAGGCTGATGGATGTCCTCAGTACCATTGCTACCCTTGTTGTGATAAGCACAGTCAGTGTTTGGTAGGATAATTGGTGGTGGAGGGAAGCGCTCTGTATAGTTCTATCCTCACCCGCACACCATACACGTATTATATATGTACAGATATTCCAGCCAGGCTCGCAAATAGTTCTGTTTCCCTACCTAGCCTAGGGAGACATCTGTTGTAAGCGCTCTGGGATGCTACCCTGCATGAGGGGCACTTTATAAATGCAAATTGTTGTTGTTGTTATACCCCCACTCCCCCCACGGGTAACTTAGCACATACTGGAGTCCAGGCATCTTTCTCACTTAGTGTGTTTCAGGTTCAATTTACACATTAAGCACATTAAGTGTGTGTGTGTGTGTGTGTGTCAGTGTCAGGGAGGGAGGGAGAAGACCCATTTTTTACAAATGCCATTTCGCTCCCGGTTTTGTACCAATTTAGCGATCTCTTCCCACTTGGTTCAATTCCGTCAGCCTCTCCCGCTTTGCCTACGCTTCTTTGATTCTGATACCGTTGCACCCAAAGATGAGCGGGGAGCGTGAGGAGCTTTCTTCCTCAGCTGTTTGGCATTCCATGAACATGAAGCCATTGCCTCGATCGCTCTTATAGAGAGGCTGGAGAAGCTAAAATTAAATGCGGTTTCAACAAAACTCCTCGCACACATTCCAAAGCCGGTTGGTTAATTATAGATGGCAGGTGACTCTCTGCCTGCAGCCTGCTGTCAGGAGCAAACCCATTCCATGGGCGCAGTTGGACGCAGAACCTTAGTGTGGGGTACAAGTGGCTCGGGGGAAGGGGAGGGCGCTGACATGTGTTCGGCAATTGAGCCCTTGACATGACATTGACTTGCCAAGACAGGAAGATAAAAACAGGTTGTAAAGCTAGACTCAATTAGCACAAGTTAAGATCCCACAGTTGATAAGATGGATTCCGAGCGAAATAACATTTAATACAGTATATAATAATGTAAGAATAAGAATAATAATGATCCTTGCATTTGATGTAGCACCTCATCACGTCTTTGAAACGTCTCAAAGCGCTTCACAGAATATACTGTAAAGTGAATTGATTGTATATTTTGTGGGTGAAACACAGCAGCGTCCCACAAACACTCGTGGATTGAGTGACCAAATTATTATTATCATTATCTCTTTGGAAGGATTATCCCCCCTCCACCCCCCCCCCCCCCCCCGGAAAGCGATCCACCAATCCACTGACAATCGGGTTCCTACTTACTAGGAAAAAATAGCGGCGTGTGGAGTAAGGAAACTTGCCTAAGGTTTTGCCCTGCTGGGAATCAAACTTGGGTCCTCTCACTTGCGAGGCGAGTGTCCTAACCAGTATGCTACAGGACTCCACTAGATAACATTCTCAGAGAAAGAAGGGCTGAACGAACTGGGCAGATCTTTCCCTCGCCCACAGTTCTATCAGTAAAACTTTCCAATGGCCGTCAGACTGCATCTTCCTCTGTGTATATTGTTCCTGTTTTGATTTCCATGTTGCTGCTAAGGGTGAAATGCTGCACAATGGTTGACGTATGGTTTGCAGAGATTACAGTTAGACCAAAATATATATTATAAGAACTGACCAGTGCACAGCAAGGCAGTCAGTCCATTTGTTCTTCCAAGTCTTTGCTGTTGATGTCTTTCCAATTGATGGAACGCAACAACATTAATCATAATAATCCTTTCGTTTGATATAGCACCTATCACGTCAAGAATGCCTCGAAGCATTTCACAAAGTTTCTGTCAAGTGACATCGTATTTTGTTGGTGAATGCGACAGACGATTTGCATCCAGAAAAGTTCCACAAACAGCCATGAAATAAAGGAGCAGTTTTATCGGTGGGATTGTTGGGTTGGACCCCGGGAGAAATTCCCTTTTCTTTTCAAATAGTGTCATGGGGTCTTTAAAAGCCAATAGACCAGGTAAAAGGGACCTCAGTTTCAGTCTAGACTGGGAGTTCAAAGTCTCCACGTGGGACTTGAACCTAAGACCTTCTGACTCAGAGGCAAGAGTCCTCCCAACTGGCACCCATCCAGCAGGCGGAGGGGGAAGAGAGAGATCAGAAATCTAACTTTGATCCACTTTGTCTTGGAAGTAAGAAAAGAGGGGATTTGTTGGCAAGATTATTTGGAGGGTTTGTAAATTGAGAACAGCTTTTTTTTATTGAAAAGGAGAATTTAAAAATGTAATTCTGGTTTAGCTGAAATCTTCTAAAAGGGAGAGGTAGTGCAAGGTGATCTCTTACTTACCTATTTATTGTTTGAGCAGTAGGATGCAATGAACAATAAATAACAAGATTGCTGCAAGACTTTTGCTTTTGCCCTTTTCATAGAATTTTTTTTTTACATTTATTTTGCAGCTTTCACAGTTTCAGATTCAAACAAAATCTGTTCCAATTTCAAGTATCGTCGATGGTTTCTAATGCTGCATTTTATTTACAGTATAACAAAAAAATACTTTTGCACTTAAAACCATATAAATACTCTTCAAGCTTGAAATCATTTAAATAAAAAACTTCATAGCCACGTAAATTAAATAAATAACGGTGTTTTGAGGCTTGAGTACCCCTAACACTGCTCTGAAAAGATGCTGCTTAGAAGGTGGGTAACATGGAGTCTTGCATTCATCGTTCAATTTCACTTAACCTCCATCTGAAGCAAAGGAACTTAGGCAATGCATAAAACGTAGAAGAGTAGCCAGGAAGATGCAATGAGAAAATGAGCGATGTGGTAGATTGACTGGAAAATTCAATGGCTCCTGCCCTGCATCTTTCCTGGCACATCATTTGTTACTGGAGATATTTTTGCATCATTTGCCTGAGCAGGGGGCTGGGTGGGGGAGTTAAATGCTGAAAAAAAACCTGAACAGTAGGTTTCTTTCTTGGCCTGGAAGGGGCAAGAGAGAGAAAATGTGCATTCCTCTGGAACCCCTGGTAGCAACCCTTGATTATTTCTTTAGCTTTCCAGCCTCCATCGCGGAGAATTTAAGCTTCTAAAAGAATCTCAATAGACCTTGAAGAGCTTTAAACCTCGCTGATCCATGTTACTTACCAGTGAGGAACTCAGTGGACATCATGGACATTAAAGTTACACAGCTATTAATGACTAAGAAAGTAGGGGTAAACATCCATAACGGCTTATATTTGGGCTTCAAACAATTAAGTGATCCTCATGAAATCCGAACCTGGGATCTTCATCAGAGGAGAGACTCGACTCAATTATTTGAACCTCTATTTACGACGGACTTTATATTTTTTTATCTTTGCAAATCGTACTTGCGATGAGTCACAGTTGCAAGTTGTATTCCCATTTACATTTAAATGGTTTAGGAACCCCTACATTAAAACATAACGTAAGGAACCCCTGCTTCTGAGTACTGAGCCTGCGATCCTTATACCATAGCTGTTCGGCAGATTTGGGTGTGAATTCAATGGCTTCCACAGAAATCAGTGGGGCTACTTTACTATTGCAGTTTGTAATGAGACGGCATTCAGTTTTGTATTCATTGTGAAGTACATTTGAACCTCATAAGGCAATGAGATGCTTTCAACTAACTTAAGGCAGCATGGCTCGGAGATTCCTTTACAAAAACAAAACTGCAAATTGTTCTTGTGCAAGTGCATTCCAGTTTTAACCAACATTTAATAATGTTTCTTCAGGGTTGTGCAATGCTTCGAAAGATGACTGGAAGTCAACCCAAATGCCTAGGTCATGAAATGATCCCATGAACACACAGTGCAACGGCCTTTGCTCGGCAAACAATCGGGTTCGAGCACAGTGATTCTCCCATTCCTTTCTAAGGTAGAGCGGTTGTATTTCTTGCATGATTTAGTGCATTCATATTTATTTGGGCACCTTGTCTGCATTTAAGTCTTGCCAGAATCCAGCAAATTGCAAGTGATCCACAGTCATCAATGTTTTGATGGTATGACCACGACAGGGTCCCCATTCTTTGGCCGCCACATCAATACCTGAGCATCGTTTGCGTTGGGTTTCATCAGGGCATTAGATGGGATGAGTTCGTTCTTGTTCAGGATCTGAGGCCGCTCTTGTTCGAGCGGCTCCATCAGCTTGGCACGCTGTCCCAGAGGCTTCTTAGGATCGACCGCGATGTGAAGCTTCATCCTCCACTTGACCGTTTGCAAGACGATGACCTCGCTGGTGACTTCGTTGGACGCCACCAGCCAGGTGGTGAAGCTTTGGTCTCTCCTAATACTGCTCAGCTGGGCTACGTTGGACTTGCTGACGGGGATGGCCCAGGTAACGCTCGGGTAGAAGTTATCGTTCATGCTGACGATGAATCGGACTTCCCTTTTGGTGGGACCCACAATGGTGTGCGTTTCTGTGGTATTGCCGTACCAGGGATAGTTCACTCCATCCGAGTCGCTTATTGCCTGAATCTTTTCATCTCTGAGATCTGGCAGCTCCCAGCTGGACCTTGTTTTTAACGTAAAGAAAAAAATTTCAGGTTACAAAAAAATCTACAGCCTCAGCATCTTCACTGCTGCCGATGAAACATTCTTTTAAGTGCACCTCTGACGGCTTTAAGTTTAATGCATGATAGAGCTACCCTGGCTAGCGTTCCGAGAGGCTACCCAGCGTGAAGGGCGTTATATAAATGCAAGTTGTTGTTGTTGGTAATACTTCCAGACAAATGCAGCAGCCAATTTGCACGCAGCAATGTCCCACAAACAGCCATGAAGTGAATGACCAATTTTATAAGGACGGTTGTTGGCCAGGACACTGGGGCAAATTGCCTTCCGTTGCCTGCTCTTTCCCCCTCCACCGCCCCGCCCACCACTCCCCCTCCCACCATTTCCTTTATTATTACATTTCTTCAAGGATTTATGCAGTTGCCTTTTAAAAGCTGTTACAAACGTGGCCTCAGTGGCTATTCGTGGTAAAATCTAAATAGCAACGACCTTCTATTTTTAAAACGAAAGTAGTCAGTCTCCGCCACAGGACATCGAGACTGCACTCATAATAATCCTAGCATTTGATCTACAACAACAACTTGCATTTATATCGCGCCCTGCATGTGGAGTGTAGCGACCCAAAATGCTTATCACACCTCCGAGACGTCTCAAAGCGCTTCACAGCATATACTGTAAAGTGAATTAACTGTGTATTCTGTGGGCGAAATGTGGCAGCCAATTGCTCGCAGATGTATTCCACAAACAGTCGTGGATTGAGTTGCTTTTAAAAATAGTCTGTAGAAGGATAAAGACATTTCAGTCCATTTTTTCTTCGATGCGTGACTGAGGATATTACTTTCCAAATGGCCATTTCTCACATGTGAACCTTGATGGTGTTGACGACAGGCATTTGAACCATATAGGAAGGGGTGGTGGGTAAATTGAAGGAAAAGCAACAAGCAAATTGAGAATAAGACATTGATACTAGGAATATCTGAACAAAAATAGCTTTGTGTCTGCAAGGTCTTTAAACACACTGACATAATACTGCAGTAGGCGAAGCGTTAAATCCCTGCAGTATTACAGTATTCAGTTTATTGTGTTATCTACAGGCTCAGCCATTAGTTACGCTCAATTCAAATGTAAGCAGCATAACTCAGTGGATAAAACTGAGCATTGAAGAGAGATTAAGCATCATTTATATTTTGTAACCAAATCCACCTTGATCCTCTCATTGGTCACAGTGATTTGCTCTCTGAGGGTTTGCCTTGGATTGTAGTCCATGCATCGTTTATAATAATAATAGTAATCCTTGCATTTGATATAGCGCCTTATCACGTCTTCGAGACGCCTCAAAGCGCTTCACAGAATTTACTGTCAAGTGGATTGACCCTGTAGTTTGTGGGTGAATTTCAGGCCTGCAACGGCAAATTCTGCTGACTGCCATCCACCGAGGCCAAAGGGAAAAGTGATTCTGTGTCCCAGTGGTGCTGCGTCTCTCTCATATTTTCAATGAAATCTCAACGTACGATATATCTGTTAACTGAAGAGGCCGCGATTAATATTGATGTTTCGATGCTCTCCTGGTCATCTGCAATCACTGCAGTCACCGACCTCAGATGTATTTTAGCAAAGTTGAATGTGCTATTTATAAACTAATGCGGTATGATAATCTATCACCTAATCGAGGTCGCTGTGGAAAGCCTGCAACAGAACCTGGCATTACTGCAGAACCCAGGCTGGTCAAGTTAGAGGAAGAAATCCTGCTGCAATGCAGTGCACACATTCTAAACCCGATGCTTATCTGCACCTTGTTATTGCTGTGTCTCTGGCCTCCTAATTTCTAGACTTCTCTCCATAATCACGAGTCCGCAGCTCTGTTTCTGGTGAAATTCCTCCGCTCGAAACCCCACCCCCAAAAAAACCTCTTTTATGGATGGGGCCGAATGTAGACTTCACTCAAGGCTTGAAAACAGAGCGTGAGACAGGTGGGGGTGGTGGAGAGTGGGTGGTAATGAAATGATTACTTCTGATGTAGCGCCTTATCACATCGTTGAGACGTCTCAAAGCGCTTCGCAGAAGATACCGTAAAGCGAATTGACTGTATATTTTATGGGCAAAATGCGGCAGCCAATTGCGCACAGTAGCGTCCCGCAAACTCTCCCGGATTGAGCGACAGAAATTCTTCTTTATTAATCATAATGAAGTGCAATGCAACGAGGGCTTTTCACCCAAGGTTGAAAGCCTCAGAGCACTTTCCAGACATGAAAAGGAGAATGTAAGTGCATTGCCCGAATGGGAACAAGTGTCACCTTTTATCTCTCTTAAGTTTTTTTTTTACAGAGTTGTGGTTTTTTTCTTCTTTCGTTACCTCTTCTTAAAATCTTGTTTTTTAATCTCGTTTGCTTTATGCTTCCTTCCTGCCTGATCTTTGACAACCTTCCTCTTTTGACAGCAATTGCTGTACTCTTGCTTCCTCTTCCTTTCAGTCAGACACGCTCTTGGACAAACCTGCCTTAATTAATATCCAGCGTCTTACAAAACCACACATTTACAACCAAATGATCATTTCTAAACCAGGGTGAATAGTGAGCTCTGTAGCATTTAATTACCAGGATTTACAAGAATAAGAATAATAATCCTTGCATCTGATTCAGCTCCTTATCACGTCGTTCAGACGTCTCAAAGAGCTTCACAGAATATACTGTAAAGTAAATTGACTGTATATTGAGGGCGAAACGCAGCAGCCATTTGCGCACAGAATGTTCCCACAAACAGTCGTGGATCGAGTGACCAGTTATAAGTCTCTGATCTCGACAGGATCAGCAAAGGAAAGGCATTGAAAGGGTGTCCCAGCAACAACAACTTGCACTTACATAGTGCTCTTCTCACAGGGTAGCGCCTCAGAGCGCTTAACAGTGGTGGAGTCTGACTCTGAGCCGGGGGAAGGGGGTTTTGATGGCCATAAGAGGAAAGGTTTTGATGGTCGAAGAGGAAAGTCTTCAGGAGGGACTTGAAAAAGGGGAAAGAGAGGGTAAGGCGCAGGGATTGAGGGAGAGTATACCAGAGTGTTGGGGCGTAGTGGCTGAAAGCCCGACCTCCGATGGCGGGGCGGAGGGTGCAAGGGACGGGCAGGAGGCCGGTGCCAGTCGAACGGAGGCGCCAGGTGGTGGATTGGGGAGTGAGGAGATCGGAGAGATAGGGAGGTGCCAGAGAGTGAAGGGATTTGAAGACAAGCATGAGGATCCCAGGGAGCATGTGGGAAGCTCAGGAGCACATTTTTAATCAATGGGTAAATAGACTCAGAGAGAGCGGCTCGGAGATGATCTCAGTGCTTTCTGGATTGGACTTTGCTCCATCAGATTAAGAACTCAGGTGGAGAACTAACCGGGGATATTCCCACCCGCGGAAATCACAGTCATTCTGTCCATGGTGTTTCCCCTTGACAAAGCAGCTGATGTGGACAGCTGAGTGGTCAGGTCACTCGATCCCCAGAGCTACGTGAAGTGAAGCTGCTTCTCCTAATCGCTATGTCATGGAATTGCTTCTTTAAAGGGGATGAACTGAGCAGCTGCTTTCTCAGGTTTTGTTTTGCACCAAAGCTGAGAGTATTGCTGTATGAGATTTACTTTGTTTAATCCTCTATGTATTGGCAGCGCTGTTAGTGGCCCGTGTTGGCAATAGTCCCCAGCCGGGCATCCCTATGAATCCTCCCTTCGTTTAAAAGAGGGCCCCAAAAAATTGGATGGTGTTTGAGGGAAGGAGTTGGATAGCATTTGGTCACAGACGACATGGTACCCAAGTGATGTGATCACATATTTGATCTGATTTGTATCAGTTCCTTGGTGTATTATCAAGCACTTTGCCACGAAGGATACCGCCTTTACAATTAATTCACGGGGAGATATTCTTACTTCGTAATGTCTGGTCTTGTACCTGCGGGGACTACACAAAGCTGTACGGTGTGCTTTCAACATACAATCTAAACGTTTCAGCTTTGTTAGGTAATATTTCAAAAGTCTGAGCTTTGCAACTTGGCCACAAAAGGTCTCTTCGTTTTTTTTTCCCCTTCTTGCTTTCTCACTTCCTCACTTCCTCTCCTTAGCACACTGGCCTGCGCTGGGTACAGACAGATGCCAGTTGGCAGATGTGGATCATTTACGAACCACGACACCTCACCCCAAGTGGCTATTCACGTGTGTGAGCGTGGACAGCAAGACTGTTCAACAATTGGCACGTCACACCCCAGCCTTTCCTCAGCCAGGGCTTACACACACTTTCGAGCAGGAATCGGTGGACGTGAGTCAGAACTGGCTAAGCTTTCGCCTCCCCTGGTTAAGAGGCTCTCAATTCATTCCGATTCCACTCCAGTTACATTGAGATAATAGCACAACAATCACATAATTATTATTATCATCAATTGAACATCAAAACATGGCACTTTCCGAGTCTATGAGTTTCTCACTGGGGCAGTGACTTTAGCCAATGAGCAACTGGTGGAAACGGTGACCTGATATTTTAAGGTACTTACACTCGAGGACATGGTGACACAAGCCCTTCACCATTCTGACCATTTTTAGGCCATAAAGTTGCCGCGAGTTTTAACCGTGGTTCTTACAGAAGCTGCAAAGATTGGGTGTTTTCAGGTTTCGCTGAATGGCAGATATTCGATTGAATTACAGCCTGAAACTTCTCTCTGCCTGCATTTAATCTAGATGCCCCAAATGGAGTCCTGTAGCTCAGTGATTAGAGCGCTCGCCTCGCAAGCGAGAGGACATGGATTCGATTCCCGGCAGGGCGAAACGTTGGGCAAGTTTCCTTACTCCACACGCCTCTGTTTACCTAACAGTGAGTAGGAACCCGGTCGTTAGTCAATTGACGGATCACTTTCTGGGGATAATAATTAGGGTTAGGGATGACTCATGTTGATCATTTTGAAGCGGAGAGCTCTGCAATCAAATGAAATCTGCTGGGCAATAGTTACTTCTCTTTTGCATTTAATGCAGTTCCTGCAACAATGAT